CTTGGGAAGAGGCGGCGCCGCAAGTCCTTCAGGATGACCGCGGAGTTTTGGTGTGGACTGATGGCAGTACCGCTCATGGTGCCATCCCGGAGTTGGTACGCAGCGGTTTGGGTATCTACTACAATGACAGTGTCGCTTTAAATTTTCATGCTGCCTTGGCTGGTCCCCTGCAAACCAACAACCGTGCAGAGCTTTTGGCAGTTGTGCTTGCAGCAGAACAGGGCGTTGGGTGGAAGCAATCCTTGGTCATTCACAGCGACTCTGCTTGGGTCCTCAACAGAGCACGTACTCTTAGTGGTATCCAGCACATCCCACTCACCTGGGAACACTCTGACTTGTGGCAGCGCTTGTGGCGTGCATGCAACGACATTGACATCACCTTCGTTTTTGTCCCGTCGCATTTGACTGCCGCGGATGCGGAACAATATGGCTTGACTCCTTTAGTGATACAGGGCAACAATGAAGCTGACAAACTGGCTAAACGTGGGGAGCAACTCCATCATCACCCCACTTGGCATGGTCGCATTCGACAGTTTGGGCAACTTTTGCGCGATACCGTGTGGTTACAGGTTTGCATGATGTTTGTTTGCTTGGCTCGCAATCATACAGAGGTACAGGGGTCTGCTGCCAACATCTCTCCTGCCCCACTGCCCATGAACCATGGTTGGTTGCAATTGAAAGAACGTTTACATCGCGAACTACAACTCCATCCTACAGGTGGTCGGCGATTTTGCCACAAACGGCCCCCTGTGGGCCTTGATGGCGAAGCTGTCCTTGAGGTAAAAGCTCCACAGTCTTCTGCAGCCAGCTCTCGCCAACGGCCTGTAGCCGTACACGCTGTGCGCCATCCGCCTCGGCTTGGCCCAGCAGTGAGCATGGAATGGCAACTGGTGCCTAAGCCATGGCTCCTTGTCCAACGTGCTCCTGGTCAACATCGCCGTGTTGGCAATGATGGTATGTTCATTCAGATTGGTGTCAAGCCATCCTTGTTGCCTGCCATGGAGTGGTATCTGGGCCACCTCCAGTGGCCAGAAGAAGGTCGCAGCCAGGCCATCACCTTTTGTGAACTTGCAATTGACTTTGAGATCGCGACAGGGGTTCTTCTGGAGATGCCAAAGGCTGACAAGGCCAACCAACTTGGCCAGCGTGCAAGGGCTTTTGCATCAGCTGCTTCAGCTATTGGCCGCTACGTTGAGCGTCGCCCTTGGCCATGTGGCATTACTTCTCAAACGGTCAACAACCTGCAGAACACGTGGGGTCTCCCTCGTTGCGCTGGTCTCCCATGGAGACCCCTATTGCTTCATCCTGATGCTGTGGAAACCTTTTTCAATGCTGCTGGTAATGTGATCTATGCTTCAGATGCGGATTTCTTTAACCAAGAACCTCCTCTTTTGGTCCCATCCCGTGAGTCTTTTTGGGATGAGCAGGTGCGGCGAGTGCCAATTTATGTGCGCCGCGAAGAGCGTCGAGGTCATGAACATGTGCCGCAACTGCAATGGTGTATACAGGGCGACGCCTCCTCAGAGGCTGTTTCAGTTTCCACCAAACTCTCCAAAAAGGTCACCGATTGGATGAAAAAGCAAACGAAGGTGGCGGAGCATAATCGCACTGCTGCAGAACGGAAAAGACACTGGATCGTGCTCCCTGAGCCACCTGACCCTTCCTTGTCTGGTGATCAGTACGTACAGCTTGTGCAAGGTTTGAAGGTGCACTGCCTATGGTGCAAGCGTGAGAGATGCCTTTCTGTTTATGGTGCTTTCATGGACGTTCCATGCCCTGCTTGTTAAGGTTGAGTCTTCACTGCCTTATGGTGGCCTACTCTTGGCGTGCGAAGGGACTTCCTCTTGGTCGTCTCCATTTTCTACTGGTTTTGTTTTTAGGGGTGGATGATAACCCGTGCTCGGTTGCGTACATCCTCAACAACATCATCATCATCATCATCAAATTGTCTCCACTATTCCAACATATTGCAACTATTCCACTTACAAATGTGAGTCTGATCATGGGCCACACTGCAGGGTGTTAGAACTTCCGCCACTCTAGACTCACCTCCAGCGAATAGCAGCGTTTGGTGGCTGACGGCGTAGGCTGATCTCTAGGCCGTGGTGTGCCACGCCTTGTCTGCTTTGGAGCATGGCGTTTTTGGCACCACCGGGCTTTCAGCCGGGGCCACGTCGATGATCACATCAAAACACAGTTTCTGCGTCATGATAAAAACTCAATTCATGTGCAATGCCTTCAGATTTTCTTGGTCGCCCCTAGGACATCCTAGGACAAACCTTCCACCTTCCCATCATCAGCTTGGTGGAGCCGACCATCTTAGTCCAGCTTTCTCCGAGCGGCGAGTTGAGCCGACCAGCTTCCGATTTTTTTTGAAAAATCCTCCGTGGCATAAATCACATGTGGAAAAAACAATGCTCCACATTTGAGAACCTCAATTCAATGGGAATTTCAATGGGAATATAGGCCTTCTATATGGTAGGTACCTCCAATTTAGGTTCCTGAAATGGCCATTGATCAATTGCTTTTTGTTGAAGCTTCAAAAAAACAACTGGCCGTTCACTTGCCCAAAAAGTGCTGCTGACGAGAGTTCTTTTCTGCGCTGCTAGTCTTCAGCTTTAGAAGTGGGTGCGCTTCTGTGGTCAGAACGTAATCATCCAAATTCAAGACCTGAGCGCTCTGCTAGAGCTATGGGGATGATGCTCAAGCATTGGGGGCCTGTCTGAAAATAAGGTATTTAACATGATTTAACCCCAAATAACAGCTTGAATGGAGAAAATTAAACATGAACATGATAAAGAGTGATAAATCACTGAATTCGTAGGTGCCCTCGTTTCAGTCGAACCCATTCTTCTGATCAAAACCTGGGATAAAGACGGGCTAGGACAATCCACCATTTGTAGACCATTTCCAAGGGTCATTCCGGATCGGGCATAGATGACTGGAACCAAGCGGCTAGGCTCTGCATTTGTCCCTGCTTAGTGTACCCCATGTGCGGCCAAAGATTAAGTTGTACTGAAGTAGATCTAAAGTCCGGTCCATTACGAAAAAGAACACATACCATTTTTCCTGGATTTCTAGTGTCCCAGCGAAGTGGTCATGACACTGCCCCCTCCTAACAAAAAAGAACTGGCGTCGAAGCCAATCTTCAGCTCGCAAAACTCGCCTGCCACAACTCCAAAATGACAACCCTCTTCTCCATTTCAGCCTTACACTCCCACAATTCTCTAGCTGGAAAGCTAGAAAAGGTGTATATACTTGGAATGTTTGGACAAATATGTGTATAAATATATATATTATATATGTATATATTCTATATATCATATATATATATATATACATATATATGTATGTCATATATATATATATAAAATAATAATAATAATAATACGTCAAATATATATATATATATATATACAGTATATAATATCACCTCCACATCATTCCAGGCCCTGTCCAAGTACTAGCGTCTTCAATGCCGAGGGACTGCACGAGGATTTGGCAAGAAGGTGAGGTACAAATATTTCAGGGTTTCCTTAGATATCTTCGATCTGAGATGATCCAAGTCGATGATTCGAGATGATCTGAGTCAGCGGCCGCATCACCGAAATCTGAAGGTACAACAGCGACCGTCAGACCCCAAATACAAGGAGAAACAAGCTGAAAAGAAGCGTAAAGTCACAGCTTTATACCCTTCTTGTGGCTTTCAAATGCCTATAAATGCCTCTAGTCGATTGGAGCAACCTTGTACGATCAGGGCTTTTCCTTTGTTAAGGCCGTATTTCTTTGGGCAATCACCAGCAGCTCCGAGTAGCTACCATCTGAGATTGGGGACCATGATTGTTCCACTGGGCTTAAGGAAGAACATATGACATATGCGGGATCTTTGTGGCCTTTGCCAACAATATATTCTGGGATTGGTGAACTCACACACATCAGACATGTGGTGACGGATGGATGATTGCAATCCCAATTGCGTGAGAACAAAACTGAAGAAGATTGCAGTAAACAATGCTTTACTGTAGGTTCTGTTAGATTCAAACTATGTCTATAGTATTCTATAGTTGTGTTATTCTATCTTTAGTGATGCGCTTACCAAAATCATATCAGTACTTAATCATACTTAATCCTGGAATAACATAATCTTAGGATGCTTGGCTTAGCTTTCCTTGCCCCATTTTGGAGGGTAAAAATTGCATTTTGCATCCCACATCTCCGGTAAATCACCCCCGTCGTTGATGAAATCCCCACTTTTTCGTTCCACTGCTTGATGGCTGAAGTAGCTGTAACCATTCTACCCTCTGGTAAACTAACATAGCTATAGAAAATGGCCCATTTATAGTTGATTTACCTATAAAAAATGGTGATTTTCAATAGCTATGTTAGTTTACCAGAGGGTAACCCGCCATGGCTGGCCAGCTGGTCATTTCTGCTGGGCCCTGGCTTACCAACCATTATGCCATTGTGACGATCCAAGACGCCGCCAGAAAGAAGGTCTCCATCTCATTCCGCTGCGCCGTGGGGCTCCGCCGCACATCCGACACAGCGCCTTGGTGTGTAGGACAGGGATGAGATCATCCGGTCTATTGGTGGATTTTTGGGTCATGGCGGTTCCTCCGACTTAGGTACCTGAAATGGCCAGTGATTTCTTGGAAAAGTATCAAAAAGGATATGAGAGATGGGGTAGTGTTTGGGATCATTCCGGAAGAATGCTGACTATTTTGGTGTAATTGTGTATGTATATATATATATGTGTGTGTAATATGTATATATATAATTCAAAATCCTACAATGAAACCATCCCAAACGTTTATTTTCTTTGTTGGGAGGCCAACTTTTGGTACCTTGCTGTACCTTGAATTTCCAACATCAATAGCATGACCTGGGTCTCAGGATGACAGCATAGTCCCACTTCCACCAACACATGTCCAACAGTTCTACTGCTCTCATCATCTCTCAATCTGAAGCACCCAAGTCCCTGCACGAATCCTTCGCCACCATTTTGGACCCAAGCAGTGAAACAGCCAGCAAACATCGCAACCAGTTCCGCATGACACCAGGGAAGCGCTGACTTCAAGACCCTTCAAGGCCCTTCAATCCACATCCTCAGCATCGCTATGCACCACCACTGGCTCCAGCAAATCCGTGTCCTTCAACTTCTTCGTTGAACCGCTTGGACCGGTTGGACCCTTGCGCCGCTTCCGTTGATCCACGGGAGCTCCATCCATCAGTGGCAGCGGAGCCGGCGGAGCCGGCGGAGCCTCTGCCTCCCCGTCGCTGGCGTCGCTGTGCGGGTCCAGGCGGAGGGGACTCATGGGGCTGCAGAGATGCGCCAGCGGATCCAAAACCACTGAGGTCACGCGCATGTCCGGCGTGGAGGGATCCGTGATGCGGATCCGGCTCCGCTTCACCTGGAAGGGTATGGAAATGCCATCTGGAGGAAAAAACTACCCTCTGGTAAACAAGCATAGCTATTGAACATGGCCATTTATAGTGGATGTTCCCATTATATAAAAATTATGATTTTCCATAGTTATGTTAGTTTACCAGCGGGTATTGTTTGGAGGTGAACCATGAAAACCCAACATGCTGAGATATCTTTTTGGGGTGTTTACATGTCAATGATGCTGGGGGTATGTTTCATTGCCCCTGCCAAGGCAAGGACACACTTGCATGGCCGGCACATGGGCAGATTCCTGCAGTGTTTCAGCGCCACTCTTAGTCTTGGATACGTGCAGAAAAAAAAGGCTAGCAAACGTACACGCACACAGCACGTACCCATTTATCGCAAAAACATGATTTGTCCCGATCTACCTATACAAGGTTGACACCCTCAAGGGTAGCACCTCTAAAAAAGCCTCGTGGTACGAGGTCGGTTTCCCGCCTTTTTGTTTAAGGCCGACTCCTCCTGCTTCAATTTGCCCAAGATGTGCTTCAAACGTCCTTTCAAGCCATGGTTAAAGTTGCTTGACCTTAGTGCCGCGTAGCCAGTATGAGGGGGGCAAAGGCATCCAAAGGCTGGCAAGTACAACGGGATCTATATCGTTCATATCTTTGATGTTCTTACTATGTACATTTATACATTGTTTATACTGTCAACCGCAATGAGATCCCCAACCATGATGAAGCGACAAAGCTGTGGTCTATGTCTGTCGTGCTTTCCCAATACTTAGCGTGATTTATGGCGAGGCGGTTTGAGACGCTAGCAATAAATATGATTCTCCAAATCCCTTTACAGTAGCTTCTTCATTGGCAGCTGGGTTCATGATGTTCCTAGCGGGCCTGATTGATTCTCATCCCATACCGCTGAGACAAACACCTGATATGTCAAGAAATAATACAGGCAAGTGATGCAAATTATGTTGCAGTTGGATGTTTTACTTCATCGTCATCCTCATCCTCATCATCATCATCATCATCATCATCGCCATCATCGTCATCGTCATCGTCATCGTCATCATCATCGTCATCGTCATCGTCATCGTCATCATCATCGTCATCCTCATCATCATCATCATCGTCGTCATCATCGTCATCATCGGCATGGTATCACTTGTATGCATACATTACATGCATTATTTTGATAACTTCGATGTGCCCTACATATTTACTGCTTGCATGAGCGAGGTTGCTGAACATACCCACAAATGCTCAACTTTCAACTGTGTATGAGGTAGCGAAAACGTTTCATAAACTGAAATTCATTTGGCAAATAAACCATAAACACCTTGGATCCACTGAGTGAGCGGCTTGAAAATAGGGTACCCCCTTCGATCCACTGGTGTCAAACACCAAATGTTCCTTATTAAGATTGCCATATTTTGGGCATTAAATCCATTTTTTTTAAGACACACCCACCTAAAACCATCATTCAGTGCTTAAATCAGTCACATCAATAGTTTGGATTTGTCATGCTTAAATCAGTTTCAGTAAATGTCCATTTTGGCTTGTAAAATTGGTAAAATATCATTGAACATTGAGTTACATTACATCATATCATCATGTCGTTGGTTGTATACATCGGATACCGTTTTATTTGAGCCAACCCCATCATTGCATACCCTCTGGTGATGTAACACAGCAGAAATCATACGTTTATAGCAAAAACATATCTATCAAACATTGTAACTTTTCATAGCTAAATGAATTTTGCGGAGGGTATACATCTTGCTGAAACAAATCTAATTCAAAGCTGAGTTACATCATATCGCCCACTATTTCCTCATTATAGTTGGCTGAATCATGTACCCGGTAATCAGACATAATGTCAACCCCGGAATAATAAATCATTGTTTATTAATTGGGGGGGTAGTCCTCCAATAGTCATTACCTGATACTTTTAAATGGTACCCTCCCAATTAAACAGCCGTTTGGGGTTTATTAATCCAGGGTTGACATTAGCAAAATTCCACATCCACCAGTGATTTCTTCGGGGATTTCCCCAGTGATTTCTCATCCTACCTCAAGGTGGTAGAAATTAGAGTTCTGCACCAACTGGATGCCAACTGGGGCACCAGCTGGTTCAATATCCCATTATATCTCACTGTATCCGATATCCCTATTATATCCCCATTAAAATATCCTCATTCAAACCATTCAGATCTGGTAAGTCTAAGTCTGGTAAACTAACATAACTCTTGAAAATGACCATAGACATAGTTGATTTACCCATTAATAGCATGCCGATTTTCCATAGTTTTTTGTATGTTTACCAGAGGCTAAACCTCCATTTTCCTATGGTTTTCCTATGGTTTTCCTTGCTAGGTGAGGAATGTCATCTCCATCATCCCACCTCTTCAACAGCTTCGTCTCCTGCAGCGCTTCGTCCCGCGCCACCAGCTGCACTCGCAGCGGGATCCGCGGCTGCGACTTTTCGGCCGCTGACGCCGGCGTTGCTGTGGGATCCATGGCGCCCCTTTTGGGATGAAATGAACGGAGGGTGAACGGATGGGTATCTGGTGGATATATCATTATTGTAATATATATATATATAGATTGGGACGTCTTATCAGAAGATTTTTATCTGCTTATGACACCTCAAAATCAGGGATTTTCCTCAAATAAGACCCTACCAAAAATTACCTGCCCCAAAACTGACCCAGTAATAAGCAGATTCCAGGAATTTGGGAAAAGTGGTGGAATTGTGAATCTGCTTCTTACAGGTCAATCCCAAAAAGTGGATTGTTTTTTCTTCTAAATATGTATATATAATTATATGATGTGTGTGTGTGATGGTCCGCGATTTTATACAGCCTCTTGCAAATGAATGGTGATGGCCCTGCAGTCACTGAAAACAATGAGAAAATGATGAGAAACTATGTCCTCGAGCCAGATTTGTTCATTTTTTTAAATTGTTTTTGCAATGTTTTTCATGATTTTCTCACTGTTTTCATTGTTTTTTCATAGTTTTTCATAATTTTCTCATTGTTTTCATTGTTTTTTCATAGTTTTTCTTAATTTTCTCATTGTTTTCATTGTTTTTTCATAGTGTTTCATCATTTTCTCATTGTTTTCATTGTTTTTTACATAGTCTTCCATGATTTTCTCATTGTTTTCATTGTTTTTTACATAGTTTTTCATCATTTTGTCATTGTTTTCATTGTTTTTTACATAATTTTTCATCATTTTCTCATTGTTTTCATTGTTTTTTTACATAGTTTTTCATCATTTTCTCATTGTTTTTTTACATAGTTTTTTTTTATAATTTTCTCAATGTTTGAAATAAAATGGTGTCAAAACATTCAAGACCTGTAACTAGCAGATTGTCAATCTGCTTATTACCCCCCATTTGATAGGAGGACACTATCAGGTGTTCAAAGGACAGTGTTCAAAGAAACCGAAAGGACCTGTAATAAGCAGATTAACAATCTGCTTGTCACACCCCACATGATCACAATGGTAGATAAGAAGGCTCCAACACAACAGAGCATATTATGGGCAAAAACCCAAAAGACCACCAAAATGGACAACTTTAAAAACATACATACATAAATATATATATATAGGTATATGTGTGTGTGTCTATTTTTTGTTTATATTTTCTTTGCAAGGGTCAAGTCCCATTTTTTGGGATGTCAGGAAAATATGTGGACTTGCGAAAACAACACAAAAGCTCGGGCATCTCACTCAGGTATGCTAGATGAGGGCACATGCCGGTTCACCGATGTTGAAGCCTTCATTGACCCTGATAAATTCCAGGGCGTAGCCCAATAAATTCCAGGGTGCAGGCGTAGCCCAATAAAATCTGCACGGTAACAATTACCTCAGTAGAAAATTAAACTGTAACAAGCAGATTTTGGATCTTTGGGGTATGAATGCAATTTTGGACTGTAATAAGCAGATAAACCTCACGAGTGGTGAGGGTTTTGAGCAATCTGCTTGTCTGCTGGCAGTGGCATAAATCTGCTTCTTGGGTGTCCCCTTCTATATATATATATGTGTGTGTGTATTATATTGATATATTTATATCATGATATATATCTAGATATATAGCAACCACCAAAAAGAGGCAGAAAAAGGTGATATGGTGATATGGTGATATATTTGGCACTTTTTTTTGTGTGGGATGTTTCTTCTTCGATCTTTTTGAGCGTTGTTAGGATCCAGCGATGCCTTCTCAGGTGGCATTTGGATGCATAGAACCTACAAGTGCTGCTGCATCCTCCACAAAGAACGGTTTGGTTTTGCAGTCGTGATCATCAAAAGATTGTTGCTTTCATCCTGGATGCCTATATATATATATTTAATCCTATAACATATATATATATGTATATATCAAACATTCTATCATGTCGGATCTATATTGGATTTGTCTTTCTTGTTAGGTTTCCATCCTTTTCTGTATGTTTGCCGCTTACATCCCCATCTTTTCTCTGGGCCCCTGCTCTCCGAGCGTGCTGAGCCGAAAAATGTTGGGAAGTCAGTCGGTCAGTACTGTTGGGAAGTTACATGCCGCATGGTAATCAAACATGGCGGGCTGGGATATCGCCATACATTCATTTTATTTGTTCATACATGTTCATACTATGCTTCCAAAATGTCTTGCACCGCGTGCACATGCATGCAAGATACAGCACATCCAATATACAGAATTAGAATGAATTAGATAGGGAGAGCATCCGAGAGCGATGTGTTTTTTTCATTTTTTTCCCTGAAATGTCCCCATCAACACAGGGATTTCCCAGCAATCCAAGTTGGCCATGGGCCATGGGCCAGTCCCCTGCATCGAAGATTTTAGGGCTTGAAACCACCTACCTCTCCAGGAGCATTGGCAGGCTTCACCAAAATCACCAAATGCCCAGGCAAAAGCGACACCTTAAACGATCTTAAACGTTACCGTTGTTTCAAACTCTTATGACCTCTAGGCCTTACAATAACTGACTAAATGCAAGCACCTAAGTCTTACATTTGAAGCCACTGGGACTTCACAACGGGGAGATTTCTAGAAGCAAAGACTTTCCAGGCACCATATTCTCAACATTCAGAATGAAAACCTCGAGTTGATGAATTCCACCATTTTTGTTCAGGATTCACCCAGGGTCAGCGTCTTGAAAACCCAGAAAAGCCACCAGACCAGGCACTGTATCCATAGGTGGTGCGACAATTCTTCTCTATGGCCTCCATGATTTCTCCTATGAAACTCAGCAGGGGCAAGCCGTTTTGGGCTGACCATGGCTGACACAGGCACTGGGGAAGAGATCTTCAACCATTCTGACCCGGGTGGTGTTCGAAAAGCTCTGTTTTACGCGGTTTTTACCCCTCATGAATCAAACGTGGCTGGGAAACCTCGAATGGAAGTGTCTGCTGGGTGGATCTCTCTCCATGGGTGATTTTCCATTGCCATGATGGAAAGCCGCAGGGTTCAATAAGCATGGCATAGCTATGTTCAAAATCGGCCCCAGTCTGGGACAGGTTCCATCATTTTCCCGAGGTGGATCAGGATTCAGGTCTAACAACGACGACGACCTTTAGGGCATCTACTTTAACCGTGCCATCATTGGAGATTTGAAGGGGTAAAAGATGGTAGTCAAGCATCTAGCAATGTGTGATAGTCAGATGTCAGGAGATTCCAAACCACCACAAAACATCAGTAGCTCTAGAGCCTTTGCATCAATTCCTTGGTGCAAAAATCACCTGGAAGGCCAGCATCCACTGAAAGTTGTCCAGGTTAAGCAACGTCGGTATGCCTCCACATTATGGTAAGCCCCCAAAAGATCCAGAAGATAGAACAGTAATTTACCATATATAATTGTACCACCATTTTAGTATACAGTATAGTATCGGAATTATAATGGAGGTTATTTACCATATAATTTACTACCATTTACTACCATTTTTTAAGCAAATGTCTATCTTTTTGGAGGCCACATTTTTGCCCATCCTCAAGCAGCTCCTGCCCAACGTCGGTATTTGGGATCGCCGGTGTAGTAGAACATGTAGAAGATGGCCTCAAGATGAGTTTGGCAATGGTGCCACCACACACCAAAAACATATCCCCAAGATACACCCACAATTCACAATACGATGACACAACAAAAAATGGTTCGTATAAGACACGCTTCCATGCTTGTCCCATTTCAGCTTGTCATTTGTTTTTCTTTTCATCTCGAATTTTCGATACGAACATACGCTCAAATGGAGGTTACCTAAAATGGGGGTGCCTCTAAGTCACAATATTTTAATAGGATTTTCCATCATAAACCATCCATTTCTATATCCAGCTATTGGAGTACCCCTCCTTTTAAGAAACCCCCAACTGACCCGATGTTCGGCACCTCGGCTGCCTCTGGACGCAGCAAATATTGGCCAGCATTGTTCCAGGCGCCCCTGGGATACCCGCAGAAGAAAATCACGAATCTCAAAAACAATATCTGCTTGGTGGTTTTAACATGTTTTAACCATCTTGAAAAATGATGGAGTTCGTTGGGATGATGACATTCCCAATATATGGAAAGTCATAAAATTCCATGGTTCCAGTCACCACTGTGGGTAAAACAATGCCATCTGCACCAGTCATCTCCATTTTGTAGATGGTATATGTTTACCCAGTCATGGTTGGTAAAAATGGCAGTTCCCAAAGAGCCTGGCCATTTTTTGGGCAGAATTTCCCCATGTTTCCCCCATCATCCGCTAACCCTGACCTGGGCTCCTGGGAAAATGGCGCCAGTGGCAGCTCAAGGGGGGCAAGACTGGCTTCTCCGGGGTCATTTTCCCGTGGCTCAATCGCCGTTTGATCATGGTTTGATCGTTCCGTTTGTACTGTAAAATTATCATGATTGGGACAACCTGATTTTGAGAAACACCCATCTGTTTCCAACACTGGGACGGTACAGAATGTACTGGCGAGGTGATATCTGCTGGCGAGAAACATATCTTGACCTTGGGCGCCTTGAGGATTGAATCTCGTTGCTTCGGGTGCCAAATGGGTTGGCTGCCGTTTGTACATCCTCAGCTCCAACAGGATCACATCAGGTGACCAGCCGCATCAGGAGCTAGCAGTGGCTTCAAACCATCCCATACACATCACATCAAGCCACAGGATGGGCCACCCTATTTAGTCTACTTAGCTAAGTTAGTCGATGAATAGGTCAGCTGCTAGCTAGAAATAAATAAATAAACACATAAATAAATAAATATATACATATATATATGCACGTTATATACGTATATATAACTAGGGAATTGATTTTATGAACCAACAAACATGACTGGGGGACACCACCAACAGCAACAAACCAGCTATTCTTCTGAGTCCAGGGTTGAATCCACCACAACTCTTAGTCTAGCTGTGTCTGAAAATGGTGTATACCCCCAGTCATAGCCATTTAGACTACCATGGGATTTTGCTGATAAACTAGCATGATAAACTATCATGATAAATCAACATCATTGTTTTTTTTGCTCATTAACTATCATTTAAATCATTTAAATCTTTTGTAAGTAGGGGAAATTTCGCGATTCACGTGATGATCAAGCAGCATAAACCACGGTCTTTTTACCATAAACCCACCCCATGACGGATCCATGGTGCTGGTATATATGCTCACATTCATAGGGGGTATATTGATGGGATCCATGGCACACCATTTTTTAAGCAGCACCATGGATCCGTCATGGGCACCATACCCTCTGGTAAACTAACATAACTATGGAAAATCAACATGTTTAATGGGAAAATCCACTATAAATCACCATTTTCCATAGCTATGTTAGTTTACCAGAGGGTAACACCATGAAAAAATCACCGGGAGATCCACCGACTGAAATCCGAACCGCGGCGCTCGTAGCAGGTCTCCGTGATCTGGCGACCCGTCTGCTCCCAGCGCACGTCCACCTCCTGCCGTCCGATGACCCGAACGGGGAAACTTAAGGGGCCAAGTTGGGAAAATGGAATCCGGAAACCATGGGATTTTCCATGATTTTCCCATGAAAATCATGAAACATCAGGATTTTCGCATGAAATATGATGAACTATGGGAGATTCCGGTTTGAATCGTTCCTGAAACCAATCAGATCAAATTTCGATATATGAAATGATATTCATGAAGCATCACCATGATAAATTAGTGATGAACGATGAATTTCTGGCTGAACTCGAGTAATTCACTCATCTGAAAGATCCTGAAAGTAGCTGCAGAAAACCATCACGGCCATGAATCAGGATGATTATTGATGATTCCCCGCTGTGAACCATCATGAAAAAATGACGTCACAGTGAGGTCAATTCTAATTCATTCATCATGAATGAGATAGGAAATGGATGATTAATGAGGTATAACCATTGTAAAGTGGATGATCGATGGATCACAAATGGATGATCAATGCATGATAAACGAGGTGGAATAGTGTAACAGAATCATCAAACATGGGTGTTCAACATAGATAGCCAATCCAAAACCAAATGTGAAACCATTTTGGGCACCCATTCATGAATAGATCCAATACATGCCAGCAAGGTTTCTGTTCTGAACCATATTTTAGGGGGAAGGCCGGGACCAGACCGAAGAAGAGTCCATCGATTTATTGATGATTTAAGCAGCTGACAAAAATACCTGGATCTTTCATGGTTTGTTTCCTGGCGTTACATAGTGAGAATGAGCTGCACAGCCGTTGAAGATGGCTACTGTGCAGCCAAAGTAGAATTTTGAGTGGTAGGGGGCTATCCCCATCTGGAGATGCTTTTGAGGGGGCCATGACCTACACATGGTGGATGCTCCTTCGCCAGGTTCAAAAGCCCCAAGTTATCTATACCGCAACCCGAACAGAAGATAGATAAACCAATATCATTCTCAAATAGTGATCAATTACGTTCAATCTCTTTGGGGGTTCCTATAGGTCTATAGTGAAGCTTCTGGGCCCCGACTACTCATCACTGAGCCACTTTGAACTTTTACTTTCAGCTCCCTGGCAGGACAAGGGGCCCTCTCAGCATCTGCTCCATGAATGGCAGAATGATATACCCTCCGGTAATCAAACACGGCTAGCTAGCTGGGAAACCCCCGAACGAAATGGAGGATTCTAGCTGGGATAATCATCTATGGATGATGGATTTTCCAGCACGTCATGTTTGATTACCGGGGGGGGTATCTTGAATTGAATCATTCCAAAAACCAGTTGGACTCAATCAGCAAGTCATAGCAAACCCACACTTGGCAGGCATGGCACATTCCCACCTCATAACTTGGATTTGCGGGGCCCGGCCGTGCCCGGGGCCAACAACAGACTCCCCAAAAGGATGCCCCTGGCGCCTCAGGCTTCAACTCTCTGGCACCGTAAATGAGCATCCCTCCTGGCGGTGTCGCTGATCTCTGGCCTTTTCAGCGTGACATCCCTCTATGGGCCATGGAAAGCCAAGTTTTGGCCATGGAAAATATGAAACAAACCAAATAATGTCCTGCAATTACCCGTTGGGTAATCAAGAATAATTATATATATATAATCATACCAAGCACTAGGTGACAACCAAACATTTTATATGACTGGACATGCGAGTTTTCCAGTGCCATATTTCATCAGACCGAAAAGTCTTCTTCCCAATTCGGAACGGCCACCCCTCTCTTGGCGCCTACGAAGCAGGCTAAATGATCCTCAGCAGCCCGACTACCCTCTGGTAATTTAACATAGCTATTGAAAATTGTCATTTATAGTGAGTTTTCCCATTAAAAATTGTGATTTTCTATAGTTATGTTAGTTTACCAGAGGGTACCATAGACCCTGAGATCGTGGCTATAACGGGTCTATGTTAGTGAAAACTGCGCCTCGTCAATGGGGTCTATGCAAACGTGGCTGACCATCCCGTCTTTGACGCGCAAGCGAATTCACTGAAGTAGGAAAATCTAGGACATCCTCGGCCACAACAAAGCATTGTTAAGGGGCACCAGTGAATCATTCAGTCATTCTCTATACTGTTGTAATTTGTTGTATATGTAGGGAATATGTATATGTATATGTAATATATATATATAATATGTGTACATGTGTGTGTATATGTAAAATATAATATATATATATATATATATATATATATATATTATGTATATGTATATGTATATGTATATGTATATATATGTATATATATATATCCCCTACATATACAACAGTATATATATAATTGATTACATATGATATGTATACCCTATATAATAACTATACAATAACATACAGTAACTATTAAGAATTGTATATCGCCGGACAAATGCTTAGAACCAATTTTGGAAAATTTCAAAAAAAAATCGACTCACGAGCAAATCGCACTTAGAACCTAAAAAACCTTGCACTTAGAACCCCTGCCTATGTCATGAGTATCTTTAATGATATGAGTTAACATCTACATACGTTTATAACCATGTAGATAGTTGGGGAGACTCGCACTTAGAACCTCTCACAATCATGAGTATCTTTAATGATATGAGTTAACATCTACATATGTTTATAGCCATGTAAATAGTTGGGGAGATTCGCACTTAGAACCTCTGAAAATCATCATGATTTTAAATAATATCAAGATCAATTATATAACGTCTACATATTTTGACAATATATGAACTCAAGCTTTGACCACTATCCTTTGAGATCCGAGCACACACCTGTTTATTTTGATAGCTATTGAACATGACCATTTATAGTTGATTTACCCACTAAAAATTCGATTTTCCATAGCTATATATATATATATATATACTAGTGATGGTAGAATATCTATATGACTTGACATATCCTTATGAGCAATATATATGTATATATATAGTGGTGCCAACGGTTCTATAGCTCCTGAATGTCAGGTTGAAACCTTATGTATAGATATATATATATATATGCCTGGTGAATCTGACCGTTTGGCTCAAAAAGTTCGGGGAATGATGGTTAAGGATAAGACATACCTAATATGGTCTATCAAACCCTTATCAAGACACATGTTGGCACTCCAATCTGGGAAGATTCTATCAGTGTAAGTTGTGATTCAGGAGGTTCTAAGTGCGAAAGTCCCCACCTATCTGCATGGTTCCCTGCCATCCCGTGCAAACCGGCAACATATCTGATCTGATCTTTAATCCTTACCAAGAAACATGTTGGCGCTCCAATCTGGGAAGATCTTAATTCTACCAGAGTAGGCCGTGATTTAGGAGGTTCTAAGTGCGAAAGTCCCCACCTATCTGCGCGGTTCTGCATGGTTCTGCATGGTTCCCTGTCATCCCGTGCGCATAGGCAACATCTAATCTGATCTACAAAACCCTTATCAAGGTGTAGGTTGTGATTTAAGAGTTTTTTGAGTGCGAAAGTCCCCACATATCTGCATGGTTCTGCATGGTTGTGCATGGTTCTGCATGGTTGTGCATGGTTGTGCATGGTTGTGCATGGTTCTGCGTGGTTCTGCATGGTTCTGCATGGTTCCCTGCCATCCCGTGCGCATAGGCAACAGCTAATCTGATCTATAAAACCCTTATCAAGAAACGTGTTGGCACACCAACCAGATTTTGATTCCAGTGTAGGTTGTGATTTAGGAGGTTCTAAGTGCGAAAGTCCCCACCTATCTGCCTTGTTTTCTGCCATCCCGTGCGCGTAGGCAACATACCTTATCTGATCTATCAAACCCTTATCAAGAAACATTTTGGCACTCCAATCTTGGAAGATTCTATCAGTGTAGGTTGTTATTTAGGAGTTTTTAAGTGCGAAAGTCCCCCACCGATCTGCATGGTTCCATGCCATCCCGTGCACATAGGCAACATGCCTAGTCCAATCCAGAAAACCCTTTCTGACAAACATGTTGGCACATCAACCTGGAAAGATTTTCATTCTACCAGTGTAGGTTGTGATTTAGGAGGTTCTAAGTGCGAAAGTCCCCACCTATCTGCGTGGTTCTGCATGGTTCTGCATGGTTCCCTGCCATCCCGTGCACATAGGCAACATCTAATCTGATGTATAAGACCCTTATGAAGAAACATGTTGGCACACCAACCTGGGAAGATTTTAATTCTACCAGTGTAGGCTGTGATTTAGGAGGTTCTAAGTGCGAAAGTCCCCACCAAACTGCCTGGTTCCCTGCCAGCCTGGGCACATAGGCAACATACCTAATCTGATCTATAATCCTTACCAAGAAACATGTTGGCGCTCCAATCTGGGAAGATCTTAATTCTACCAAGAGTAGGTTGTGATTTAGGAGCTTCTAAGTGGGAAAGTCCCCACCTATCTGCCTGGTTCCTTTGCATCCCGTGCACATTGGCAACATCTAATCTAATCTACATAACCCTTACTGAGAATCATGTTGGCGCTCCAAACACAATCTGGGAAGATCTTAAATTCTAGCAGAATAGGCTGTGATTTAGGAGGTTCTAAGTGCGAAAGTCCCCCACCTATCTGCCTGGTTCCCTGCCATCCCGTGCACATAGGCAACATACCTAATCTGGTCTATCAAACCCTGATCAAGAAACATGTTGGCACTCCAATCTGGGAAGATTCTATCACTGTAAGTTGTGATTCAGGAGGTTCTAAGTGCGAAAGTCCCCACCTATCTGCCTTGTTTCCTGCCATCCCGTGCACACAGGCAACATATCTCATCTGATCTATTTTCCTTACCAAGAAACATGTTGGCGCTCCAATCTGGGAAGATCTTAATTCTACCAGAGTAGGCTGTGATTTCGGAGGTTCTAAGTGCGAAAGTCCCCACCTATCTGCGTGGTTCTGCATGGTTCTGCATGGTTCCCTGTCATCCCGTGCGCATAGGCAACATCTAATCTGATCTACAAAACCCTTATCAAGGTGTAGGTTGTGATTTAAGAGTTTTTTGAGTGCGAAAGTCCCCACATATCTGCATGGTTCTGCATGGTTGTGCTGCATGGTTCTGCATGGTTCCCTGCATCCCGTGCGCATAGGCAACATCTAATCTGATCTACAAAACCCTTATCAAGGTGTAGGTTGTGATTTAAGAGTTTTTTGAGTGCGAAAGTCCCCACATATCTGCCATGGTTCTGCATGGTGCATGGTTCTGCATGGTTCCCTGCCATCCCGTGCGCATAGGCAACATCTAATCTGATCTATAAAAACCTTATCAAGAAACATGTTGGCACACCAACCAGATTTTGATTCCAGTGCAGGCTGTGATTTAGGAGGTTCTAAGTGCGAAAGTCCCCACCTATCTGCCTTGTTTCCTGCCATCCCATGCACGTAGGCAACATACCTTATCTGATCTATCAAACCCTTATCAAGAAACATTTTGGCACTCCAATCTTGGAAGATTCTATCAGTGTAGGTTGTTATTTAGGAGTTTTTAAGTGCGAAAGTCCCCCACCGATCTGCATGATTCCATGCCATCCCCTGCACATAGGCAACATACCTAGTCCAATCCAGAAAACCCTTTCTGACAAACATGTTGGCACATCAACCTGGAAAGATTTTCATTCTACCAGTGTAGGTTGTGATTTAGGAGGTTCTAAGTGCGAAAGTCCCCACCTATCTGCCTTGTTTCCTGCCATCCCGTGCACGTAGGCAACATACCTTATCTGATCTATCAAACCCTTATCAAGAAACATTTTGGCACTCCAATCTTGGAAGATTCTATCAGTGTAGGTTGTTATTTAGGAGTTCTTAAGTGCGAAAGTCCCCCCTACCGATCTGCATGGTTCCATGCCATCCCGTGCACATAGGCAACATCTAATCTGATGTATAAGACCCTTATGAAGAAACATGTTGGCACACCAACCTGGGAAGATTTTAATTCTACCAGTGTAGGCTGTGATTTAGGAGGTTCTAAGTGCGAAAGTCCCCACCAAACTGCCTGGTTCCCTGCCAGCCTGGGCACATAGGCAACATACCTAATCTGATCTATAATCCTTACCAAGAAACATGTTGGCGCTCCAATCTGGGAAGATCTTAATTCTACCAAGAGTAGGTTGTGATTTAGGAGCTTCTAAGTGGGAAAGTCCCCACCTATCTGCCTGGTTCCTTTGCATCCCGTGCACATTGGCAACATCTAATCTAATCTACATAACCCTTACTGAGAATCATGTTGGCGCTCCAAACACAATCTGGGAAGATCTTAAATTCTACCAGAATAGGCTGTGATTTAGGAGGTTCTAAGTGCGAAAGTCCCCCACCTATCTGCCTGGTTCCCTGCCATCCCGTGCACATAGGCAACATACCTAATCTGGTCTATCAAACCCTGATCAAGAAACATGTTGGCACTCCAATCTGGGAAGATTCTATCACTGTAAGTTGTGATTCAGGAGGTTCTAAGTGCGAAAGTCCCCACCTATCTGCCTTGTTTCCTGCCATCCCGTGCACACAGGCAACATATCTCATCTGATCTATTTTCCTTACCAAGAAACATGTTGGCGCTCCAATCTGGGAAGATCTTAATTCTACCAGAGTAGGCTGTGATTTCGGAGGTTCTAAGTGCGAAAGTCCCCACCTATCTGCGTGGTTCTGCATGGTTCTGCATGGTTCCCTGTCATCCCGTGCGCATAGGCAACATCTAATCTGATCTACAAAACCCTTATCAAGGTGTAGGTTGTGATTTAAGAGTTTTTTGAGTGCGAAAGTCCCCACATATCTGCATGGTTCTGCATGGTTCCATGGTTCTGCCATCCCGTGCGCATAGGCAACATCTAATCTGATCTATAAAAACCTTATCAAGAAACATGTTGGCACACCAACCAGATTTTGATTCCAGTGCAGGCTGTGATTTAGGAGGTTCTAAGTGCGAAAGTCCCCACCTATCTGCCTTGTTTCCTGCCATCCCGTGCACGTAGGCAACATACCTTATCTATCCTTATCTGATCTTTAATCCTTATCAAGAAACATTTTGGCACTCCAATCTTGGAAGATTCTATCAGTGTAGGTTGTTATTTAGGAGTTTTAAAGTGGGAAAGTCCCCCACCGATCTGCATGGTTCCATGCCATCCCCTGCACATAGGCAACATACCTAGTCCAATCCAGAAAACCCTTTCTGACAAACATGTTGGCACACCAACCTGGGAAGATTTTAATTCTACCAGTGTAGGCTGTGATTTAGGAGGTTCCAAGTGTGAAAGTCCCCACCAAACTGCCTGGTTCCCTGCCATCCTGGGCACATAGGCAACATACCTAATCTGATCTATAAACGTCTTACTAAGAAACATGGTGGCACTTCAATCCGGGAAGATTCTATCAGCGTATAGATAGCCTCCCATCACCAGTCTGTATAACCATTATCCAAGCATTATTGGTTTTTGCAGGTTTTGAATTATAATTATGTTGAATATATTATGTTATATATGTTTACCCTGGTTATAGGAATGATAGGGGATGAGGCAAATGGTTGGGGGACTTTGCACTTAGAACCCCACCAAAATAAAACCGGACTTACACTTAGAACCTCCGAACTCACACTTAGAACCTAAGAGGTGCTAAGTGCGAAGAAATTTTCATACCCGAGCGTTTTGGAAAATTTCCACAGGTTCTAAGCATTTGTCCGGCGATATATATTCGGAATTAGGAATCCACTATTTGGAGATTGTACCAGCACCAAGCATCCATTTTATGATCCACTCGGCCATTCTTCTCTTCCGCGATGTACGTCAAGCCGCCTTCATGGCCCCCAGAAAAATCGACCCCAGATCGACGAAGCACACGACGCGTCCTATCCATGTACATGTGCACTAAGCAACAATAGAACTATGCATTCCAACAAATATGTACACATCATGTACAAATGTCACAGCAGAGTTCTAGTGAATTATATATTATACATTGTGACATGTCTTTTCCCTGGCCCTTATTACAGTAACCTTATTGATGCGATGCCCAGCGTAGCCCATTCTGAGCAGCGCGGGTCACCCCGCGTACCTTTCGTGGTGAAAATCAAGCGTTGAAAGGCTTTGTTCATGGCTCGTTTCCAGGCCTCGGTCTGAAGGATATGGAGGAGTGACCAGCCACAATGATAGACATCTGAGAAATGGGTATGGGTATGTATGGGTCAAAATTAGGTACCCCAATAATTGGATGGTGAATACTAAACTAGACTAACATCTGCGGTCCCCTAGGTCTTCCATTTTGACCCACATCCAAATATATAAAAATAATAGAGTTAATAGAGATACATAGTATTTTTTTGTGCCATTCTTATTATTGATGATGATTATTATCATAAACATAAGCTGAATCGCGATGATTTCACTTGATCAATTCAAAGAATAAGTAAATATCATGAGGCACGGATGCTTGAACAGCATTTCTCGGGACCAGACGCGGCTGAGTTCGTGGCGAATCACTAAACCATACTAAGCCTAGACTTATCTTAGCAAGCTCCTTTTCAGGCTGACATCAAATTCCTTGATCAACTAGATACCATTAGATATAACACACATATATATATATATAACATTATATAACATTAACCTGATGGACCTGATGTACCATTCCAAGATCGGAGCATTCCTGGTGTCTGGGCTCCCAACATCCTTCCACTCAGGCTCCGTCTTATCCGACTGGACGTACCTGACCGCCGGTTGACCGCCCGGTTGACCATTGCAATATTCTCTGGTTATGTCAAAATAGCTATTGAAAATGACCATTGAAATAGTGGATTTTCCCATTAAAAATGGTGATTTTCCATAGCTATGTTAAATTACCAGAGGGTACTTGGAAGTCCTGGCACCTGGTCCAAGCAATGCCACAACTTGAGTGTCTTAGCGAAGGAAAAGCATTTCCGAATCTAGAGCCAAGAATCAGAGGATTGAGCAAAAACATAGCACTCTTCTGGTTTTGGCACAGTTGTCTCAGAATTCAATGAAGAGAACATGGGCAAAACATGTCTATATTTGGCTGGTAAAGGCCTGGAAAACCAATCCACTTCTCCGTTACATCCATTTTCCACTGCCCATTTGGGCCGGCTAATTCCGTTAATTCCACGAACCATGATGTTCTGGGGGATGCACGGAGTACCTTAGGACATTCACTTGTATATATATATATTTTTTTTACATATATATATATAATTATATATGTATACATACACATAATGTTGATCACATATCCCATGATATCATCATGATATCCCATGAGATTCGTGAACGATTGCCATATATGGGGTGGTTAAACCACCGAGCATGAACGGCAGATCAGTTGAATCCATTGAACAAAAAACAGCAATTCCTTGGAGAAAGCCATGGCGGGGGCACAGCTTCAGCAAATATTCGTAGTAGGAATCGCCCATAGCGCCAAAGGTGATATGACCTTGGGAATGGGGCACTTAAATTTTCATGATTTTAAGGGGCAATGGTGAAGGTGCGCGGTTGTCGTGTTTCATAGTAATTCTGAATCATACATACATATATATATATATATGTATATTGTGTTAAACATGATATCTTCATGTAGTGTGTGTACCAAACAATGACCTATTTAGGAGGCAAACATTGGACTTTGCTGTATAATAACATAAAATACATAACATATAATCCTCCAAAGATAAAGGATAGAACAGTGTTTCCAGAATGTTAGTTCGATGGTTCCTCCATAATTTCCGGGTTTCCCCACCTTTCTATTTTTTTTTGAGGGGTGCTTTTGTTACTGGTTGGTGGTATACCTACTATAGAGCCGCTTTGGCACTTAGGAACTTAGCTGGCCGTTAGGTGGCACTTAGGAAACTTAGGTTTGATGGTGTTCTAAGTGGGAGCTAAGTGGCTGCTAAGTGAGCTAAGTGTTTCCTAGGGATTTTTTGCAATGCTTATCATTTTTGAAAACATGGATGTTGACATGGTCTTGGGGTGTTCTCCGCCCGTCAAATTTGCTTTTTTGGCTGCTTCCCGATGTCGTGGATTAACGTAAAAGCCAAAGACCGTCTTGATCTTGGCGGCGCAAACGCATACGCTCCTCGTGCATCAAAGTAGAAGCTGCAAGGATTGTCTTTGCGCCAGATAGGCGCTTCCATTTGATAATGATTCTTTGCAAGAAAGGATTGCAATTTTCGCACCGCGACGTAGAAGCCATGTGCATTTGACAGACCATGTAAGATTTCTATGCAACACGTAGCTGACATTTGGACGAAGCTACCACGTAGGTATTCGACGCAATAGATTTGGATGCCTTTGGCAAAGAAGCTTTCAGGAGATATTCCGAGCTCCATTGCTAGCACCACGTCTTGCGTGGGCTTCCATATGAGTTGTCCAGTGTACTCACTTTCGAGGTGACTCGTAGTGAGTTCCGTTTCTGTCATTTGCAGCAGCGTGCTCCGGGTGAAGCAATTCAGCCGTGTCAGGCGCCGAGCCACAATGGATTTAAATATACGATGCTTGCGTTCCCATGCAAAGCAATCAATGTCTCGCCGCCATCTGTGAATTTGTTCTTGGACATGGAGCGCATAGTGAAACTTGGGTCTTGCCCCCGCTATCGCCCCGTAGGCGATGTCCCATGCACCTTTGATTTTTTCTCACTTTTTCAAAGAAAACCCGCAGACATCCTTAGGAAGACATGATTCTGCCGGTTGCACATCCCGCAGACATCTCGCAGACATGTCCCATGTGTCCCAGCAGGATTCTCCCTCTTGGCAGACACCGCAGACACACGGAAACCCACTCGGAAGCACCTTTTCCACGCTCCGCAGACAAGTGCCGCAGACATGTCAGTTTCATACTTTCTGTCCGCAGACATCCGCAGACATCCGCAGACATCCGCAGACAACACAACGAATTTTTTGGGTGAATCCTTATGGTGATGTTTCTGCCTCCACCTTTGCAGCCCGTAGGCTGCGTCGAGCTTGCCGTAGAAGCCATGCACAGCGTCGACACCAGAGAAATTCCCTAATGCGATTTTCTCACCTAGAGACTAGAGAGGTGCCATGCCAAGATCGCCAGCCATTTGCCAGCAAGATGCAAGTCGTCAGACAGGTACATCTGATTCCAACCCAATTGTTCACGCCAGGCATTCGTCACTTCCTCGTAGGAAGCCGGAATCAAAGAGAAACCATGTATAGTATTGGATGTGGAGGCACATCCCGATGTGTAGCGCCCCACTGCCCGTAGAGCAACAAGGTTCTCAGGCGTTTCAAGACCTTGCTGTCTGCAGCCCTTCCCTCTGCGCATGCCCAGGCTCCCGTAGAGTCCAAGCAACGAGTCTGATCGATTTCCACAGGCCTCGTTTTCACAGCAACATTCTCACCGAAGGACTCCGCTTGAAAGTCACCCCAGAAGTCGGGCTGCACCTGTGCCAGCCACGCAGCCGCTTGAGCTGCCGCGAAGCACTGCACTTTGTCCAGTGCTTTCTGCACACCCACATGCAGCGCCTGTTTATCCCTGACCTCCTCGTAGGAGGTCAGCGAACGAATTCCTCTTAGGAATTTCTGCGCAGCTTCCAATTGCTTTTCAACCGACATGCCTGCAGCCAAAATGGCTGCAAAAACCATCGTGATTTCAGAGCTAACCCAAAACCCTTGCACAAACTTACATTTCAAAATCCAAGCTAAATGGTCACTAAGTGATCTCTAAGTCATGATCATTTAACTTATAGAACTTATATCTCACCCTAAGTCAATAGTAAGTGCCACTTAACCTACCCCACACTAGGAACCACTTAGAGGATTATAACTAACTTGACATGCCACATAGCCACTTATAAGTGAACTTACTTCATGACTTATAAGTCCCTAAGTCCCAGGCTGGTCCAAAGTACCCTCCGAAAAATATGACTCAGTTGGGATGATGACATTCCCAATATATGGAAAGTCATAAAATTCCATGGTTCCAGTCACCACCAACCAGTTTTTATGTGGGTAAAACGTGGTAAAACAATGCCATCTGCACCAGTCATCACCATTTTGTAGATGGTATATGTTTACCCATATCTCAACATACCTCAACTCACCAATTTTGAGGAGATCATTTCAACTGGCGCCAAGGTGCTATTGGTGAATCTCGGTGTGCCAGCATTGGACAAACCCCAGGGCACTAGGCCTTGCCCGTTCTCTGCCTGCTGGACATGCAAAGTTCCAGCAAACTCAGTGAAGCAGAAGAATTTAGCAACATGAAACACAGATCTAAATTATCTAAGTCAGCATCTCTGTGTGAAATGTTCATATGCAAAGAACCATCATAAACAATCATATAAATCATCCTCAAACCATCACAAACAATCATGAATCATCATCGAACCATCATAAATTGCCATAAATCATCATCGAACCATCACAAACAATCATAAATCATCATCGAACCATCATAAATTGCCATAAATCATCAAACAACACCATAAAATCGGCCCAAAAAACACCCTGCAGCAAATCTTCTTCTCCAACTGCACCTGCAAGATTTGCCGCATCGCCCGGTCCCCGACATCCGCGAACTTTCGATCCCCAGACCTGGAAAATGGAGAAAAACCATCCATGTAGGAAAGCATATGGTAAAATCAGATGTTTTCTGAAGCTATACCCATAGGATCCATGGTGCTGGTATATATATATACTAACATTGGGGGTATATTGATGGTAAATGTTACCATATATGGCATACATGGATCCTATGGGATATGATTTAACGGAAATTCATGGATATTCGTGGATTTTCCTGTTTCGTTTCTGACAAACATATATCAAAATCATCGAAGTAATGCTGATGTAGTGTAATTTGTTGATTTTTGTCATATTTACCGACTGAAGTGGGTCAGTATTGGGGCATTTCTTAGCATATATCCCATCTGTATGTGGATGGCATGTATGTCGGTTGAGCCTATGGATGATCTAGGGTTCCTGTCAAATCTTGCTGTGATCAATTCTCCTTGGGTTTGTAAGATCAGAAATGATTAGGTGTTGAAAAGGCCCTGCTTTGTCATCCGAAGAGTGAAAACATCCACCTTAAGATCTGCTGAAATCACCATAAGCGATCTATTTTGAGTAAACCAGCTGCATTGGCAAAATTTGGACGATTCCACAAGTGGCACGTTGGAAGATGTTGGAAGATGTTGGAACTAGGGTGCTTTGATTCAGGAGCTGCGGCCACAGTCGGACATGTCGACGAATGAATGAGCGTGTGAAACTTATGAAACAGAAAAAACAAATTATAATATTGTGTATAATATATGTCTGTATATATATATATATGTGTGCGTGTGTGTGTGTCTCTCTCTCTCTTTTTCTGTGATTATATTTCTTAAACTATCAATCAAATCCAAACAAATCGCTACAGTAATATATGCTACTATCACTGCATATCTACGTGTATATCTGTTGTATGATTTTCATTGATTTTCTATGCGTATACCTCCAGTAAACTAACTGATTGCTGATGTTTGCGATGGAACTTCATCATTTTTGAGAGGTAAGTCATCGAACTAAATGGCCCATCTATACTATAGCCATCCTCTTGGTGAAAGCCTACCAATTGCAAATGGTTGTCGAGTTTTCCTACCAATTGAAACTAAGATTTCCCAGAAAACTGTGATAGTGATGCTGCTGGGCCACTGCTGCGAGAGATAGCGAAACTCCAACTGCACCGTGCCAGCCTCGCCAGGGAAGTTGAACGCGAAGCTGGAACTAAAATCTAGGTTCAAAAATGGCGCTGTAACATATTGTAACCATAAAACATTGGATTTATGTGAACCTATCATGTTCTAGTAATCCTGAAATGAGGAGATATAGCCGATAGAATGTTCAGTACCTACGGTAGAAAGGCGTGAAAACGATAATAAACAGTACTAAATACTACGTTTTGGGGAGGGAATTCATAATAATGCATATTATATTATTATAGGGGGTTAGGATTTGATTGAAGAATCCCACAATGATGGGTTCAACCTAGTCCAACAAATGTAGTTCATATATGCCTGTACCTATCAATAATCCCAGGTTTTCAGCTGGAACTCCTCATTTTGCACTTAAAGCCGGTGTCTTCAACCCACCAGTTGGGATTCTCATCCAAAATATTAGCGCTTTTTCAGATGATCAACAAATGGTTGAAACATTTTGAAACCACAGATCATGGATATCATATGATATCATGATGTCATTGCTATTTCCTCTACCCTCTGGTAATTTGTTACATAGCTATTGAACATACCACATTTATAGTTGATTTTCCCATGAAAAATTGTGATTTTCTAATGTCAAGTGAGGATTAATAATCCCCTCCCGATTAATCAACCACCACTGCCCCCCAAAAGAAAATGTAATTAAAACAAGTGGTCCCCCCAGATCAATAAACCCACCCGATTAAAAAACCACCAGTGCTGAAATCCTTTTTTTATCCAACATTTTTTATTTCCAATTCTATTTATTTCCAATTGTTTTTTACAACTTTTTAATCATCATTGTTATACTTCAGGTTTAAGTTGATCATTGAAAATTTCAAAAAACAACTATTCCCCAAATGATCGATTTCTAATTAAAATCTTTATAAAAATCATCAGTTTGGATAGCTCCCAAAGGGTACCCCCCATGAGCCCATGTCCCCCATTAATAATAACCAGGGTTTGCCCCTGATTAATCAACCACCTTTCTGATCCATGAAATTTTAACAAATCCAATGGAATTCTATTCAGATCTAATTGACGTAAGCCATATCCAAAAGTTTTATGGTTTAGAGTTGCTTATTATTAAGGGGTCGTCAAGAAAACTAGCCAGAAGGTACCCCCCTACCTTCTGGGGGGGGGTTATTAATCCGGTGTTGGCATTATATGTTATGTAAACGTTTACCAGAGGGCATATCCCCATGAAACACTTGGTCAAATTTCCAGCTTGCTAAATGCCATTGGTTGGTCGAGAACCAGAGTGACCGCCATCCCATGCTTGCCGCGCCGCGCCTCCGCCAGGAGGGTGCCCGAGAACCAGCCCTTCTTTCCCTCACCCGTCCTGCAGAGCTGGAGAAATTTGCTGGGCAAATATTGATTAATAGTGATGAATAGTGGTTTTAACCATGGTTATTAGTGATTAATACCTGATCTAATGAATAATATAGCTGGTTGGTGGTTTCAATCCCTCTGAAAAATATGAGTTCGTCAGTTGAGATGACTATTCCCAATGTATGGGAAAATCAAAAATGTTCCAAACCACCAACCAGGTTAGCATCAATACATCGAATAAAAACATAATTCTTTGAGAATTGAGGTTACTTGATACATCTTGATACTGAAGCCAGTTGAGACCATTTTTTGGTGGGATAGGTTCTTATTGTTTCTTATCTATCATGTGGTTGGGAAACTCAATTCATAGCTCGGAAAGGGCTCCCCATTTGAATCATTTGATAGATACCCATAGCTCCTTAGCTCCGTAGCTCCGCCAACAAATAGAAGAACACATCAAAACCCAGAAAGCTTTCAGCTAATAATATCATTGAGACAATTTTTGGCATGGTTTCGCTTGGGAAGATTGTGAAACAATCTTTTGTGGATAGCAGTTGCAATTCGCCCAGGTGGTTACGAACCTATTCTCTTCGACTACACAGGGGGCCACCTACCACCAACGGGAAGGGCTTGGTAAACAAGGGAAGTACGATGAAGAGATAAGATCAGACCCGCCTCACGTTGAACTGGGTCATGGGAAAACCTGCAGTAAAGAGGGCCGTGGGGTTGAAGGGTGGCCCATGGTGGCCCCCGCAGCCTCATGGTTGTTTCGTGCAGGCAAACGGTTCGGTGAAATATCAGTTTGAAGTAAGATTACTTTATACCATCATGAATTATACAATCCTATGCAAATGTCTTGCATATATACATAATATATATATACTGTATATATATATAGTATATATAGGTAAGGTGCAAAGGTGCACATTCTGCATCCTGCATCCTGATCCCACAAGCAGAGATCCAACGGTCCAAGGAGCCAGTCTGCGGATTGATAGCTCTCACAAGCTTCTCTCCCAGCTCCTGCCCGATGGTGTTGGGAGTGACGACCAATCAAACAATCTACCCTCTGGTTATGTCAACATAGCTATTGAAAATGACAATTTATAGTGGATTCACATGGATTTACCCATTAAAAATGGTGATTTTCCATAGTTACGTTAGTTTACCAGAGGGTATAGTTAAACAACCTTAAGAACAGTGTCTAAGGATTCATAATCCCATCCCTCTGACAGTGTTAAAATCTTTCTTTACTGTAGTATTGTTTCATGTTGGATCATCATGGATCATCATGGGCGTGTGTGCAAATGCGATTTCCCATTTGCAAGGACGCCCCCCCCCGGTATTGGTTTATAGTCCTCATGAACTATATAGTTATATTATATTATAGTAATATAGTTAATGAGGCTTCTATATGATATCAGTATAGTACTCATTACTATATAGTTAACTATAGTAAACCATAGTAAACCATTACTTATTACTATATTACTTATATGGGCTTGTATATGATATCAAGTATGGGTTCAGTAACTTTATCCATTGATTACAAACTATACCATGTTATATTACGTTGTTACCCTCCATTATCAAACCCGAACGCGAACGTTCACCAAGTATCACCAAGTTATGTGCGTCAACCTAACTATATGGGGGCCCCACCAAACATAGCTATGCTTACAAAAGGCTAAGTACTGGGCTTCTCCGCGGTGTTCGCCTGGGCTTTCTGGAGGAAGATCTTTCTGCCGGACAAGGCGTGGGCCGAGAGAAGGCCGCCTGCGCGTTTGGCCCGGCAATGGAAAATCACATGTCATCCAACATCAGGTGGTTCAATGATGTACACTGGCCATCATTGGCCCATCTATTTGGAGATTTCCATATACCCTCTGGTAATTTAACAGTTTGCTATTGAAAATGGTGATTTATAGTGAGTTTTCCCATTAAACATGGTGATTTTCATAGTTATGTTAGTTTACCGGGTATTTCCCATGGGATTTCCAATCTGTCTTTGTGGATTTCCATGGATTGAGACCCTGAAATGTCAGAAAAAACGGTGTCGGCAGGAGAAATATGTTGTTTGTCCACAGCGGTGATGCAACAAGTGCGATGCCAGTTTGATGCCATTCCAGCACTGTCCAGTCCTCCCGTCAACAGTTTTTCTTGTTGTAAATTGTAATGTTTCACTAACCTGAATTAAGGCCATTTGGGGATGATTTCCCTTATTAACCATGATTGTAGTGAGGTCGCAATGAGGTCGTTATGTGTTATCCGGATTATCCATTAACATTCATTATATCCCATAATCTACCCATAATTATCCAGCAATTAGTAACCATATAGTAACTAGATCCATTATTATCCCAGAATATACCACCATATCCCATCAATTCAAAATCAAAGGCAAATTTGACCCCGATCCAGTCCTGGCCTAGGCCCCGGATGGTGATTTCGAAAAAAGACACGAAGCCAGAATGGTCAAACCTACAGCATTTTTCGCCGTTTTGACTCCAACCGAAGTTGGATCCATATGCACACAATACTGTACCCATGTACATATATATATATATATTATAATTATATTATATCATATCATATTATATCATATTATATCAAACTATACTATATTATATTGTAAAAATACAAAAATAGTAATAATAACAATAACAATAATAATAACAAATTATCATAATATGATTTTATATGTAATTCAGGATGCTCACAGAACAAAAAATAACGAGTGAGTTGCGTTCGAAAGGTTTGACCCGGCAGAGAAGGTATACTAAAGTGGCCTGGTAAGGCAGCACAACTTGTCATCGTTTGGGTATGGATCATGGGGCTATGGATCTCTCAACGGCCGCAGCGCAACTTGCTAAGGCAGCAGCTGCAAGCTCTGCTCCACCCATTCGGCGCCCTCGTTGAATTGATCCTAGCTGGGACCCACTTCGGGGTGCAGTTCCAGTCAACTAAGTAGTGGAGATACTCCTATAGGAGTCCCATGGTTATAGGCTTATAGTATATACATGTATCTACATTGTAATACAATGCATATCATTGCATGATATCCATCACCAAATAGTTATAGGCTCATAGGAACCCCATATCTCAACTTATGGGAGTTAAAATCCCACATGTCTTGGCTGTCATGTTTGTATCCATGTTCAACAAGCAAAGAGCTTCATGCCACTTGAGTTTTTCAGTGCCGGATGCACCGCCTGCCTTTAGATCCATGATCCACAGAGTAGAGAGGCCGTCCAAGATCCTGGGCCAGTTGGGATCATCCATCCATCATAATCAGAACGAACATGGTTAATTCATGTTTTTCACCATCAAAATGGAAACCCAACAAGTTCAACACATCACTGCTATATTGGCTGAAAAAAAACGAGTGGGCCAAAGAACGTTTTTTTCTGTACTTCATGAAAGGATCAACATGTCTTTGCCTTGCAAAAACGGGCAAGTAGCGGGCTTGCTTCTTTTCCACACCAACAAACGGCAAACGGATGTCCATCCCGCCTACGGTGGTCTTGTCAATGTCCCATATATCAGGTATATGGGAGAGTTTTTTTTTATTTGAACATGAATTAGCTACAGCCTATAGGCCTCTGTTAGTCTGGCCCCTCAAAACGAAGGCAACAGGCACTGGCAATGAGTCGACGGCAGGACAACCAAATGACGACAGCAATGTATCGGCACGCCAACGGCAAGGCAATTAAAGGGCGACGGCATGGCAACGGCATGGCCACAGCATGGCGACGACATTGCGACGACATGGCGACGACATGGCGACGACATGGCGACGACATGGCGACGACATTGCGACGACATGGCGATGACGTAATGACAACATGGCGGCGGTGCGGCGACGACGACGACGCCAATGGCGGCGAAGCAACGGCGATAACAACAACAAGGGGCAACCTGCCTGCCCCATCATGCTCAATCACTGTTAGCCCTCCATCTTGGCAGAGTGTGATGCTATCTTTGGGTGTGTGTGCGTGTGTGTTTGTTAACGTGTTTTCTCTACATGATGACTAGTATATATAATATTATATATATATATATACGTTGTTTGCTTTTGTGGGTCCTGGAGTATTGATTATTTTGTATTGGGCTTTTGGCTTGCATGCTTTGCACTTTACAACTGGGTTTTGTACACTTTGCATATGTTGTTGCATCCCTGACATTCAGACAACGATTCTTTTTACTAAAGCATGTCAGCAGACAATGCCTATACAAGTCAGGTACTCTCAAGTCAGACAGGCTTCAGTGCACAGAACAGCCTTTAACGCCAAAGGTTGGCGAAATTGAATGCAAAGAAAGGTGTGCACAAACTTCTGCACGTTCACCGCCAAACTGCCCTTGGGTTTGCTTGAGCTATGCGCCAGCTGAATTTCAAGTAAGTTATACGCTATATAGGTTTTTGTGACACGTTAGATCCCTTCTAAACGCATTTAGTTTGGAACAAGTTCTTACCCATTGACACCTTGTCTTCATCGAATTTGTGAGGACATAGTACCTAGGCTTGCATACTGACAATGAGCAGCTACAGCAACCTGAATCTGTTCTGTCCCGCTCCAATCCTACATGACATTTTTTTTCGATCACCATTTTTTACATAAAATGCATGGACTTGACAACATGTTCCACATGTATATCATTGTATATCAATTCCAGTTTTTGCACGTGTCAATCACAGGTCCTGTATCTCCTTTATCTTCACCTCCCCTTTGCAAACACGCACGTTGTGAAATACCATGGGCCCAGCATGCATGGCACCCTGGCGATTTTTGAAACCTGCGCAGCAATCTAGATGCTATCAATGTCATAATCAGCGATGTTCAAAACCCGCTGTTGGTGATTGATTTTGCTCGCCTTTCGGAGCTCTGATCAACAAACCAGTATATTGCAATCAGATGGATCTTGAACACTGCTGATATGAATCGTCTACGTGAACTGATGTTTGGCACACTGAGTGGTGAACAATGGTTAGATTCTTAACAGGATGTCTGGCACAGTGTTTTCGATACAGCTTCGGTGCATTAGCACCCTGTTAACTCATTTGGGCCAAGAGCCGGGTGTAAGGAATCATCGCCAGCCCGTGAATCACTGGCAAGTACTTGCAATAAAGAGAGATCAGCTTAGTCACCTTCTTCATGTGCCCCAAAACAATTTCGCTTTCTGCACCTTTTGCGAAACAGGTGACGGGTTGGGAGCACCAATCAACAAAGTGATAGGTTTATATACATGTTATTTTGCCTAAGAAAAGTACCACGGCCAAGGTCACCAAACGGGCGCGCTATTGAATATGGTTGGGATTTTGCTTCAAAATGAGTATTGCGCTGTTCTACTCAGATATTCTTCCCCAAGCCCAGCTCTAATTATGAAAATCTACTCCGGTAATAAACGTATTTTTTGTATAGGCACCGCATGCTGACCCATGACAAGGTGATATTTCATAGGTGAAGCTTGGGCAGAGGTGCTACGTCAAGAACTCTCAAGCCAGACATGCTCAAATACACGGTCGAGCCTTTCACACCAAAGGTTGATGAACTTGAATGCCATAACTTGCAAGGACCCCATCGTTTTTGCGTTCTCCTTGTGTTCAATTTGTTTGAATTTTGCACCGGCTAAAAAATCAATGATATCAATGTCAAGCACTACAACTTTGCACGCTAGATGCATGGTCGCATGTTGAACCTGGAAAGGTTTCTAGGAAGTCATGTAAATATACAACATGTAGTCCCAGTTTCATCTTGAAAATTTGGGCATATAGCATCTACATCGTCAACAGCGCAGGTTATGTAATGTAGTACTGCATTCAAAAGGAATCTGGTTCACCCATTGTTTTCTGAAAAAAAGGGCTCACATGCTGATAATGCGTCATACCCTGTGCAAGCACATGTCCAACGTGTTTCTTCATCTAAAACCAGTTCACACACACAGATCTCGCGAAATACAATGGACGTAATGCGCAGGAATTGCCAAAATCAAGCGAGCAAGTGGTTGAAATATTTGATACAACCGGCGATAATTGTGAAGGAAAAAAGCAATCAACTTTGCTTTCTTTGAATAAGTGTAGCGTAGATTCTCCTCCTCTAGATGCAAATTGGAACCGAAAATCCAAACGCACAGCGGGACTGGGGAAGAACCCCGCGGAGCGGCTTCCTACAAAGGGGAGACGTATAGGAAGGGGTTTCAAAAGCCACATAAACAGGAAACATGTTTTTCCGCACCCCTAGCTCCAGACAAGAGGGGTTCATCTCCGGACAGGGCGGGGGATCAAAAAGAGAATAAACCATTTGTTCCCTGCATTGTCCGGCGAATTCATCCCCCCTGCCTGGAGACGGAATATATTGATGCACAGAAACATCAAAGAACCCCGAATTGAGATTCACTACGTTTGTCCAAGTTGTGACTTTAGCAACATGAGAGTTCATGCGCTGTCAAAAACAAACTGCTGTTGTTTCAAGCCCATTGATCGAACACAATTCAAGTTGAATGCTGCCAGCACCGGAAACAAACACCCATTTAACGTCACTTCTCTTTTCCTTTTTTGAGCACATACACAGTGCCGATTTGCATCTTCCCGAGGTCACACGCGCTTGGTTTTTGAAACGAATCAAGGCCCATTCGATGACTGCATTGGAAGGCCATAGCGGTCATTTCAAATCACACCAATCATATCGGGCAGCTGCATGACGACGACCTTGCAACAACACGGCAAGCAGTGCGGTGTCATCATCAAAAAAACATGTTTTTATTTGCCTGTGCGTCGGCACGATTTTGGGTCTTTGGTGGAAGGTGACACTCTGTGAGCAGGGGTTGCGTTTTGCTTGCAAATGCGATGATCCATGGATTTCGTGTCGCCGTGTTACTTTATTGGTTTCTGCGACATGATGATAGGACCAGGAAGAGATTTCAAATTAAAGGATATTTCCATCGTCATGTCATTGTCAAAATTGTAAAAAATGTCGTCGTCGTGTGGTCGTCACATTGCCACCACATTGCCACCACATCGCCGCCACATCGCCGCCACATCGCCGCCACATCGCCCCCACATCGCCGCCACATCGCCGCCACATTGCCGCCACATCGCCGCCACCTCGCCGCCGCATTGCCGCCACATTGCCGCCACATCGCCGCCACAGCTGCCACAGGACCTTATTTCTGCCAATAAGGTCCTGTTTGGCCAAAACAAGACCTTATTGGCAGAAATAAGGTCCCGTGGCAGCTGTGGCGGCGAGGTGGCGGCAATGTGGCGGCAACGTGGCGGCAATGTGGCGGCAATGTGGCGGCAACTTGGCGGCAATGTGGCGGCAATGTGGCGGCAATGTGGCGGCAATGTGGCGGCAATGTGGCGGCAATGTGGCGGCGATGTGGCGGCAATGCGGCGGCGATGTGGGGAAATGTGGCGGCAATGTTGGCGGCGATGTGGCGGCAATGTGGCGGCAATGCGGCGGCGATGTGGCGGCGATGTGGCGGCGATGTGGCGGCAATGTGGCGGCAATGTGGCGGCAATGCGGCGGCGATGTGGCGGCGATGTGGCGGCGAGGTGGCGGCGATGTGGCGGCGATGTGGCGGCGATGTGGCGGCGATGTGTCGGCGATGTAATGGTGATGTGGTGGCAATGTGGCGGCGATGTGATGGCGATGTGGTGGCAATGTGGCGACAATGCGGTGACGCTGTGTTGACAAAGTCGCGACAACTTAGTTAGGAAGACGATGATTGCGTGCCCTCACATAGACAAAGCAGAAGAGTTGCGGTCTTGAAAACTTTACCCCGCAGAAAAATATTTACATTGCAAATTTGGAAAGCCGGTCCTTCTTACCCCGAACCAGAAAGCCCAGCAAATTCACCGTCATGTCCATTCCCAAACTTTGGGGCGCCTGCGTGTTTTCAGATGACGCTTGCATATTGTTCAGCGTTGCCTCTTCTAGTCCTGGCGTGGCCCAAACATTAGACAGTGTGACTCTATCTGTTCGCGTGTGTTTTGCAATGTTTCTTGCTGTGATGCTATGACTGTTTGATTGTTTTGGATATCTTCGATGATTATTTTGTGTTCAGCTTTTGGCTTGCATGCTTTGCACTTTACCACTGGTTTTTGCACACTTTGCATATGGTGTTGCATCATTGAAATGCAGGCGACGTTTCTTTTTACTAAAGCATGCCAATGTACAGTGCCTGCAAGTCAGATACTCTCAAGTCAGACATGCTTGAGTACACGGAGCAGCCTTCAACGCCAAAGGTTGGTGAAATTGAATTCAAAGGTGTACAAAAACTTCTTTGTGCTTACTGTTAAACTGCCTTTGGGTCTGCTGGATCTATGCGCCAGCTGAATGATGATTGTGACACGTTGGATCCCTTCTAAACGCATTTAGTTTGGAACAGATTCTTGCCCATTGACACCTTGTCTTCATCGAATTTGTGAAGACATAGTACGTAGGCTTGCGTATTGACAACGAGCAGCTACAGCAACCTGAATCTGTTTGTCCCGCTCTAATCCTACATGATATTTGTTTTTTTTCGATCACCATTTTTTACATAAAATGCATGGACTTGACAACATGATCCACATGTATATCAATTCCAGTTTTTGCACGTGTCAATCACAGGTCCTGTATCTCCTTTATCTTCACCTCCCCTTTGCAAACACGCACGTTGTGAAATACCATGAGTCCAGCGTGCATCCTAGCCATGTTTGAAACGTGCGCATCAATCTAGATGCTGCAATCAATTTCAAATCAGCGATGTTCAAAACCCTCTGTTGTTTGAAGATTGCGGGCGGCTTTACCAGCCAGTGTATTGGGGACTATCAGGGCGCCCCTATCAACCAACCAGCATACTGCAACCAGATGGGCCTTGAACACCGCTGATGTGAATCGTCTACATGAATCGATGTTTGGCACATTTTGGCACCCTGTATGGTAAACAACAGCTAATTTTTTAAACAGGATGTCTGCAATGAGAAAGGAAGACACGCAAGATAGGTTTCTATTATAGTTCCGGGCTGTTAACCTTTTCGGGCCAACTGCAAGGAATCATTGCCAGCCTGTGAATCACTGGCAAATAAGCTCAGTCACCATCTTCATGTGCCCTTATAAAGCAAGTTTCTTGTCAGCAAAATGTGCAAAACGGGTGACCGGTTGGGAACACCAATCAACAAAGTGGTAGGTTTAATTAGGTTTCTATACATGTTATTTTTCCTAAGAGAAAGTACCAAGACTAAGGTCACCAAACGGGCGCGCTATTGAATATGGTTGGGATTTTGCTTCAAAATGAGTATTGCGCTGTTCTACTCAGATATTCTTCCCCAAGCCCAGCTCTAATTATGAAAATCTACTCCGGTAATAAACGTATTTTTTGTATAGGCACCGCATGCTGACCCATGACAAGGTGATATTTCATAGGTGAAGCTTGGGCAGAGGTGCTACGTCAAGAACTGTTAAGCCAGACATGCTCGAATACACAGTCAAGCCTTTCACACCAAAGGTTGATGAACTTGAATGCCATAACTTGCAAGGACCCCATCGTTTTTGCGTTCTCCTTGTGTTCAATTTGTTTGAATTTTGCGCCGGCTAAAAAATCAATGATCTCAATGTCAAGTACTACAACTTGGCGCACTAGATGCATGGTCGCAGGTTGAATCTGGAAGGGTTTCTAGGAAGTCTTGTTTAAAAACAATAAAAAATGTAGTCACAATGTTCACCCAAAACTACGAGGAATGCTTTTTAGCACATGGCACCTACTTTGTCAACAGCGCGTGGGTTATGTAATGTTGTACCACATTCAGAAAAGGAATCTAGCTCACTCACTCTGTGCGGAATAAAATTCATGGACTCACATACTGATAATGCGTCATATCCAATGCTTGCACATGTCCCACGTGTTCTCTCTGACCCCAATACACACACACACAGACACGGTGAAATTCCATATGGACGCAATGTGCAGGAATTACCAAATCAATATTCAGCGTATTCGAAAAATTTGATACAGTCGGCGATCATATTGAAGGAAGGAAAGCCAATCAACTTTTCTTCCTAAACACTTAAATCGAAACAAGTTCCAAAGAGTTGAATATAAGTGTAGCCTAGATTCTCCCCTTCTAGATACCAATTGGAACCGAAAATCCAGACATACAGTGGGACTGGGGAGGAACCCCACGGAGCGGCTTCCTACAGAGGCGAGACATATAGGAAGGGGTTTCAGAAACCACATAAAAGGGAAACACTTTTTCCGCACCCCTAGCTCCAGACAAAAGGAGTTCATCTCCGGACAGGGCGGGGGATCAAAAAGAGAATAAACCATTTGTTCCCTGCATTGTCCGGCGAATTCATCCCTCCTGCCTGGGAATATACTTATGCACAGAAACATCAAAGAACCCCGAATTGAGATTCACTAAATTTGTCCAAGTTGTGACTTTAGCAACATGAGAGCTCATGGGCTGTCAAAAAAAAACTGCTGTTGTCTCAAACCCATTGATCGAACACAATTCAAGTTGAATGCTGCCAGCACACGAAACACACCCATTTAGCCTTGCCCGATTCAGAAAGCATGGCGCCCATCTGGGAAAGAACATACGAAAAACTGATTTGGCTGTGACAAACGCGCTTCGGCATCATCAAACCATAGCCATATGTATATCTATGTCTACACCATACCCTATATAACTCTGTCTCGTGCATGATCGTCGCCGTCGTCCTCGTCATCGCCGTCATCGTCGTTCTCACCGTCGTCGTTGTCGTCCTGGCCACGTCGCCATGTCGTCGCCATGTCGTCGCCATGTCGTCGCCATGTCGTCGCCATGTGGTGTCGTCGCCATGTGGTCGCCGTGTCGTCGCCATGTCGTCGCAATGCCGTCGCCAAGCCGTCGCCATGTGGTCGCCGTGTCGTCGCCATGTCATCGCAATGCCGTCGCGATGCTGTCACCATGCCATGGGCATGTCGTCGTCATGTCGTCGTCATGCCGTCGCCATTTGCACCAACTAAGCTTGCCACAGACCCCCTGGTACATACTAGAAACCTCTGCCCACAGGCTTCTAGAATCTAGATAAAACATGAATCTTAAGTAAATTGCACGACATGCATCCAACGTTGTACATCTTCATTTCATCTACCTTTCATGTCCCATATGCTCCATGGTGCTGGTATATTTACCTACATAACTGGGTCATTTTTAGGGCAAATGATGGTACATATTCCAGCACCATGGAGCATATGGGATTAGTGGTTCAATCACCAGTTTCGATGATTAAGTCACTAGTTTCTGATGGTTAAATCACTATGTTTGATGGCTATAATACCTATATAGATTCTATAGAAACATAGTGGGAAACAGACGTTTTTTTCACCAACCTACCCAGCCCACCCAGCCCACCCCAGGCGGCCAAGAGGCTGTAGCCCCAAGTTGCCCCAAACGCGGCCTGCAGAGCCTGACACAGGGCGCATCTCGTCCTTGCCCCAGGCCTGGCGGTGAGAAAAACACGAGTCGCAACAACAAGAAAAAGCTGATTTGTGGTGCAATAACCATAGTTAATAGTGATTAATAGTGGTTAATAGTGGGAATTGGTGATTAATACCTGACCTAATGAATAACATATGCTGGTTGGTGGCTTTAACCATCTTGAAAAATATGAAAGTCAATGGGAAGGATGACATCCCATATATTATGGAAAATAAAAAATGTTCCAAACATTTTTAACCAGAAAGTCTCCAAGTTAGTGATTTCCAGCCACCAAAAAAAAGACTTTTTATAGATAAATAATTTATATCATAGTTATCTAAGAGACAAATGGCTGGTTGGTTTCATCGAAAAATATTCCAGCTGGGATGAGCATCCCATCCCGTGGTTGATCAACCAGTTAGCTTACCCTCTGGTAAACATACAAAAAACTATGGAAAGATCCACCATTTTATAGCTGGGTAAATCCACTATTTCTATAGCCATTTTCAATAGCTATGTTAAATTTACTAACTTCCTAGTTTTTTATACCATCAACAGGGGACCTTTCATGGCTCGTCATCTCGTCGTTGCAGCCAAGGAACGCGTTCCCTGTAGCCCTTCCAGCTATGAATCGCCGCATTCCTCGCAGGGTCACCAGGGTTTTTTGACACATCTACCGATGTCAAAGTGACACTAACAGAGCTATGGAACATGACTCATTTATAGATGATGTCCCTATTCATAAGCTATGTTGGCATATGTTGGCTATGTTCGTTTACTAGAGGGGACAGTGTGGTAGAGTAACCGTGAGGCATGATCCCAGTCCAGTCATCCCTCCTGGCCATCTGCCGCCATTTCTCCGCTTCTTTGGCTGAATGTTCTAAATCCTTGGAAAAGGGCGGCAAGGCTGAGTCTTTGGCTGAAGCTTCGCCTTTTCCACACCACTAATGGCTGGTTGGTGGTTTCAACCCCTCTGAAAAATATATTAGTCAGTTGGGATGATTCTTCCCAACATATGGGAAAAAAAAATGTTCCAAACCACCAATCAGTAATGGCCTTTGAGCTCGTAAGTGGGCGAAATCTCAACGCAATTTCGTACATTTCGTTCTGGATGTGGGTTAAATTGATGACACACACACACAAACTGCATTACTTTCAACGATAAGAATCTGTGGGCCAACCTCCCTCACAAGCGCCTTTAACTATGAGGGAATCCCAGCGGCTGGAAAAGTGCTTCCAAACTTCCGGACATCCCAGGATTCGTCTGAAAAAATCATCTCATTTTCTCTACAAATGTTAAAAAAATGGTGTTTTGGACACACCCAAAGATCATCCCGTTGGTTATGCATATAGATACACAACATATTAGATTAGATTAGATTTGATTGGATTTAGATTGGATTAGATAGAGATTCCATTGTATATCCTGGAATCCTCCTTTGTAGTTTATTTTTTGAAAAACAGTTTGGAACTCCCCGTTGCATCGTGAATTCCTTGAGACCTGGAGATCTCAACACATCTCCGCTGGGATGGAGCTGCTGGAGCTAAGACTCAGCTCGGGAGAAATGGGCCAGCCACTCTGCCGGGAAGTCCTGACTGGTCGAATTCAAGGTGGCACCCACCCTACCCCCCACCTAGTTATCTTTGTTGGTTTCATTTCACCCCAAGAATATTGTATATATATATATGTAATATATACAGATATATATATATCCCCTACAGAAACCCTAGTTAACCAAGTTGTAAGTCAACTCTCGTTAGGAATAAGATAGATAATGATGTAAACGCAAAAATAAAACAAGGCATCAGGCCCTGGAAGCGGACAGGTTTGAGGAAGAGAAACAGAGCAGAAATTGACAAACTCTTGGAGAAGAAAACCATGAATGTGGATAAATCATGGTCATAATTTGAGTCATACCCTCTGGTAAATTAACATAGACCCTGGCAGATAGGGGTTGGAAGACTAGTTTCCATTAAAAATTGGTGATTTTCAGGGTCTATGTTTATTTACCAGAGGGTAATTCACACATGGTGTCCATGAAGATCCAAGGTTTCCCCCCTCCTGAACCCCTGAGGTCCCTTCCACCGCAAGTCCTGGTTGCCAAGAGCAAGTGCGGCACCTGGAGATCATAGCAAATGTGGAGCTATTTGAACCTAAAAATGAACTACTCTCATGTGGTTGGGAAACTCTTAGTAGTCCCTTGGTTCCCTATTGTAATGGCAAAATATAGGGTATGGCTGGAGACCCGACTCTCCTTTGCTCCCTCCGTTCACCCAGCAAAAAAGTGCAGTAGCAACAGCAATCCAAGCCCTGAACTTGGCTGAAACGTTCGGCCTTTTGTGGACTATTCCCCATTTTGACACTATCACTTTCATTCCAGTGACTCCAAAAGTGAGGTCATTAAAATTCATCCAAAAGTGAGGTCACGGTAAATAATCTGATAAACGATGGTTCTATCTTTTTTGGTGCTGCCTGCACTAAGCTACACTAAAGTTCGTAAAGCAATCGTAAATCAGCCCCAAAATTTGCCATAATTTGCTATAGACCATCCACATATATATCAAATATTGGTTTCATTTCAATACTTTACTTTACTATTTCACCCCACTTTACGATTCATAAAGTTTCACTTGAACAAATTACTATTTCATATCATAAAGTTTATTATTTCATTTCATTGTCATCTTACTTTACGATTTCAGTTACCACCGGGTCCCCATGGCCAGCACCTGGTTGCCCATCCTCTGGTGCCGCAGCCACCGCGGAAGGCACCAGGGGAACGGGGTGCTGCTGCTGTTGCTCCGAGAGTCGCTGCAGCGCCTGCTGCAGGGACTGGATCTGCTGCTGTTGCCTGGCGACTTGGACAGGAGTTGACCCAATCCATTGGGCTGGTTTCACATGGGCGGGAAACCAGGTTTTAACCATGTTTAACGATATGGACTTGATATGATGTCATGGTTGCCATGTTATTGTTCAATGAGTTTTGTTTGTTTCCTATGGTTTTGGAGGTTTTAACATGTTGAAACAATGATTTATTAAGGACATACCGGGTTCTTCAAAAAAAACAGCCATCCCATGAAGTACCACACCACAGAGGTCATGCCCCCCCCGTCCCCCAATTCAATGTTGTCTTCTGAATTTTGTGTTTGGCGGCCTTCAAAAAAAACAGCCATTTCTGTTGATGATGTTCGGCACTTCCGATCACAACATTGAAGTTGGGGGTTGCGGGGGTAAGCAGGGTATCTCTGTGGTTTCCTGTGGATGGCTGTTTTTTTTGAAGAACCCGGTGAGGTTTTTTTTGGTTCCGAGTTCATTTTAACTGTTGTTGATATGCATGTGGATGTAGATCAGCACACACACACATACACAACATCGAAATTTACGCACAAAGCATGCGCTTCTGTAATCTGTGACAGCCCAATAAAGGTGGATGCTAAGGGCTAACCATCAGCTTGTGAAATTTACCCAAGATGGTTGTCAAAGCTTATTCTATATAATATGCGACAACCCCACAAAGGTGGATGCTACGGGCCACCACCACAATGTAATATCCAAGGCGCTCAGCTTCCAAAGTCTCGCCCCTGCCACCTACAACTCTTGCGCCTGCCACGCTGTTTTCTACTTCCCCACTTCACGGGTGTGATTTGTATGGGCCTGCCAATGCAACGCACATGCAACACACAACACACATGCAACACACATGCAACACACATGCAACACGAGCATTTTCCCTGTAAATTTCCAAGCAAAGTGGCCGCGGGGGCAAAAATCTACACTTTCCATTCTAAGACCGGAGTTGGGGCTGCAAACGTCAAATCCTGCACGTTGACTGTAAATTTACAGGTAAAAAGCTCATGTTGCATGTCGTGTTGCATGTGTGTTGCATGTGTGTTGCATGTGTGTTGCATGTGTGTGCAGGCGTTGCATAGAGCAGTCACGCTCTCAAAGTGGCGCGCCTGCCACGCAGAACGACAGCCAGTGCACCCAACGACATTGCGGAATCAGGTCAAAAAGGTGTCAAGACTGTCGCTGCATGTATTTCACTTAGCACAACCCATATTCACACATGCGCCCGCGCAAGCAAACAGACACACCCACACACAAACACCCGCCCAAACTGATCCCGATGCTTTCTCTGACACAGTGTCGTCCTCGCGTTTGTCTGCAGCCATGGGTCCATCCTATTGTGTTTTTTCTGAGTCCGGTGAGGTTTTTTTTTGGGGGGTTCCGAGTTCATTTTAACTGTTGTTGATATGCATGTGGATGTAGATCAGCACACATACACATCGATGCGACAACATCAGCTTCTGAAATTTACGCATTGTCAAAGCATGCGCTTCTGTAATCTGTGACAGCCCAATAAAGGTGGATGCTAAGGGCTAACCATCAGCTTGTGAAATTTACCCAAGATGGTTGTCAAAGCTTATTCTATATAATATGCGACAACCCCACAAAGGTGGATGCTACGGGCCACCACCACAATGTAATATCCAAGGCGCTCAGCTTCCAAAGTCCCGCCCCTGCCACCTACAAGTCTTGCGCCTGCCACGCTGTTTTCTACTTCCCCACTTCACGGGTGTGATTTGTATGGGCCTGCCAATGCAACGCACATGCAACACACATGCAACACACATGCAACACACATGCAACACACATGCAACACACATGCAACACGAGCATTTTCCCTGTAAATTTCCAAGCAACGTGGCCGCGGGGGCAAAAATCTACACTTTCCATTCTAAGACCGGAGTTGGGGCTGCAAACGTCAAATCCTGCACGTTGACTGTAAATTTACAGGTAAAAAGCTCATGTTGCATGTCGTGTTGCATGTGTGTTGCATGTGTGTTGCATGTGCGTTGCATGGCAGGTGTGCAGGATAGAGCAGTCACGCTCTCAAAGTGGCGCGCCTGCCACGCAGAACGACAGCCAGTGCACCCAACGACATTGCGGAATCAGGTCAAAAAGGTGTCAAGACTGTCGCTGCATGGATTTCACTTAGCACAACCCATATTCACACATGCGCCCGCGCAAGCAAACAGACACACCCACACACAAACACCCGCCCAAACTGATCCCGATGCTTTCTCTGACACAGTGTCGTCCTCGCGTTTGTCTGCAGCCATGGGTCCATCCTATTGTGTTTTTCTGAGTCCGGGTTCTTCAAAAAAAACAGCCATCCCATGAAGTACCACACCACAGAGGTCATGCCCCCCCCGTCCCCCAATTCAATGTTGTCTTCTGAATTTTGTGTTTGGCGGCCTTCAAAAAAAACAGCCATTTCTGTTGATGATGTTCGCCACTTCCGATCACAACATTGAAGTTGGGGGTTGCGGGGGTAAGCAGGGTATCTCTGTGGTTTCCTGTGGATGGCTGTTTTTTTTGAAGAACCCGGTAATGTGATTAAATGGATGGCAACGTCATCGGGGCCCCGATCACATTTTGACTCGAAACCTTGCCATCATGAGCTTGGGCCATCCCGGTGGCAATCCCTGGAAACCCCTGTGTCAAAGAATTCATGGTTGTTTTGTGAAATGGTTGCATTTTAAAGATTACAATAGATAGATAGATGGATGGATAGATAGATAGACAAATAGATAGAGATAGAGATAGACATAAAGATAGAGATAGATATAGATATGTGTGTGTGTGTACATACATGATCATACATACATGCATATGTATTGTCGGGCACCATGCCAGTTGAAGCCTTTATCAGGAACCATCTCCAGTTTAGCCTGGTAGCTGAACAATCACAGTGAAGGATTTGGTGCAAAAAATGCACTTCCCAGGGCTGACACATAGCCTGACAGCCTGACAGGGCCCTGCCTCTCTATCTCTTCTTGGTGTTCTCTGCTCATTTCTTTCATCTTCCTCGCCACCGCCTACGGTGCGGCTGGTGCAGCCCGTTGGGCCCCAGGCTCCATATGATTCGCCATGCTTGAGGCAAGAGCTGACTCAGATCGCTTGGCTTTTCATAGGTCCCAAACATGTTCTTTTCGCGATGTCAGGTATACAAGTATTCAGCAACTGTCATTACCCTCTGGTAATTTAACGTAGCTATTGAAAATGACCATGAATAGTGGATTTTCCCATTAAAAATGGTGATTTTCAATAGCTATGTTAAATTACCACAGGGTAACTATCATTCCATCCACGTTGCCTTCTGGAAATCATACATGGCGGCAAGCAACTCCCCATATTTTCCCATTGAAGCCGAGGGATTTCCCAGCCAGCTAAAAGATTCCCAGCCAGGTGTGAACAACTCACAACTCACCTATCATCATGTCCAATGATTATCCAATGTTATGAACATGTTCAACTTTAGGGTTAACTATAAGCAGGTCTCATCCCCTCTATTTTATTATATATATATGTCCCATCAAACCCCCATCCATAATTACCCCATTACATATACAGAACATGAATATGGCTTGCATATGCAGGCATACATCATGTGCATATATATATATATAATATACACACACTAATCATACACGCACAGATAAAACTCATCTCCCCAAAGTCTCAACCCATCCCCACAGTCGACCCCACAGTCGCTGCCCAGATTTGCCCAGGCGCGGTATCTGCCGCGCCCACCACCAAGGGTGTTGCCATCGGCGCCGGCGCTGGGGTGGCCATTTGATCTTCAACTTGCCGCAGCTCGCGCCTCGGTCCGTCCCAGGAATGGCCCCAGGTGGAGGAGAATAAAACCGTGGGGATGCGTTGATGTTAGTGGAGCAATAGCAAACCATCCCACATTTTATCACAAATGGATAGGATAAACCATCAAAATATGGGTGGTTCGTGCTTTTGTTGGATCACTTAGTGCCATAATGCGCCATACATTTCCGAAATAATCCTTTCTTCCTATTACTAGAACTCCCAAATAAGAAAAAGTAGGATTGGTGTGCACTTCCGTTTTTTTTTGGCTGGGCACAAGACAATTGGATTGTTAATTGTGGTATTTAAGAATCAATAGGAGAACAAAATGGTGAAACAATGGGTTCAACCCCCTATTAATAAAAATAGATTGCCACCTGGAGTTTTTTTTTTTTTTAGGGTCCCATCTCCCAAGTTTTATTATTGTCATTTTTATCATTCACTATCTATTGGAATATTGCGGGCGCCCTAATACAAAAAAATACCCCCTAATAATAAAAATAGATCACCTTGTTTACCATTTGGGCCGGGGGGAGCGTTTTAGTAATAGAGACTCAGCGTCAAGAGTCAACAACCGATATGACTTTCCGTGAGAATAGGTAAACCAACATCTATTTCACAATATTTGAGTCTTCACCAATGTGCCAAGGCTGTGACCCATAAACTCATGAACATCCATAAATGGAATGGAGCCTGTAACAAGCATGATGGTCTTGGCAGGTCCTGGCCATGCAAAATAAAGCTTCCATGTTTCGTTTGATTTTCATCCAACCGAATAAGTGACATTCCCAACCCCGCCACTGGAGACAGAGGGACTGCTGGGCCACGATCAAATTGTTCAATTGGCCCAGGAGTCTGGTTAACCTGGGCCGCTGGGTATCAGCCATCTTGAATCTGAGTTTGTGGGCTGTGACATCATAGTAACTACATATACCCTCCCGTGATCAAGAGTGCACATGGAAACTTATATGTTTATATGTCTGTCTATCTATCTATCTATCTATCTATCTATCTATCTATCTCTCTATCTATCTATCTATCTCTCTCTCTCTCTCGCTTCATCGCCCTCTCTGGGAGTTCAGTCATAGATATATATATATATATAATATTATTGAATATTATTACTGTTTTACATGTATATATATATATAATGATAAATATATATGTATGTATGTACGTATGTAATGTAATGTAATGTAATGTAATGTAATGTAATGTAATGTAATGTAATGTAATGTAATGTAATGTATGTATGTATGTATGTATGTATGTATGTATGTATGTATGTATGTATGTATTATGGTATGGTATGGCATGGTATGGTATGGTATTGTATGTATGCATGCATGCAAACATATATATATATACACCTCGTGATATATAAATATATAAAAATATAATATGTACTTGTTCTGCTTCCATGTATGCGTACATGTATGTATTAATGGCTATCTATGCACATAGAAAGAGAGATATGACATGCCTTCATATTTCTGAATGTATAGATATAATACATCAGGATGAAGTACTGGCCTACCATGGCCTACTATTGACAGTTTTGACCGTGAGCAGGAAGAGCTATGCTTAGCTGATAGAAGTTCGTGCGCAAACATGAAAATCTTAAATATAATGTATATATATATATATAATTCAACAATGTTCATCATCATCCCAAGCAGGGGAAAGCCATGAAAAAAAAAAAAAATACAAATAACCTATTATTGTGGATCCCTCAGCATTGTAATACGTTGCTGATTGCACCACTGGGATGCTTCCGTGTGCCAAGGGCGTGGCTGCCAACTTTTTGAAACACGCGAGCGTCGCGACGGCAATCGCAGAGTCAGAGTGGGAGTTGGGTATCCAACCATGGCGCCAGGGCCGCCAGGCACCGTGCGCCAGGCACCGGCTAGTCTTTCATGCCCAGCAAAAATATCAACTTTCAGTTTCGGTAGCACATATCCTCATCATTTCCGATCTATGGCCAAACAAAAAACGACAAATGTATAATGATCTGAACAAGAGTTACCCGCTGGTAAACTAACATAGCTATTGAAAATGGCCATTTATGGTGGATTTACCCATTAAAAATTGTGATTTTCCATAGTTACGTTAGTTACTAGTTTACCAAAGGGTAGCCGAACAGTCCGCCTGATCATTTTTTTGGTGCCAACACCGGCACCTGGCCCAACCTGGCTGGTTGGGTTCTGCTATGATGTGCTTAGTCAAAGCAGTTCCATGACGAGTCAATTGGCAAAGCTGTTGTCTTGTCTTCTTGCTTCCGGAGGTATCCTAAGTGCCCCAACATCCCAACATTCATCCCCGCAACATTGTTTCAAGGGTCACCTCACCTGGTATTTGACGTCATTTTTGGCATGGATAGCTGCCCCCAACCAAGCTTTTCTTCCATGTTTAGCTCTTCCAACCCCGCAAGATCCAAGACAAGTACACCCGAGATGGTTTCCAAATCAGCATGGGATGGCTTGAAAATATGGTACCCTAGGGCACCCCAAACATCAAATTGTTTCTGTGTTCTGATGCGGTTCCTCATGAGAATCACGGGGTGTTCCCTACAGTAATCTGACTTGGCCATTGAACATCCCCTGGTTTTTTTTGATGACTTTACCATTAAAAAAGGACACAGGTGTTTCCCATGTCTCACTAATATAGAAGAAGAACCAAGCAAACGAACCCTCGAGCAGTCTCAACTCTCAACAATTCTTGGTTCAAATGGTCAAGGACAAAAACTCCAAGGCTCCAAGCCCTTGACTATGACTAGTTCCACGTTCAACTCCGATTTCAATCTTCAGTTCCTCTACATTAAAAACACCTATATTCCCCGGTCAGAGTTCTCTGTAAGTGGGCAATAACATTTAGCAGCCATATTATTGAAAAAACCCAGTTATATTTTACATATACGCAAGTTGCACTAGATAGATTAATATAGATGAATGGCTGCTGATCACCACTAACTCTGTCTGAGTCCGACACTCCCCGGTTGACCCCCACCATAGGCCTGAGCCACCTTCAATAATCCGGATTCAGTTGACCCCAAGTATCATAACGAAATTATGAATTGGATCTAAACCCCAGACCCCCAACAAAGAACCAAACTTATGTGGGTTATTCACAAATTGCCCGTGCTAACTGGATCCCACAATGCCCTTGACCCCTTCGCTCCAAGCATCTTCTGGGAAAACAACATCTGAAATCCCAACTGTTAAACCCCCACGATTTGGATCCGGTTGACCCCTAAGAAAAGCTAAAATGAAATAGTGGATATGTCGGATATGCCCCAGTTCTAGGTTCTTAACCACTTGCCCCAACCAAAACCCGGGCAGACCCCGAACCTGAACCCCTCCAAGCTTCTTCTGGCCTGTCGCCGGAAGACGGGATTCTCCAGCAGGTCGCTGGCCGCTGGCCGCCGATGCGCATTCAAAGCCAGCAAGGCTGCCAGGACTAAGCGCAACGGGCCGATGCGGCCGCCCTCATCGAAGGGCAACCAGCTGGAAGCGTCCTGAGGCACTGGTAGTGCAGGACACATCTTGACTGTTGAATCGCCAATTTCCAGACCCGAATATTGTATTCTGGGTTATACATATTATATATATATATACATATCCCTGATTAAATAATATTCAATATGGTGACCTTTATTACACCCCATTCTTCAAGGATGGGAAAAAATACACGTGGGCCGTGGGGTAGGTTTGGTCAATTTTGTTAAGGTAAAATGACCAAGTCCCCTCCCATATCTCCCGTTGTCGCAAAAAATCATGTAGCTACAATGGGTCGGACCAAGATTGAACCTGGTCCCAATGCAGTGGGTAAAGGAAACATAACTTCACCGTAGTCGCCGTAGTCCATCACAAAATTCTCGGAATTCATCCCTTCAACTTGGATGTGCATCACAGGATTGCGTTAATCATAACAATAACCATATACATAACTCACTTGCAAATGATATATATATATATAATTATATATATATATACAAAATATATACATAGCCATCCTGGAGCAGACAGTGACAGAATGTGTAAACTTCCAAAAAACATCACCAATTAAAATGGGAATCTGCTTGAAAATCACCATATCCATAAATATTATATCTACTTCAGGATAATGACGGATAATGATATACATCTATTTAGCTCAATAAAAGAATATATATATATATATACATATGGTATATATACTAAGATTATGCTATAAGATTATACACCAACCGTTGGACATCCGGAGCGGCTTGTCCTCCTCCGCCGGTGTGGCGGTCTCGGGGCATCGGGCCGAACGCTTCTCCTCCACGAAGGACCGGATGAGGCCCTTGAGCACCTAACGAAAACGGCTGAAGATGCTGAAGATGCTGAAACTTCTTGGTGATTTTCCGGAAATTTATGAAATTTACCATGCAACCACTGAAGGGATTTTCCAGAGATTTACAATGCAACCATGGGGGAGAATGACTGGAGAATGGGGGTTTTGAAGGAAAAATGCTGGTGTTAAGCCGCTTTCAACAAATATCTTGGCGTTGAGGAATATTTTTTGGAAACATGAGATTTAATGAACAAAACAACAGCTTTGAAGTAACAAGAAGTGGTTTCTTGAATACACTTGGTGGATATACATAACCGCCCAACAATCGAGATATGTCAGTTGATGAAGTCCGAAGGTGTGAGTCCAGCAAAAAAGGTTGCAATGCCGCAAGAGATACCACTTTCTGATTTTCTGGTTTGTTGTGGGTGGAATCCGGTTTGTAACCGCAGTAGCCCGAACACATCTCTTTTTTTCCGGTTTGTCACCGTTGAATCTTCAAGTGGTGGCGTCTTTGGAGGGATCAATCCGAGGCGCGTGCGGATCATCATGCGAAAAGGGGAGGGATGTGAAACACATGGCATAGAGCACCATGCCCAGTGACCACATGTCGCTCTTCTCAGAGTACTCCCTGCCGAGGCCATCGGCAAGTTGACAAGTTGAAATTCTAAGAAGTTCCGTTGGACAAAACCTCAAACAATATATATACCCTCTGGTTATGACTAACATAGCCATGGAAAATCCCTTATAAATGGAGGTTTCTAGCTGGGAAAATCATCTATAAATGGGCCATGTCCCATGGCTATGTTAAATAACCAGAGGGTATATAATATGACATAATATGACCATATTTGCTGGTTAAATTCCCATTCGCTTGTTCCACAAAATGGTCTCCTATTTCCATAGCAATGGATCGTCAAACATTTTGTATTTCCCATCCCCCACTGTTTCTGGTGAAAATCGCCAGAGTTTTCATGGTGAAAGAGAAAACCGCCAGGGTTTTTCATGGTGAAACAAATAGCGATGTTACTGGTAAATTGCATTTTTGTTGACCTATCATCCCCACTTGACGGATACAGTACGTTTGGGATTTGGAAAAGCACACCCGCGCATTTTTGCCTGGTTCATGTTGATGGTAAAACCAGCATTCTTGATGGTGCAATTCACACAGTTGGTGATTAAAAACCACACATTAATAGTTAAACCCATGGGTATAGGTTTTCGTGCTTATAGAAACCCACACGCTTCACTTTTTTCTTGGTGATTCACCATTTGCAAAATCCAAATGTACCCCATAAATAATCATAAATAGATGCCTATTAGATGCCTTATTTCATGGAAAATCCGAACATAAAATGGATGAGAACTGGGGGTAGCCCTATGACTTCACCAAACCTCGCCTCTTGAAATCCTCCGTGAACCTAGGAGATTTGCCGATCCGGAACCAGTCCCTAGCGGTGCCCCGATACATATATAGCTAAGTTGGATAATAAAATCCCAAAAACCACGTATCATGATTCATGATTCATTCGGTTTATAAAACCAACAATCATAACTATAGAGTCACTAGAGGTACCAGGTGGGCCCAACATGCATGGATTTCCCCTAAACTTTCATGGATTCTTCCTTTGGAAAAAGCAAAAAAATCCTCGACTCCGTACCCTCTGGTAAACGTTTACATAGCTATGGAAAATCACCATGCTATTCATGGGAAAATCCACTATTTCAATGGTCATTTTCAATAGCTATGTAACAAATAACCAGAGGGTAAATCCCATTAAATCCCATTAAACCACCATTTTCCTATGGTTTTCCTATGGTTTTCCTATGGTTTACCAGAGGGTATACATACCCCCTAAATCCTCGCTTCGGAACAGCAGTTCGGGTGCGGTGTACTCCACGGTGCCCGTGTAGCCCCTACTCTGCGCCGCGGTGGCGCTCGCGGGCGGCTCGCCAAAGGCTTGCGCCGTGCCGAAGTCGCTCAGCAGCGCCCGGGGGAAATCTGTACCTGGATCTTTTGTGAAAAGAAAAAAACAACTGGGTATGGATCAATACCTATTAAGACCATTTTTAGGGGAATGAACATCCATTTACCAGCTATTTTGATGTTAACCAGGGGTACAAGGTTTTGACACACTGCCACCTGGGGAGATGTGTCGCTATAGCTGGTTATGGTAATTTACCATGGGAACATGGGAAAATCCAAGTTCTTTCATGGCCCATTTTGATGCGAACATCCTCCAGTCAGGTGACCAGTGGGATCACTAAGGCTTTCCACAGACAGCATTTGGTGTTTTTCGTTTGGTGGTTTTGCGCCAATGGAACGCAAAGACATAATCATCTTTGGTTAAAAATTATGTTTGACACATCTTTGCCCACGATCTGTCTGGGAATGTACTTCCTTAAGTCCTTGATTCACCCCGAAATGAAGTTCCAAGAGCACGTTAACTAAGAGCGTAGCACCAAGAGCGTGTTGGAAGTTCCAAGAGCAAGTTAAGAGCGTAGCGTCAAGAGCGTGTTCCAAAATGCCTGATATAATCAACAAAAACAAGGATTTTACCGGCATGGGATTTAATCAGCAAAGCGGCGGCAGCCGCTTTAGATTTTCTCAGATTGAGTGTTGGTAAGTGAATGAATCGGAATAAATGTACTGAACCATAAGCGAGATTGACTGTTACCCTCTGGTTATTTAACATAGCTGTGGAAAATGGAAAATGGCCAATTTAATCCAATTTACAGATTATACATGATGATTTACCTATTTAAAATTGTGATGTCCCATGATTTTCCATAGGTATGTTAGATTACCAGATAGTATCGATTGTCATTTAGCAGCTAGTCGCTTCATTTGGGAAGTAGTGCTACCATCCACGAAGTTGGCGACCAAAGGGTAGTGGAAAGCACATTAGGCTCTACCTTCTCCTATCTCATCATTACCTGCAAGCAGAACCCAATGAAAACCATGGAACCCACATGGATAATCTCAATCTATATATCTTGTACTTGATTTCTGACCATGTTCCGCCTTTCCTGATAACCCCCTATGTCCCATACATAAAGGGACATTACTAAACTGAGGACCTGTGACATCATTTGAAACCTCTAAAAATCATGAAGAATCAGAACGTTTCAATGATTCCGCTGATTCATCAAGGGCTACCCTCTGGTAACTTAGCATAGCTATGAAACATGGCCCATTTATAGATGATTTACCTATTAATGATGGTGATTTTCCACAGTTATGTTAGTTTACCAGAGGGTAAACCTCCATTGTAAAAATTACCAAGCAAAAAATCATGTCACTCGCGCGCCTGTGTAACAAATACAATAAAAAAACACTACCTGGCTAACTTTGCGATCCAACTTCGGAACAACCAAGGCGCGTCTACCTCCAACTTCCTCCGGGAAAGACAGGAGGATGTTGGTGGGCTTCAAGTCCCGATGGAGGATGCCCTGACGGTGTAAATGCTGCAAGCCCAGCAAAATATCCTCGGCACCGTTGTTGGAACATCGGCTGTAGCCATCGGTTCTTGGAGTTGAACCATCCACACTGCAAAAAAAACGAGCAGTTTGAATCGGACAAAGGGCAAAGGGTGGAACAAACATGAACAAACAATATGCATGATTAACCCGAATCAAAAAGACAATACAGAAACAGAAACACGGCATAAAAAGGACACCTACACCACATACATCACTTCTCTGATTTCCCCCGAGCTCCACCGTTGCAACAAGTGTCAATCAGGAAGTGCCACGTCTGTTCCTTGGCAGGGCTGGCCACGAGTCGGAAGGGCCGAGTCAAAATGACTCATTTGCCTCACCATTGTTGTGATCATCCACAATTACCCCATTACGATGTTCAGGAGGATATCATGATACATCCGGACCTTCATGTCCGGCGTAAAGACCTCCCACCTGTGGATCCATAAACACCAAGCTGCTGTCGATAGCGGCTCCTTGGGCGTCATCAGGTTGCCGTCGTGCCAAATCATCTCCGCCAACGATCCCCCATTGCCTTGGACCAGGGATCAGGAACCGGTGCAGTAACCCCCCAGCCACGGAATTGTGATGATGTCATTACTCTTCGGTCTTCTTTGGCGCATATAGATGTAGATCCAATATATATATATATATATCTATAGACAGATAGATAGATATAGATATAGAAATAGATATAGATATAGATATAGATATATATACATATTTATATATATAGAGATATTTTTATATATATACATATTTAAATATATATAGATAAATAGAAATAGACATAAATAATGTTGTACATATATACATATACATGTATATATATATATAATATGGATATAAAGATATAGATATAGACATAGATATAGATATATAGATTCACAGCAAATGTTCAAGAAATTCCAATCGTACAGGAGAGCACCAAAATAGCTTTGTGAATGTTCATTCCCCCTTTTTCGATGTTCCGATATCTCTTGACCCATACCCATATCAACAACTGTTCGCCAAAATGAGTATGTGAAATTCTTTGGCTTTGATCTTAAAATCTAGATTCCTCTTCTACAAGTACTTATATACCCTCTGGTAAACTAACATAACTATGGAAAATCACAATTTTCAGTGGGTAAATCCACTATATATAAATATCTATAAATATCTATAAATGATAATTTTCAATAGCTATGTTAAATTACCAGAGGGTTACCACAGCATACCACAGCAATTCATACCCCAAGGAGCAGTACTGCATCAGGATGAAGAGGAACGGCACAAAGGGACAGAATTCCGACCTTCGGGAGAGCTCCAACCAGCTGTGTTTGTACTCCACGATGTTGGGATGGTGTAGACCTAACCCCGCAGCTCTGCAAATCTGCAAGCTGCGAAGAAAAATGCTGAGCACGATGTTGGGATGGCTGAAACGAAAGGCAACCAAAAGCAGAAAAAACGCAACAACCAAAAAAAAAACACATTAGAGCTGGCTTCGTATATGCCTCCAATTGCCACCATTTATAGCGCAAGGTTAAACATTTATAAACATCTTTAAGCTCTCCATCCAGTCGGTCAGGCACCAAACGCCGCCCCGCGTAGCCAGGGAGCGTTCAAAGGTCTTCACCTCTCTAACCATGTCGCGGAGCCAAACTTTGTTGTCACCCACTGGCACTTTTTTCACCTGAGATCCGTGTTGAAAAACAAGACCCGGATCATGGATTCACCGATAAATTACCTCTAAGTCACAACCTAAGTCTTGGTATGTGAATGTATGTGATGATTATCCACTATTTTTGTATGTAATCTGACCTTATTGACCAGAACACATAATTCATATAATCATACAATCCGTCATTCCATTCTTATCCGTTGTTACTGATTGTTTGAGAGGGATACCCGTGGTGGATTATGATATATAACCAATCAACCATGGTTTTGGTCATGTGGGCCTGATGGTGACCATGTGACCATGTGATGGCTTCAAACATGAGGATTCAATGTCAATGAGTCAACCAATCTGGTTGGTGGTTCCAACCCCTCTGAAAAATTTGAGTCCGTCAGTTGGGATGATGACATTCCCAATATATGGAAAAATCAAATTCATGTTCCAGACCACCAATCAGATGGAGGTAAATGGGGATGTAACCAGCCAGTGGCTGGATTCTTTTGTGACCCTTTGACACTTGTGTTGACCAAGGAACCACGGATATATGATGACATATGGGTGTGCGGGGATGCCCATAAAATGGCAATTTTAAGGAGGAAACCTCACTGGTGGATTTAGCAGTGCCCTGCGTGAAAGCAGAAACTCAACCAGTCAATCGATACTGGTCACATTGTGCTTATTTACCTTTCATTCTCTTGGATTCTCTTAGGGCAAGCCTCTTCCCACACCAATATTTGACTATCTGACTATCTGTGTGTGATTGGATATCTTTACTCAGGAGGAACATGGAGCCGCCTAAGCACCCGCCGCTTGCCCACACACCCGCCAACCCACCTTTGAGCGAGTCACTGCATAGTCCCCCAGCATCATGTCATCCAAGACATGTCGACAAAGGAAGACAGCTCCAAAGCTTCCGGACCCCAGAAGCCGAGTCTCTTGAAAAAAGCGCGCGTAGTAACCTGGGAGTGTTGGGGCCACCATAAAGTTTGTTTTTCGGATGGCCAAACCTGGATGCCCTGCATCATCTGCATCGCTCTTTTACCGCATAGTATATTCCTACTTTGGATGCTTGTTATCAACCCTTTTCCCCTGAAGTACCAGTCGAGTCAACGATTCATCCCCAGGTTCGTTGGTCACCGTTGTCGGTGAAGTCCCTTCGGTTGCTGAAATCTAGCCTCTCAACACTGGTAGCAAGAAAAAAACATACAAAAGAAAACTATGTTTTCATGATTGATTCTCTTTGAAACATATCCTCATATAATAAACAGACCCCGAAATCAGGTGTTCATTTTTCAAATCCCATCAAATCTCCATGTTCCCTCCTCAAAATCCTATAATTCCTATGGTTTTCCTATGATTTTCCCATTAAAACCTCCATTTTCCTATGGTTTTCCTATGATTTTCCCTGGGTCTTGGGGATCCCCCAAGCGTATCCCCGTGGAGATTTTCATGATTTTCCGAGGCGCCGGTGTTCAGCAGCCCCGCAGGCAGGTGCCTCAGCGCCGCGGCCGCGGCCTGTTCCGCCTTAGCGCCGCCCTCGGAGGCGAAGATGGGGACCTCTGTGGGGTCCACGCCCTGCCGCCGGAGACCGGAGATGGTGAAATTTTGGTAGTGTCCAATCCCATGACGGATCCATGGTGCTGGTATATATACTAACATAAAGGGGGTATATTGATGGGATCCATGTTACCATATATAGCAGCACCATGGATCCTTAATCTATGGTTAATCTATGGTTAATCTATGGTTAATCTATGGTTAATGATGGTTAATAATAATCAAAAGAAGATTAACCAATATATATATAATTATTAATTAATAGCATTTGGTATACAATTTTCATAGCATTATAATCATCATATATCATTAATTAATAATAGTATACCATTTGGGAAGATCTGGGACGTATATATACCATTACTGGTTGGTGGTTTCACTACCCCTCTGAAAAATATGAAAGTGAGTTGAGATCATGACATTCCCGATAGATGGAAAAATACAATTCATGTTCCAAACCACCAACCAAACACTAGTAATTACAACTATAGTGCAATAGTGATTAGTACTGCAATGGTAACTATATAATGGTAACAATAATGGTACAGTAACTACAAAAACAATTATAATGAGTATTAGTTGTGAATGATAACTATAAAAACTACAACAACAATACTAGTAACTATAGTGATTATAACAACTGTAGTAATTGTGAAGAAGCTTTTTGGTTATAGTACAGTGATATGGCATAGTAACCATAGTACTGTAATAGTAACAATAATAGTAACAATAATAATAACAATACTAGTAACAATAATAGCAACAATGCTAGTAACTATAGTGATTATAACATCTATAATGATAAATCAGTTGTTAATCATAACTAGAATAACTAGAATACCTATAGCAACTATAATAATGAGACTAGTGATGATTAATGAACCTAGTGATTATCATCTGATTGTAACTATATATGGTAATGAGCATTTAATGGCACTATAGTGATTGCAGTGATTCTATAGCAATTAAATACCATGGTAGTATGTTCCACCAGTCATGATGGTGAATAATAGTGATTATAACTATAACTGTAATAATGGTAATTATCATGACTCATGGGGTGAATAATGGATGATTATAACTAATGGGCTACAATTAATTTTATTGTTATAATAATAGTAATGGCCATGATTATGTTCAATTTAAAAATATGAACCATCAAATCAAATGAAGATGGAAATTGCTATTTATAATGCAGTAATAGCTATGATATTTACGGCTTTAAATAGTAGATATTTATGGTACTAGTTATATTATATATGAAAAAAATATTGATATAACAGTTATTTATTTTAGCAAATATTAGCAATTATGAGCTATGATGCACTTCACAGGAACATTAGTTATGAACTATGTCCATGTTATAAAGAAACTAGAATAGTTCCGGTACAATGAAACAAGTAACATTTTTGTATTGAAATAAGTATGACCAACTATAGCACTATACTAGTAACATAATCATAGCAATCATATTTATGATAGTAACAAACATACTCATAATAAACACTTATAGTTAATGATAAAAACATGTTATGATATGTTATGATCAACCATGAGCTGACCAATTGCTCCTCCATTTTTTGAAGCTTTCTAATATGATTTCATCCTATCCCAGGGTAATGAGATCCCAATCCAGCGACCGCGGGCCTTGGCGTTGAGCAAGAACGGATTGCTGTCATAGTCTCCAATGGCTTCCTCCAAAGAGTGGCCGGTTACCCTCGAAGAATGTGGACATAGGGGGGATACAAAAGCGGCGAAGTTGCTAGGGTTGCACCAATAATATCCAATAATGATAATGATGATAGGGACATGTTATTGGACATATATATATATATATATATTGGACATAAAATCCGACAATCTGAGATTTGGGTTGGTCTGAAATGGCTGAAAATGGCTGAGAATAAGGAAATCGAACATGATATATTTGTGGCAAACTATGACTTCAGTTCATCTTAGCGTGGTTCCATGTCTGTGGAGGGGAAAACTATGATTAATCAATGGATTTGGACCCCACTGATGTGCAATCCACAATAAAATTCACCATCCCCACATATCAACAGATTGAGGGCTACTACAAATATCTACAAATTGTCCCAGCCTGATGTATGCTCAATAAACCACATTGGGGAGGATTTACTTGTGGATTTTGGAGTCCGGGCGGAGGCCCCTCCGCAGAATCTGCCAGGTCTGATTCTTCCGGGTTCGTCGCCCTTGCCCTTCTGACACCTGCCTGCCCCAGCCTCTGATGATTGTTGATGAACATGTGAAACCATAATGCTTGGACCGTTGCAGGGTATGAGAAATGTCAACCAGTCAAAGGGATTCAAAGGGCATGTGCACTCGAATTGATCCAATCAAATGTCATAGAATTCAGGTCCTTGTAGCAAGTCAGTGACAGCAAATGTGAGTCACTTTGTGGAAAGCCCACATGAAAACCCTACCATGGAAATCCTGGCAGACCAAATGATGTCTAGGTCTGTCCCATTTTGACGGAGCAAATGCATCCCAACCACAGGCTTCACCGGAAAGGTGTCCATGGTGTCCCTTTCACTCTCCCAGTAAAATCCAGTGGTCTGAAATGTTTACACGATCATTCCACGGTTTAAAGGGCCATGAATTGTAGGTACATCCAACAACCACCGATGGTGAAATCGAGAGCCATCCAGTTGCGCCCAGACTAGCGTTTTATCACTACATTTCCATGAGATGTCCCTTTTTGGTTTTCGTTTTATCCCCTTTAATTCACTGCTACATTTTCAAGAATGTGAAGCCCAGATTGTTTTTTCTCCCTAGTGGATTCATGAGTGGGGTTCCCCCCATCATAAAATCGTAGAGTTTTTTAGGGTGTCCATTAATTTTTCAGACAATCCCATTAAATTTCCATGATAAATCTATGATGACACCATTGTTTTGCTGGTTATTCATGATATCTGCGTCAAATTCAAATTCATGTTGATTTCTCCCCTCCAAAAAAATAGATTAACCTATAGAATCTATGTTAGCACCATTTTTTGCTGGTTATCCACAATATGTTGGTTAAATTCATTGTATTTTTCACCATAAAAAAAAAACAGATTTCCGACCAAGTCTCGATAGCATCGCCCTGCTCTTCGCCGTCAGAGGCTCCCAGCCGATCGAGGCGGCTATCCTCTTGGAAGTCCTCTCGGGCGAAGGGGTGGCACGTCCCATGTAACAAACAGGGACGTCAAAGGGAAAGCATGGGGAAATTTTATGGGAAAACAATCACCATTGGGAATTTCCTGGGATTTTTGTTGGAATTTGGGGATTTCAGGGAAGCCCCATTTTTTGCAAACTCATCTTGCATTTGCGGAAGGGACCACCCAAGAAAACTGTCCCCTATAGATTCCCCAAAAGGCCTTCCAAGTAGTAGACTTCCGTCTAGGAACATGTTTCAAATCACCTTAAACAAACCTAGGCCATATTGCAAAATATTGAGTTGTACTGAATTAGCCGTCACCAGTATCTCTCTCACCTTTCTGTTGGCAGTAAAGTCATCAGAGGTTATCTGTCAAACCCCCATTTTAGCCCACGTTTAATGGCGAATGTAACCCAAGCAAAGTGCACAAAACACTCCGAAGATTCGCATATCTATGGCAACTTCATTGCCTCCAGGACAAAGGACACTTCAAGACCAGAGCCTTCGTCATGTTTCTGTACACACTAACTACGACCCAAATATGATTTGATTGTAAATACGAGTGCGGACATGGATATTATGTATATATGCGTATGTATATATATATATATATGTGTGTATATATATATATGTGTGTGTGTGTGTCTATACATGTATGCATTTTAAATGCAATATGTGCGAATAATTGTAAGTATATAGAGATTTGAAATAGAAACGTATGTATACGTCATGATCATTATTATTCATGCATTCATAAGATGATTCATATGACATGCCATCCGTCCCCTCCCAACGCCGTGTTTCGTGTTGCCCAGCTCCTCACGTTCATCGCAGGTCTTGTGAAATCTGAGGCCTGCAGCATTCACCATCTCCATAAAGGTCTCCACATCGAAGCCTTCCAGGTCCATGTCTCCAGAGTTGTCCTGGGCGGCCATGGCTTGGTTGAAATAAGGGACAAAACAGGAGAGAAACGGAGGCTTTTGTGCCGTGTTTACATGTGTAGCTTCGCCATTGTATGTGTTTTTTGTTCATCCTTCACGACTATTTTCATATATATGTGATCATATATCATATATGGTTTTTATATGTTTTTATCTGGTTGTGAGTTGGGTTGCGTTTTCCGTCACCTTTTTCATACCTTTTCCAGGAAACAAATGCAAACCCTCGGACACGGTGTGGATGAATCATCCGGAGCGGGATTGACAAGGAAAACGCTCCATATGATTTACCTCCAAAAAAAAGTGGCCAGGTCCCATTGCCAACCACCATTTAGTTTGATGATTTTCCCAGCTAGAAACCTCCATTTACAAACTCAAACCGGCCAGTCTCGTACTTGGCTCGCTTCGTCTCATCCGACAGGACGCTAAACGCTTCGGCCACTTTCCTGGGCTGCAACCCAGCAGGGACTCTGATTTCCACAATTCAAGCCCACTTTACCAGTGACTTTATAGTTATAAAATCAAAAATCGGGTGATCATTCCATAAATGAGGTCATAACTTATATTGTTATAACTTATAACTTATAACTGACTTATAACTGGCTTCGGGGCCATAACTGTTGTGGATTGGTGTAAGGGACCACCATTCCAGGAAACCAACACTGGTGCTATGGGTCTCCTTGGTGACTTCTCTTTTTGATCACCGTGAATCCATCAATGTCCATCAATCCATCAATGTTCATCAATCCTTGCACACGCACACCTATATATATATATATATCTATATCTAATATATATATATATATAAAATCCGAGCTTCTGAAGTTTATGTGAAATTTCATATAGATGTGGAGTGAATCCATCAAATTCAAATATCATTGTAATATCATAATCAATCATTATCAGTCCATCAATCCAATCTGCATCCGAGCTTCTGAAACTTCAATTTCGCATCTTTATCATCAGGATTTTTATCCGGGTGAAACCGCAAGGATCGCTTCCGGTATGCGCGCTTGATGTCGTCCGCTTTGGCACTGCGGGAGACGCCAAGTATCCTCGAATCCCCCAATCTTCGAGTCCCCGACCCCAAACAAATCACATGATTTGCTATAAAGCTTGTTACAGTACATAATACATATACACCATCATGTCATATAATTACATACATATACCCCCATTTACTGCAAAAGTAACTCAAATACACTTAAATAGCACTAAAGTATCCATGCAGTCGGTTTGCCCTTAAATCTGGAGAGGGAAACCACATGTTTCCGCAAGAATCCCAAGGCGCGCCGCTACGCAAAATCACCACAAAAACTTGCGTTTAGAACTGGTTGGTGGTACACCTACCCCTCTGAAAAATCTGAAAGCAGTTGGGATGATGACATTCCCAATATATGGAAAAATAAAATTCATGTTCCAAACCACCAACCAGGTAATAAATGTCATTCTGAGTCTATGAATTCAACAGATTCTGCAGCATAAATGAAAAAAACACATGTTCCTCATAATCACCCTCAAAGACTCACATATTTTTCAGCAACCACATCAATCTATCGATGTATTGTCCTTTTCGCATTGTTTCTCATCACAGCAAAGAACCAAACTCAGATTCAGCAAAGGTGATCTAGACACGTGTATAGATAGGAATTAGTAGACATATTCAACGCATATACCCTCTGGTAATTTGTTACATAGCTATGGAAAATGACCATTTATAGTGAGTTTTCCCATTAAACATGGTGGATCTTTCCATAGTCTTTTGTATGTTTACCAGAGGGTATATTTCATGTCAATATCATCTATATAATAGTGCCATAATGCCAACCCCTGATTAACAACCCTTCCCTGTTCGCTGACACCCGCCGTACCATCTGTCCTTGGACTTGTCACTATTTGGGGTTCCTCCCTATTGCCATATTGATAAGTGTGTTCAAATTTTGGTGTATGCCCCATGGATTCTTTCTAGCAATCCTTATCTTCATCAATATAGTTTACACCATCGTGATGATCGTGATCACATGTCTATATAGTTATTGCAGTAAACAAATGGCAATCGCCGGGGGCTGGGATGGCTAACGTTAACGTTACCCCACAAATAGTGAAGTGAAATCAATTACTGAAAAAATATGGAAAAACATGAAAAAACGGTGTCTAAAATTCCCTAGTTGTGGTTGATTGACCCTGCAATGTGGTGACCCCCAGTCAAAAAATAGTTATAAGTAGGTTTAGAACCACCATTGAATGTATATATATATATTTATATCATGATATACCTTTCACAAACCCATGTGTTGACCTAGCTAGTTTGTTTAACCGGTTTGCAAACGAACTGGGACAACACAACAGTGGCTGAACATTGTTAATATTCAGATTATTCATCATCATCATCATCATCATCATCATCCTCATCCTCATCCTCAGCATCCTCATCGTAATCATCACCATCACTATCATCATCAAATATCACATTGTCATGGTTAATTCTAGTAACCAACAGTAAACTGGGCATCAATGTTTGTCTTCATTAACATGGTTATGGAAATCATCATTATAAATTTGGTTGCTACTTCCATTAATATTATGCTGAGTGATGTCAACAAAATTATTGGAACCATCACCCTTGGCAGGCATGAACAACTAAATACATATCCATATATATGTCCATATATTTATAATTTAAACAAGTAATAATAGTAATACTACTAATAATAATGATAATCATCATCATAATAATAAGAATAGTATATATTATATAACACATAAACATAATAATAAAAATAATAATTATTATAATATAAATATATATAAAAATAAAATTATATATATATATATATTGTGAAGCCACCAGCCAGCATCTTCTTTTTTAGGGACTGGGATGGGACAACATCTTCCGTCCCGTATGGCCTGTACAGATCTGTCTCCGCCAGCAGATCGATATCTTCGCCCTCGGCGCCGTCGCGGCCGCCGCTGCGAAAGAGGCCCTGCAGCAGGTCGAAGTAGGCCTGGCCAGCGATGGGAAACCCGCTGGATGGATACCTAGTAAAACCGTGTAAGGGAAATGTTTAAGTGAATATTATGTACATGTACCGGAATCAGGAAAACATGGTTTGAATCAACAGAAATGGAGATAACATGAGATACAATGGGATATGTAACCAGCAATGTGATGTTTGGATGTGTCTGAAAAGGGAATCCCAAAATGATAACTATCTTAAGAGAAACAATTGATGTGATACTCGAACATCAAATAGTGGGGCATCCCGTTTTCAAACAACCCCACCTAGAATACTTGGATAGGTCATGGAGTTATTGGATGAAATCCCAAACATATGGCCATAGAATGGGTTGTAAGCCCGCGTTAACCAGTTCACGAAGTTGCCCATCTCTAAATACTTAGTTCACATGGTAACCATTGGTTTTGCACCATTTTTTTTTACCATTCAATGTAGGGCCAAGTTCTTTACCTTCATCATCCTTGATCCAACTCCTTGACTCCCCAACGGGCACAAGTCTCAACCCCCAAGATCCCCCAAGTAATTCCTGAGGTCAGAAGATTTCACACGGGGTATGTGGGGAACATGTTAGGCTGAAAATTCCATGACCATGGAAAATATGGAAGGCATTCTGATTCATAGCCAACTGACATTATCTTCTAGGTAATTCTCTAATTCTCATGATTTCAGGGCTGGGTGGGGCTGGTTGCTTGCCGTTTGTTCTCAGATTTCTCAACCCCTGTGGGTTTTTATGTTCAAAGCAACTGCTTCTTGAAATTTCCACCAATGGAGCCCAAAAATGATCAAATCCAATCAAATTCACCAACTGTTCTAGAATAGTTTCTACAGGGAGGCGAGTTTTTCATAGTTTTTCTCTCTCTGAATGTCGTTTTGATGAGGTGACCACGCCAAAAGGAAGAGGGCACCATATCCTGCCTGAGATGTATCAAAATCTAGCCACCATCTCCGTAACCTTCGCCAATTGGGAAGGACATCAGCCATTAGCAGCTATCGGGCTTGATTTGGTCGATGGCTGACCAATGACCACCGATCATGGTGTTCAATAATTCAGTCAGTGGATTTGCGAGGTCACAAGATTCAAGCTGGATTCGTCATACGTCATTGCAAGTTTTCTCCATAGGCACGTCGCCTCCAGGTCGCAACGTATGACTCATCGTCGGCCAGTTCACCCAAGGACTGCATCACACGGACAAGGGGAACTGCAAACAACTGGAGGTCTTTGTGCGCCTTGCGAGCCATCTTAGCCGCACTTGACAGGGCCTGCAAGTTATGAAAAGGAAAAATCACATCCAATAACCACATCTTGCAGAATAGGGTTGGCCACCATTGGCCCCGACATTCAATCCAGCATGCGCTGAAAAGATTGGAACTCGTTCAACTCGGAAGTGGGATCTCTGGAAATCCAGCCATAGCAGCCATAGCAAGCCCCAGCTTTTCTCTCTCTTGCTCTCTGTGTATATGTACATGGAATATCTCTGTGTGTGTGGGTGCAGTGCATGTATGCCTTGATATACATATACATATACATATATATATAATATATATATATATACTTTACTTTGTGATAGTACTCATTGTTTATTCATATCACATTGTCAATACATGCATGTATGTATATATATATATTAATATATGTGTATATTTGTATGTATAATGTATAATTGTATAATACAATATGTAGGGAAAAGAACTGCAAAACCTCTCAACTTGAGCTATGCCCACCGGCCCCGCGGCCCCGCCTGTGCCGCAAAGGCGAACCGTGCATCCACGGTCTGTCGACAGAGGGGGCAGCGCCCAGAAGGGTTCGCGAGCTCCGTTCCGGGCGCTGCCTGGCACTGGCGAACCAGTAAGGTCAACATGGGTAGACCCAACAATTACCCTCTGGTTATGTCAAAATAGCTATTGAAAATGGCCATTTATAATTATTTATAGTGGATTCTCCCATTAAAAATGGTGATTTTCCATAGCTATGTTAGTTTACCAGAGGGTATGGGATATAGTAGGATAATATAACAGAATAATATACTATGATAATTTTAATAATAATATATATAGTAGAATGGTGGGATTATCATATTATCTTGGATAATTGTGGAATAAAATGGAATAAGTATAATCAACTATCCCCAACTACTGGGGTGATGTAAAATGACCCCCACATGGTGGGATCTGTCTTAACTGGGATGGCCTCCAATGCACTGCTCAGAAAGCACTTTCGCCAAGAGAACCAGAAGCTTCACTTCATTAGGTTTCATTCTGTGCACATATATATATATATACCTATAATCATAAGCACTTATAATGTATATAGGTATAAACCACTATAGTATATATGTATACATATATATATATATTGCCTATATGTTCACATGTTAATTTCTTTCCCACTTGAGTAATCTGGGAATTTCAGGTCAACTTACAACGTTGACATGGGATCATCTGGGTGTTTCTCCATAGTGTCCCCCCACCGGACAATAACGGTTATCCACATGTGTAAAACTGATAAGATGTGGATAATGATGATAATGCTTGGGGTCCCAGTCCCACATTCCAAGACTTACTGGTGCTTAGCAGGGAATGAGGGAATGATCCATAATCACTAGTAATAATCATCCCATTCCCCCATTCCCATCCGTTCCCTACTAAGCACCAGTAAGAAGAAACACCGAAAAACACACCGAAAAGTGGTAACTTTAAAATGCTCCAAGGTAAGTTACCCCAGCCTCATCCACTGAAAGCCTCCGCGATCGAAAGGACGGCTTCTCATCAGGATTGTACAAGACCACCTGCGAAATGGGCAACATCCGAAATGGGGCCGTTGTGCCATGCTAATAAAACAACAAATCAACGGTGGGTGCTAGTACTACATGTTGGATGATACTACTGGTTGAAGACATTTTTGGGGGAGTGGCTCTGCGACAAGCATGTAGAGGTGAACATTGTCTCCAGGGCCCGCTCTAAAAGTCTTAAACCATGGTCCTGAAGTGGGGGTCAGCTCATCAAATGGGCAATTTCAAACAAAACAATTACAGTACCTGTGTACCCGAAATGATGTATCTGCCAAGGTGCAACAGAGTGCATGCGTTCATCAAAGATTCTTGCATATCATTGGGCCAGGTTTAAGGTCAATTTACAGATTTTATCAGATTTTACAGGAACCCCTCGATATTTGATCCTTTCCTCTAGATGTTCCTCAACATCTTTCCGTGAAATGAAAAATTGCGTCATGTTCGTTTTCCACCCAACCAGGAAGGTGCACGGACCAGCTAAATTTTCGGCGCCCAGCGACATTTCGATCATGATAAAGCACCATCCGCCAGTCTGAAGTCGAGGGTGCAGCGGCTGCGACTTGTTCCACATGTTCTCCCACCTCTCGTCCCAGACGGGGATGAGACCACCAACCAGGAACAAATTTGACAAATCTCCACTAAAGCCAATTCAAACTCGTTCAACATCATGAACATTTCATGCTTCTGGGGAAATTATATATAATAATGCTCTCCTATTTTAGTCCATGTGAACCCCCATTCCTAACATGATTTTCCATGATTTCCCATGTTTTTTTTGCATAGTTTGCCATGTTTTTTGAGCCCATTCCCACCTCATCTTCCAATGCCGGCAGCCACTGCCGCTCCAGCATCAAGGAGCCGCTAGGTCCGCGGGGCCGTTTGTTGGAAGGTATGAGGCCTCAATGGATGGAAAACTGGGAAACCTGGGTGATGTGAAAATGATGAAAATGGAACCAACATTCTGGTTGCACTGTTTGTTCGCTGCGCGATTTTTTGAGGGGTTGATCATGGTTGATATAAAAATTATGGGAAAAAAAAGTTCATAAATAATTCCGTTCCTTGACATTTGATTTTATTTGGAATTTCTTAACCACCAACATCCACCACGTTTTAGGTTGATGGCTGGGCTTACCTAGGGGGATGGCTGGGAGTGTGGCTGGAAAAATTCCCGCCCGAGCTGGTTTGGATTACCTGGCTATGTAGTGAAAAATTGGACAATCATCAATCATCTATATATATATACCAATATAAAATAATATGTATATAATGATACCATTGGTATACACCATTGGTATATTGGACATATATGTCAATAATTATATCTGGTTGGTGGTTTCAACCCCTCTGAAAAATATGAAAGTCCGTTGGGATGATTCTTCCCAATATATGGAAAAATAAAATTAATGTTCCAAACCACCAATCAGTAATTATATATATATATATATATTGATATTGGAACAAATCTTAAGGGGATGGGTAAATAATTGTATAATAAGTGGATAGAAACCATCGTCATTCCAACACTTAGTGTTGTCACAGACTTGGTTCAAGATATATATATATATTAGTATATATATATAAGTATCATCATCAAAAATTGGACAATCATAATCATCATCATAATCATAATCATCATCATCATCATCATCATCAAATATCACATTGTAATGGTTATTTCAATTAACCAACGGTAAACTGGGCATCAATGTTTGTCTTCATTCATATGGTTATGTTAATCATCATAAATCTATATGTATATCTATGTATATATATATATATATGTACTGGGTAAATTATAATATTTCACTACCCTGAATAGTTCGGACATTTTGGGATGATTCCCCTTACTATAGTGAGGTCGCAGTGAGGTCGTTATAATTTACCCAGATTATCCATTAACATTCATTATATCCCATAAATCTATATGTATATCTATGTATATATATATATATACATATACCATTGGTGGATTTGCCATGTTTCATAGGTCTACCCGGCTACCGGACACCGACACCTTTGGCCGCCAGGCTGGGAGAATCCTGACGTCAACCATCGAAGGGCGCACAGTGCAGCGAGTCCATGCGTTCGGCCAGCAACCTGGCACTGCGAATCATAGGGGCTCTGGGAACCATAGAAAACCATAGGAAAACCATAGGAAAACCATGGGAAAACCATGGGAAAACCATGGGAAGACCATAGGAAAACCATAGGAAAACCATAGGAAAACCATGGGACAACCATAGTAAAACCATAGGAAAACTATAGGAAAACCATGTAAAACCATAGGAAAACCATAGGAAAACCATGGGAAAACCATAGGAAAACCATGGGAAAACCATGGGAAAACCATGGGAAAACCATGGGAAAACCATATAGGAAAACCATGGGAAAACCATATAGGAAAACCATGGGAAAACAATAGGAAAACCATAGGAAAACCATGGGAAAACCATAGGAAAACCATGGGAAAACCATAGGAAAACCATGGGAAAACCATTGGAAAACCATGGGAAAACCATGTAAAACCATAGGAAAACCATAAGAAAACCATATAGGAAAACCATGGGAAAACCATAGGACAACCATGGGAAAATGGAGGTTTACCATCTGGTAAACTAACAGTTTGCGAACTGGAAAATCACCATTTTTAATAGGTAAATCAATGTAAATCAACTATTTCTACCATTTTCAATAGCTATGTTAAATTACAAGAGGGTACCCTGGGGTCAACTAACACAAATGTGGAACATGGATGAAAATAGATTGACGTGGCCCATTTAGCTCGATGATTTTTCTCTATAAATTGTGACTTTACAGATTTAATGATTTATGTAAGCTTACAGGAGGGTATAGATTCCCAACTTCTATAGGAGTTTATCCCAGTGGGAACGCCACAGAGTCTATATATATATAGATCCATATAGTTGTTTTTATCAATCAGTTTCCCATGCCTGGTGGATTCAAGAGCTACTTGGGACATTTATAAAAACTTGTTACAAAATGGAAAGTGAATTTTCCCCAGGGGCTTTTAAGCACTAAATTGCACTTGTTCCAGCAATTTCTCTCTCCACGTTGCCTGATCAATTATAGATGTACCCTGACAATTGATAGGCCAAATGATTCTCAAACCGCACTGGATTTAAATTTCGTCAAAGCCAAATATAACTGGTCTGGTTGGTGGTATACCTACCCCTCTGTAAAATATGAGTTCGTCAGTTGGGATCATGATTCCCAATATAAGGAGAAAAAAAAATAAAAAAATGGTTCCAAACCACCAACCAGTGCCATTCCGCGTTTTACATCGTTTTTGCAGATTTTTCCACCGCAACTCCAACCGATTCGAAGCAACTCGTTGGGTCTCTTGGACCCGCTGGCGTCGCCGTGCGGCACGCCTTTCTCCATGGCATCGCCGGAAAGCCGCCGCAGCGTTGGCGACGTCGCGGCGCGACAGCGGGCGCCGGGGTCAGGTCATGATCCAGCTGTGGCTGAAACCAATGGATTGGTCGACGGGGAAAATATGGAAAAATCTACACTTCTACAATCAAATATAAGGGGTTCCTGCAAAGTGTCCCTTAAACCAATTCTAGGATCTTAAGCACAGTTTCAAATCAATATGTGCTTATATTATATATATAGCATGATTCACACATTGGATCAAATTAGATTGTTGTATCAGTACCAAAGAGACCCAGAAATGGAGTGCCATCGCCATCCCCAAAATCAAAACACGCAAAGATGCATGTTTAAGATTGTCACTCTTGACAGAAAGGATCTGAGGGTTATGAAAGGCGTCGCTTTTTGATCATTTTGGAATGTGCCCGTCATAAGAACCATGGCAACAGCTGGTTTCAACCCATCACAGCAATCACTATAATATCAACCTTACTGTAGAAACAACACATCTCGAAATACAAGAATATGATCATCACATGATCATGCTGTGATTCTAATCATTTATACTCAGTTGTCATCAAACTCAAAAGTCGTCAACTTTGAATACTTTTATTATCAGAAAAATCATCTATCCCAATCATATTGTTGACACTAATCATATGATACATATGGCAGTATTTGACTAATCGACTAATCATGATCCATATTGTACCATCTGGTTATGACTAACATAGCCACGGAAAAATCCACCATTTTTAAGTTCGGTAAACCATCTATTTCTATGGGCCATCTATACCATGGCTATGTTAAATAACCAGAGGGTAATCGGCAATGTGCATGAATCCTGCTATCCTCATAGTTGATCATACCCCGGAACCACACTTGAAATTCACGTGGTGATTAGACGACCGACTCAGTCGTGGAAGGGACAATTTAAATGGAAGAGCTGATATTAGACGCATTGAAAACCACATATTATAATATATATATATATGTATATTAGATTAAATTAGATATGTATATATATATATATATGTATATAGATGTATATACATATATGTATACATATATATATATACATATATGTATATATATATATACATATATATGTATATATATATATAAATGTATATATATATGTATATGTATATATATATATATATGTGTGTATATACAGTATATATATATATCATGTATATATATATATATGCATTAAACATTACACAATATATATGACAATAACCACATATATTAACATCTTATCAGATTTATTAAGTGCATCATATGGAAAACCCACATCTCTCTCCATCGAAGTTTCGCATCCTGGGCCTCCCTGCTCCCGCTGCTGTAGAGCCAGTGCCGTCAAGTTGGCTTCATGGACCTGGCGTTGCAAGTTGGAGCTGGATTTCATGGATTTAACTTGATTTAACAATGGTTAAAATTGGGTGAATAATGGCTAATAGTGATTAATAGTGGTTTTAACCATGGTTATTAGTGATTTTTATACCTAATGAATAATATAGCTGGTTGGTGGTTTTAACCATCTTGAAAAAAATGAGTTCGTCAATGGGAAGGATGACATCCCATATATGATGGAAAAAATAAAAAAAAATGTTTGAAACCACCAACCAGCAATGGTTAAAATTTGGTGAATAATGGTTAAAATTTGGTTAAAATTTGGGTTAAAATCTTGGGTTAAGATATTGGTTAACTCAATGGTTAACACTGCCAAATGGGATGTGAATGGGCTGTTTTATGATATACCGATATACCCTCTATAACTGGATTTGATGGATTTAACTCACCTTGGGGTACTGCTGGATGATCCCGTGAGCGCAGTCATCAACCTCATCTCTGAGAAACCACATGCCAGGGTCGAGTTGTTGGAACAGGTTGGAACTTCCTCCCGCACCTGAAGGTAGTGCCAAAGCCGCGAGTTCTGATTCTGCATCGACAGAGCGTCGCCCATGGGATCAGTATGACTCAGTAGAAGTATCAGTTGAAGACTACCTGGGACACAGGTAGTCAGGCAGTAGTGGAACATAATGGAACTGACGAACCCTGAGAGAATAACATAGAATACCCTCTGGTTATTTAACATAGCCATGGAAAATCCCTTACAAATTGAGGTTTCTAGCTGGGAAAATCATCTATAAATGGGCCATCTATACCATGGCTATGTTAAATAACCAGATGGTAACCATAATGAAGAAGATAGCACCAACAAAATCCAACAAACATCAGCTTCAAATCTTCTGCAACCTGAGAATTCACATCCGGTGCACATGGGGGCGCGTATCCTAGCAACGTCCAGCAACGTCCTAAGCGACTTGGCATCAACATCTGAAATCGAACTCCCCCCAAGCCTCTGCACGAAAACCGTTCAGTTGGGTGAAAGCGAGGGGTAGCAAGCGCCACAAGTATTTGTTCTACTATATACTTGGGTGGATAGCAGCAAAGGCCATACCGCTCCAGGAATATTGCACACTTGTCTAGCAGCTCACAGTGTTTGCCTTCAAACCTGAAATCAAATCCATATTTAAATTTCTGTGGAAATTGTATAGTTCGAATGAATTGGCAATTTTACTGGAATCGACCACAATCAAAAGGCAACCCAAACCGTTGGACCCTCATTGCAAATAAGCGACATATCACAACCACAACAGTCACCTGACGGCCGCTGGGCGTATATTTTTTCCGCCGTTTGGTTGGCAGTCGTGGACACAAAAAAGAAGAGCACTAAACGTGCAACTGCGTGCCTTCAAGAACATTATTTCCGTAACCATTGAGTGGTTAATAATGGTTAATAGTGGTTAATAGTGGTTGATAGTGGTTAATAGTGATTCATAGTGGTTAATAATGGTTAATAGTGAATGGTAGTGGTTACTAGTAAGCCCGTTCCAAATAAACACTGTCCACTGCTGCTTGATCAGCATTGCTGATATCCAAGCCCAAACTCCGCGGGTTTTTCTGTCAGCTTTTTGGTCACTGCAAACAAAATCAGCACTTCTTCGCACAACAGCACAAGCACCATGCATTTTCCAGCCCACAGGGCCGTTCCATAGTATGCTGCCAAGGGGCACCGCAGCCCAAAGACCGCATGGAGAGGAATCCTCCAGAGCTGCCATTGACTTCGCCATGTCGCAATCTCCTTCAGCAACGATGAAGCAAAGCCAACAATAACGTGAGTGCCTCCCATTGGGGTTTGTCACATTGGGTACGCGCAATTATCTACAGTATCTACAGTATCTACCTATCTATCTTATCTATCTATCAATCATTCCATCTATTTATCAGTCTATCAATATCTCAATCTCTCAATCCCTGAATCAATCAATCAATCAATCAAACAATCAATCAATCAATCAATCATTCAATCAATCAATCAATCAATCAATCAATCAATCAAATAATCAAATCAAATCAATCAATCAAACAAACAATACTTGAGAGCAGGCGGAGGCGGACGAAAGGTAGTGTAGTGGGAGAGGAGTGGTGTCAAAATGCTGCGCCCCTAAGATGATACACCAAAAACGTTTTTGCGCAGTCTAAGATGATTTTATCCAGAGCATGACTGCATGATACGGTGTCTTGTGCAGCGTGAAATGATGCACGAAAAGGGGTTTATTTAAAACCCCTTTTTAAGACCCCTTGAAGCAACTGTTATTGAGGCTGAAGCATACCAATTCTGCTGGACTACAGGGACATCTCCCTCATGGAAAGTGTGCCTCTAATGTGGGGGCCCGTGACCGCGTCACCCGTGGGAATTGAACCCATGACCATTTTCGGGGAGGGGGGGCCCCCGTGCCATTGACGGTTGGCGTCGATTTTGCGGCACCACTTCTTGTGCATGTAGGCAGGGTGGACTGGGTTAAGGTGTCTCGACCCATGTAGCTGTAACCTGCAACTCTCTTTATACTGGCAATACTGCGTAGGATTTATCTCCGGCTCCATCGGCCTCATCGGCTCCAGCGGCTCCATCGGCCTCATCGGCTCCATCGGCTCCAGCGGCTCCATCGGCCTCATCGGCTCCAGCGGCTCCATCGGCCTCATCGGCTCCATCGGCCTCATCGGCTCCATCGGCCTCATCGGCCTCATCGGCTCCAGCAGCTCCAGGGGCTCCATCGGCGCCAGCGGCTCCATCGGCCTCATCGGCTCCAGCGGCTCCATCGGCCTCATCGGCTCCATCGGCCTCATCGGCCTCATCGGCTCCAGCGGCTCCAGCGGCTCCATCGGCTCCAGCGGCTCCATCGGCCTCATCGGCTCCAGCGGCTCCATCGGCTTCATCGGCTCCATCGGCCTCATCGGTGTCATCGGCTCCAGCGGCTCCAGCGGCTCCATCGGCCTCATCGGCCTCATCGGCCTGCATCGGTCTCAACGGCTCCATCGGCCTCATCGGCTCCATCGGCCTCATCGGCTCCATCGGCTCCAGCGGCTACATCGGCCTCATCGGCTCAAGGGGCCTCATCGGCTCCATTGGCCTCATCGGCTCCATCGGCCTCATCGGCTCCATCGGCCTCATCGGCTCAAGGGGCCTCATCGGCTCCATCGGCCTCAATCGGCTCCATCGGCCTCATCGGCCTCATCGGCCTCATCGGCTCCATCGGCCTCATCGGCCTCATCGGCCTCATCGGCTCCAGCGGCTCCAGCGGCTCCATCGGCTCCAGCGGCTCCATTTGCCTCATCGGCTCCATCGGCCTCATCGGCTCAAGGGGCCATCATCGGCTCCATCGGCCTCATCGGCTCCATCGGCCTCATCGGCCTCATCGGCTCAAGGGGCCTTATCGGCCTCATCGGCTCCAGCGGCTCCATCGGCCTCATCGGCTCAAGGGGCCTCATCGGCCTCATCGGCTCCATCGGCCTCATCGGCCTCATCGGCCTCATCGGCTCCAGCGGCCCCATCGGCCTCATCGGCTCCAGCGGCCCCATCGGCTCCAGCGGCCTCATCGGCTCAATGTCAATTGGCCTCATCGGCTCCATCGGCCTCATCGGCCTCATCGGCTCCAGCGGCTCCATCGGCTCCAGCGGCCTCATCGGCTCAATTGGCCTGATCGGCGCCAGCGGTTCCAGCGGCTTCATCGGCATGTCTTTCTGGAAAGCCTATTACGGCCCGAAGCAGGCGGAATCAGTTGCGTCCATTTTGCGCCTATTGTTTGCTTTGCTGCCTTTTGATTAGTATTGGTCCATAGCCTCTTGGCTTGCGATATAGCCTCCAAGTGTCGAACGTACGGGGGGCCCCCCCTTATAATTGATATCCAATACATAACGGCGAGAATTCCATGAATTCCGTGGGCTGGCCCCCCAATACCCCCTAAGCTTGTGCTGAAGCACGGAGAACTCAGGTAGCTGACGCTACCTTTCGTGATATATCAGTCAATTAACCTATCTATCTATCTGTCTGTCTATATCTTGGTATATATATATATCTATCTATCGATTTATCTATCTATTTATCTATTTATCTATTTATCTATCTCTTTATCTATCTATCTATCTACTCTACTCTACTCTACTCTACTCTACTCTACGCTACGCTACGCTACGCTACGCTACTCTACGCTACCTATCTATCTACCTACATATCTCTATCTACGTGTATATACTATATTCACATAGGAATGGATCACACACAAACATATGTATATGTATATGTTTAATAATATATATATAGATAGATAGATAGATAGATCGATAGATAGATAGATAGATAGATATGTCTATACAAACAAAATGCATGATCACGTTGCGTCACCAGCATGGATTGTAGGCTTTGCCAAGTGACAAGTATTGTAGCTGACCTGCGAATCCATGGCCATGATTTTCCTGTTGGAAACACCTCCATTTTTGGATGGGGATCCTCCAGCCCCGTTGAACTGAAGGATATGATTCTTCAACGGGGCTAGCTGAAAAATAATGTAGGATTATACGAGCTGAAGGATATATAGAGCTGAACATATTTTAGATTATTGAAGCTGGTTGGTGGTATACCTACCCCTCTGAAAAATATGAAAGTCAATTGGGATGATTATATATTCCCAATATATGGAAAAATAAAAACATGTTCCAAACCACCAACCAGGAAGGATATTCAGAGTACTGAATCTCACTGAAGGATATTCATGACTGAGGATATATAACTACCATATAATAATATATTCATGATTCTTCAACGTCTGAATCTCACGATTGAACTCTTGACTTTGGAATCCACACTTTCACAGCTGCACGCAAATTTGGTGGTGAAAGGTGGTGTGTCTGATGAATTGATTTCACCAAAAGCTCTGGACAAAGGGAAAACCATGGATGGTTCCTTGTGCCCAGTCCCGGCCATCCTCGAGGCTTTATCGACCAAGGGCATTGCAACAGTACGCACAAGTGCAAGTCGTGGCTGAAAGCAGCGTCATCTCTATGCTACATTATTCATGTCAGCTGCCAAGGTCAAGGGTTGAGTCAAGTTCACCAACAACCAGAAAATGCACCTCTAAGCCTCCATTAGAGTCATTAGAGGATGTGGTGCAATGATGCCAGTAGCAGCTCGCATTTTTCAGCTCTATATATGTAGGATATATGTATAATATGTATATAATTACATTATATTACATATATAACTTTATAACCTATATATAAGTGCAAACTTTATGTATTCACCATGGATCTTGCGTTGGACGTGGGCCATTCGCCTTTGATTCCAAAAGCTCCGGAAGTGTGGCGGTTCTGATTCTATGATTCTGACATACATATTCTGACCCCCAAAAATTGTGCAGGAGCTATCCGCCGGACCAGAAACAAACACCAATCCACTTAGCGCCTTGGTACCAAAACCCCAGTGTTCTCGGTACCAAAAGGCTTCAGCGATCGGCATCGTTGGATTGCATTGTGGCATCGAACATGCATCGATGTGCCATGATCCTTGCGATAGACTCCGACATCTAAAATCTAATGTTATACTAAGCAATGTAAATCATCCCCAAATTGAGCATTTCTATGGGTGGAAACCACGCCATCTATGTCTGGTGTGCCGTATCCACACAGCCTGAATCACCAGGCCCCTCTGAGAATACCGCTGTTGCCTGGTTCCACCCTGAAACAACAGCATGGGTGCAAGCGCACCCTTTGAGGATGATGGGAACATCATGGAACATGATGGACAAATTCTGCAGAATCAGGTGCAATGATGGAAAGATATCATATCATGCCACATCACCGTTTGAATTAAACTCCTAAAAAAACATAGTAACACACACCCAAAACAATGACATGGTGTTAACTTCGACCAAATGATATGCAAACTGTCGGCGGCGTTTTTCCCGCCTAAGAGCCATGGGAATCCCATAGCCACGCGCCTTAGACCCAGGGTCCATGGTGAACCCTGAAATAACTTGGATTTATGGATGGCAATCCCATCTAATATTCAACACCCCCTAGAAACCATGGTCTTGTAGGGAATTTAAGTGATTTGCGACCATTTAGGTGTTTAATCTTGGGAAGGGGTTATAATATGTTATAATTATTTATATAAATCAATCATAATCGATCATCCCCAAGGTTGCCAGAACCACCAGCTGGATGACTGGCTGGATGGAAACCAATAAGCTTTTCACCAGCTAAAAATCATGTACATATTACTGTGTATAATATATAATTGCCATATAATATTTTATTATATTATATTATGAAAAATATATTATATTATATTTTATTATATTGAATTATATTATATTATATTATATTGTCATTATAGTATATTATGTTATATTATATATTATTATATATAATATTTTACTATTATTATTATTATTATCAATATTATATATATATATGTGTGTGTGTGTGTCCCCATCAAAATCATAAAGGATTAAGTGTCGCTACACTACCCATTCAGCTGGTTTTGCCCAGGAATATATTTAAAAATCCAAGTGTTGCTTAAGCAACCATTTTGACGAGTTGCTCCCAACACATCAGATACAAGAGGGAAATGGTGGAGAAAGAGGTATATGTTCTTTAAAAAACGCATGTGTTTCCGCAAACAAAGTGTCTATCATGTGCAATAGTTTGGCACCACAGAGTAATATTAAAATTATGGTTGGTTGGTTGTGAATCATCCATCATCCATCAATCAATCATTTGGGTCGCTTGATCTTACCACCTGAAACCATGGTTGAATTCTCAAGAATTGGTGGATGGAACATCGCCCATTTAGTTCGATGACTTTCCCGTTTGAACTTTTTTTTGAACTTAAAACCTATGTTTAGTCTCGGGGATTTCCCAACTAGCCATCTTTCATATTCTTTTATAACCTCCAATTTTCCAAAATGATCAACACACTTCCAATTCCAAGAATTTGCCACTCGAAACCTCAAAAAAAAATCCTGAACACTAGACATTTCTTTAAACAAAACCCAACTTTTTCCAAAGAATCACCGGAGAACCCCCTCCTTTTTGGGCCCTTCCAGGCTCCCTGGCAGGCACTGCTGAAGCGCTGCGCACACCTCCCAGGACCCGCCGCCCGGCAGCAGCCCAGGCTAAGGCCGCCTTGGCAGATTTTTGTTCATGGTTTACAGTACCCATCACAAATAGGGGGCTTATGGATTTCTAAATGGACTTAGGGGTGTACTAAACCATCATATTAGTGGGGTTTAGCATCAAAACTAGGGATTTCACATGATTTGACCAATTTCAGCCATCAGAGATAAGTATTTAATCGTATTTAACCAACAAGAATTCGAAATGAAATGGATTTTCAATTCAGAAATAGGGGCTTTAGCCAATGACGGATTTGTATAAATGGATTTACCCTCTGGTAAACTAACATAACTATGGAAAATCACCATGTTCAATGGGAAAATCCACTATAAATAGTCATTTTCAATAGCTATTTTGACATAACCAGAGGGTAAGGGTTTACAAACCCCCATCTGGGGGGCACTTGGACCACCCTTGGACCACCCTTGGATCACTTAGGTCATCCTTGGTCGCCCTGGCCATGCTCTTCTCCGGTGGGCCTAGCGCGTTTCGGATCACAGGTGTCCTCAGAATTTTCAACTGGATGAGGTCTATACAAAGTGGGGCCCCCTAGATAGCGAAGTTGGTTAAAAAACTCCAGTAACTATGGTTTATGGCAATGGTACTTATAACTATAGGTACTGGGGATGAGGTCCATAGAAATAGAAACAGGTTCTTCTCTGATATAAGGGGTTTACCCGTTTAACCTGTGAATAAAATTCTTGCACCATCTGGCTGCGATGGAACATGGCATAGGATTGGAAAAAGGGTGTCTCCTCCGGGAGGCTCCTGGAGTGTTGATCTGGAGAATTCTGCGGAAAAATGGGGCTTTGAGCACTTTGCAGGTCATGTATCACACCATTCAAGTTGAGGGTGCTCAACTTTGATCTATCCCCCTTTCAATATCTGTCACTGGGGATTACATATCATCTCAAGTAAGAAAAAGGTCAGCAAAACATAGTTGAAAAGAACCACCAGTTACAAGGGCTCTCTCTACCCAATGCATCCCAACGCCATTCTATCCAGTTTCTATATAAATGTTATATCAAATTATTAATATAAGATTCATACTTTAACGATTACAACACCAACAGCAGCAACATTTTGCACTACTCTCGCAGCACACTCTGAACTCTTAGTGACAGCCTTCCATCTGCATTCGTCGGTTCGTCGGCCTAGTGTCATAGACCCTGCTGGACTGCAAAGGGGTGAGGTTGATCTCCGCCTAGGAGATAAAGCCCGTGGCAAGAGGCAGCGGTCAAAGATGGAAATCGCCATGGTCATATCATAGGTACGTCATCTACAAATGGGTCATTTTCCATGACTGGTTGGTGGCGCAGTTTTAACCCCAAAAGAATCCAAAAGATTGGTTCTCAATCATCTCAAGTACGGTTGGAATAATTGAACCCTCCCAAAAAAAACAACCAGATGATTGTGTTACCCTCCTGTAAACTAACATAAATGTGGAAAACAAACACCATTTCAATCATTTTCAATCCATTCCAAGATCATTTTCTGAGGGAAACCAAGGGTTTTCCACATCTATGATACTTTTCCACGGGATTATATTACAGCTAGCCTCAATCCCTTCCACCATTTTCAGTCTCGTCCCATCGTCCCAGCCACACGATGACCGATGGGGAACTCACATACCTGGCATTCCACGAGATTTCACCTGCAATTGGCACTGAAGTCTCTCATAACCCATGACGGATCCATGGTGCTATATATGGTGTGCCATGGATCCCATCAATATACCCCCTATGAATGTTCGCATTCATATACCATATATACCATGGATCCGTCATGGGTAATTTGGCCTTGCCATTCCATTTTTTTTTCAAAGTCATTGAAAAATAAAAAACCTGTGAAATGGCAAATACTCCCCAAAGCCCCATGGATCTGAGCATCTTCTGAGCATCTTCTCCCCACGTTGGATCAACCGGCCGGCGCCTTGCACGTGGTGTAGCAGTCCTTGCATGTGGCAACTTATGGAAACCTGGAGATTCAGCATCCGAGTTATATAGCGATTGTTGATGAATGTTGATTGTTTATTAACATGTATCAGTTATTGTTTATTAATGTAACATGTATCAGTTATATTCAGTTATGAATCATGATATACTAGTTATATATATATATACATATACATATATATATAATATACATAAAAATGAATCTCTAGGACATTTTCTTTGAGAATATATGAACAAACAATGAATAAACAATTAACATTAATGATCATCCCAAAAGGGGCCCTGGCTCGATCATCGCCAGCGGAACCGGTACTGCACCTGGGCGCTGGCTGTGAGTTTTTGGTGCCCTCAACGGGTCAACGTGTCAACGTTGAAAGATGTGGAACAGCCATGGTCACAATTTAGGAAACCCACCATTTAATGGATTTTAATAGGGGATCTTTAATCTTGCTACATTCCCCCCCTTCAAACCAATCTAATCCACATTGAAATCCATATGTTCATTGGCTGAATCCACCATGTTTGATGGCAACTTGCCATAGGAAATTTCCTCCGTTTTAAGCTCCGAAAAAAGGCACCTGGCGACGGCGACCGGCTGATCTGTGCTCCTCGGTTGTTGAAACCAGGGAACGTTTCACAAGGGATGTTCCTTCATGAAACCGAGGTATCTGCCTCAAACGAAGACATTTTTTACACATCGTTTAACCTGGTTGGTGCTTTTAACATGTTTTAACCATCTTGAAAAATGATGGAGTTCGTCAATGGGAAGGATGACATCCCATATATTATGGAAAATAAAACATGTTCCAAACCAACAACCAGTAACAGTCTTTAGGCAATTATCATTAACATGTTGTTCCTTCCAGCAATTCTCAATGAAATTGTCCCTGAATCATTTATTAATCCAAGTTTGAGACAGGTGCATCCCATTCGAGAAAGATATGGAAATCATAGTGTGTTTCAGGTGCGAGATTGAAGCATGAAAGCGCTCAAATGCATACTGGATTTCCCGCACAGACTTGCAATGAGTTAAGTCAAGTGTAAAATACATCAATATATACATTAATATGATATATATATATGATATGTACCGCTACATTCTATAGCTCCAAGATGTCCCTTAAGCAGACTTTGCCAGTTTCCATGAGGTCCGGAGCTTAAAACTCCCAGTCCTGGACATGCCACAGGCACCAGCGGGCCTAGCCGCTTTGTCGGCTCCCCAAAATTTGAACCAAAATTTGTGCCATCTCCAAATATATCAATGGGATTCGATAGGGATCATCATCCCAACTATTGGGGAAAATAAAAAATGTTCCAAACCACCAACCAGTGATGCTTCATCGGTTCATCTATGTTCATCTGGAGTTGCCCATTTTTTTAGTTGCACAAATTTGTAGGACGTATACCTTAAATAGCCCATATTATCACCCCATGCTCAAACGCACCCAAATCTCCAGGGGAATGCCTCCCCTCACCCTGCCCCCAACGCACTGCCTGTGTAAAAGGATCGCGGCACAGCTGGCACCACCGGCACCACTGGCACCGTGATGCTCCCTGGCCGCACTTCGAGCAGCCTCACATGCAGGGGTCTCTCTGCATTTCAAGGGCAGAAACCTCTTGCAATGTATTAGAACATCCTAAACCATGCATTTGTTTCACGGGTCCAATCCCAAATCCTTAATTGTAGACTTTGGGGGAGGTTACTTCATGTGCTTGAAGAACTCTCAGTTCCTCCCCAAAGGGATCCAAAGAGATACTCCCTGCGCCTGGATGCTGAGGGGCTTCGAACTTGCGCCTCAATGCGGAGGCGCGGCTCGGCTCAAAGGAGCTGTGTTTTATTTGCGGCCTTAAATGGAACTGCATGTCAGTTGGGAAACTGGGAAACTGATGGTTATGTGGTTTTCCATGGTTATATGATGCTTAGAGAACCTTAGAGATCTGATACCCTGTGGTAAATTAACAGTTCAACCCTCAAAATAACACATTTAGTGGAAACTAAGCTGAACCAACTCCTATCTGCCCGGGTCTAAGTTATTTTACTGGAGGGTAATCTCTTTATATCGGATAATGTAGGTGAATCTTTTGTTACATCCAGTACAATAGGATAAACTAACATAGATGTGGAATTCAACCATTTCTAGAAGATTTTCCAAATGGGTTTCACCATAGGTGAAACCCACGCCTTAGACGTTTACCCTAGGGTAAACCAACAGAACTGGAACGAAACTAATGTATTAGAATCCATGATGTTCACTATTTATAGAAAATTTTATATAATCTATTAGAATCCACGATTTTCACTATTTATAGATGATTTTGTTGACCTATAAAAACTGGTGATTTTCCATCCCTATATGAGTTTTCTGGAGGCGAAATCTCCGACAAGCTGCAGGCGCGATCTTTGCAGATGCAGGGCTCGTGGCACTTTGACTTCTCTGCAGGCCGCCTGAGCATGGCGAGCATGGCCGACGAAGGCCGGCGAAGCGAAATTTTGGAGCGGACCATGGTATGATGAAGTGCCCAGTATAGTTACATAGTGTGTTTTTGTTTTTATATAATAATAGTAATACTAAGAATATATATATATAATTAAATATATATATATATATTAAAATATTCAACAAGTATACTTGTCATTAGTTTATTATGTATTTATATTGCATGTGCTGAAAATGGGCATTACTCATCCAATGAATCCAATGTAGTTCTGGAGAGGATCATCCCAGAATTCACGGGTGATTTTCTGCCTAATTCACTACAGTCCCCATTCACTGGTTTATCCCATTAGTATAGGTATATGCATATATGAATATATATGATCATATATGTATAGGTTGTAATTATGGGAACTAACATGACTATACTACTATAAGCGGTTAGAATGGTTAAAAACCTATAGTAATATTAACATGGTACCAAATTTAGGTGGAGATACTAAGCCGGTTTTCATGGGAAAACCTTGGAATCGTTGCACCGATTCGTGGCGCCTGGGCTCGGGCTCTGCAGTGACTGTAGTGACTCTGGGCTCGGCGTAGCCACTTCCACGGCTTGCATGACCGCCTCGCGACGTTTGGAGCAACGTTTGGACGTGGTCTTGATTTCAACCCAAGTAATTATTAGTGTTGTGATATAGATGTAGGTTATCATAAATATACTGGTATATGATACCTACATCAAATATTAATATTGTTGTTTCATATTTTGATGTGTTATCAATAGATATCAATAGTGTTCATCATTTCTAATCATATCTAATCATACAAAACTGTTCTCCGGAACGTTATTGAAATCATTTGTGTTTCTCAGATTTTATCAGTACATTGTCTATCATTATATAATTATTAATCTGGTTGGTGGTTGAGCCTACCCCTCTGAAAAATATGAGTTCGTCAGCTTGGATCATCATCGCAACTATTGGGGAAAATTACCAACATGTTCCAAACCACCAACCAGTTACCCTCTGGTAAACTAACATAACAATTATGGAAAATCACCATTTTTCATGGGAAAACTCACTATAAATGGCAATGTTCAATAGCAAACTGTTACTGTAGTTTACCAGAGGGTATATAATTTATATATGCCATTGATACTATCCCTGCTGCTTGTATGGACCATCTTGGGCACGACTGAACCCGGCTGATGCTAAACGTAGGGGTGCTGGATGGGTTGCTGGGGGTTGCTGGGATGATTATTGATAGTTAGCCAGTGGATCTTTCCGAAAATTCCCTACGTTTAGCACCAGTAAGTCATTTATTTTTTTCCAAGTTATCCATGTTCTTAACTTAATTCTTAACACAAAAACTAGCTTCGCCCAGGGTGTTATCCAAAGTGGGAGACATCAAGTCCAACAGAAACTATTTCTAATGCACTGGACATTTGAGTCAACCCCACCAAAACCTATGAATTTATCGACGCTACATAACACTTCCAGCGATCATAACTATAATACTCACAATAAAAGTCAATTGCAATCAAACATCATCAAATGATCTTGAAGGAAACAAGTTGGTAAAGTTATCACATGGTTAAAACCACAATTAGGATCAATTAGGGACAAATCAACATAATTGACCTGACTGTCTTAGCAATTTAAAATAATTTATAAACATGTTTTCCCTAATCAAATTCCTATTGTTTCCAAAATAATATGAAGTCATGCCTTATCATAATCCTCCTATTAGATCTAGTTGTATAGCATTATATAACACACTCCAAATTTAAAGCACCATCTCCCATCTTAGTCTCCCAAATACTCTCTGGTAATTTAACATAGCCATGGGAAATCACAATGTTTTCTAATTTTTCTAGGTAAATTATTGAAGTAAAGGGGCCACGGCTTCCAGAGCAAACTGTGAAATCACCGGAATTCCTCCATTCCCTGAATGACCGTTGCTAATTCTGAAAAAAAAATGTGAAGGATTCCATCCCTGCATCAGTTCCAGTTTATTCAATCTAATCATCATGCCCTAATTAGATCTAATTGATACATTTTAGGTTTAAACATGTTTGCTGCAACCCCTACATTGCCCCGCGTCGAAATCAGAAGTGGCCGAAGTATATAATAGTACATAGCACATATATCATATATTACATCACATATAAGTCAGAGGGGGGGTGCCAATTTTGATCCCATTATGAAGATAAGTTGATGTTATGATCCCTGTCAACGTAGTAGTCAGAGGGGGTGGCGGATTTTGATCCCTCAACAAGATAAGTTCATGTTCTTATTATCATTACCATAAAAGTCAGAGGGGGTTGCACATGTTGATCCCTTTATGAAGATAAGTTGATGTTATGATCCCTGTCAACGTAGTAGTCAGAGGGGGTGGTGGATTTTGATCCCTCAACAAGATAAGTTCATGTTCTTATTATCATCAACATATAAGTCAGAGGGGGTGGCAAATTTTGATCCCATTATGAAGATAAGTTGATGTTATGATCCCTGTCAACGTAGTAGTCAGAGGGGGTGGCCAGAAAGATGATGATGATGATGATGATGATGATGATGATGATGATGATTCATTCTCTTGAGGTGTGGAGCAACGTCCGGGTTGGAGGGAACATGTTTGAACCATCATTTCCTACATTGAACTTCATGGCAACTATACTTGTACTTACCCTCTGGTAATTTAACATAGCTATTGAACATGACCATTTATAGTGGATTTTCCCATGAAAAATGGTGACTTTCCATAGCTATGTTAGTTTACCAGAGGGTATCCCCCCAAAAAAAAGACAGACAAAAACATGTACCACTCATTGTAGTCAGAATTTGCTCTATCACCATGGTAGCTTTGCTATGCTCCCAGCACCGCCAGCCCTTCGTGCTTTTTTCCGTCGCTCACGCGGAGGAGACGCGTTTCCTCAGCTCCGCCGCGGGGCCACGGCGCTTCGAGGGCCCCAGGGGCAGGGGCCCCGGCCCTGGCCCCGGCGGTGGCGGGCTGGGCTTGTTGGGGGGCGAGGCGGCCTCCAAAGGCGCGGCGTTCTGCTGCGAGGCGTCCGTAAGGACCTGGGGCGGAGGTGTAGCGACTTTTTTTGCAGATCTTAATGGTTCAATATAAGATATTGATAGATATTGGCCATAATGTTAATATTTCTACATCTTATATCTTAATTAATGGTGTTCATATATCTTATATCTTCTTAATAGATGTTAATACTGGCCATAATACGGTAGAAAAACATGGGAGATGTTCCTTTGCCACGTTTGATCATGGGAAACTTCACCAAAGATTCAGGGATTTGAACAGCCAGGAGAATTTGGACCATGCGGCGTCCAAGCGTACAAAGCTGGGATGGATCATCGGAGCTGTCGATGTTCATGAAATACCATCTGGTTATTTAACATAGCCATGGAAAATTGTCCATTTATAGATGGTTTACCTATTAAAAATGGTGATTTTCCATGGCTATGTTAGTTCACCAGAGGGTAAGTAGAAAAGAAGAGGAATAGACATGATAACAGCATTCCTCTGTGTACATGTTGTAGGGGGAAAGCAGGAATTGTTTCCAAAATCAGACAGAAGTAGGTGGATGGAATCTATGGAAATATCTACGTAAATAGTCGCTGGGCACATGAAATGTATACTTCTGAAGTAGACTTTTAGTCTTGGGTTGGCCCGGGCCATCTAGCATCCCAGGTAGTGAAAATGGCTTCCAAAAACATCAGAATTTCTCCAACCATCGGTACAGGGCCAGTCACCCAAGGGATCCCAAGGGACAGGATCTGGATCATTCGGTCCAAGAGATTTGAACTTCGCGACATTCACCTAGGTGCGGTGCTGGATGGTGCTGGCATCCCTGGCTTGGTGAAAACGGTGAAAACATCCCTGGCGTGGTCTAAGATGGTACCCAGTAGCTGGAGCGCCCAAATGAAGTCTTGCGATAGCACCTGCAGGGTGCTAAGTGAACATGAGGATATACTTAACCATCCGCGAAGCCGATGAAATTCCCGCAGAGAAAATGAGGTTGGGCCGACCTGCAGTTGAAAAAACATGTTTCTTTACGCTGGTTATATGCAATGCACATATTTCATATGTTCACATCTCTGGTGTAACAAAACATACTATACATTCACAGTATACTTGTATTAAGCATTCCTCTAGTCAAGCCAGACCCATCCAAACGTAAGATCAGGTCCATCTATAAAGGTGCCTTTGCAGTATCAAACAGTCAGCTAATTTCCGGATCAATATCCTGTCAATTGGGGGATGGCAAAATCCAATGACTATCCCGAGCAACCACCATTGCATGGGCCCCAAACAATCACCTAATGCATATCCCAACAAAAACAAAACTCACTCTCAAAAAAAAAAAACATCCACCAGAATTATCCAACCAACAAAAATCCAGCAATGGCTTCGTCCCCACCAAACACCATCAATCATCATAAATCTGGGTAAATTATAATAATTCACTAACCTGAATTAAGGCCATTTGTGGATGATTCCCCTTACTAACCATGATTACCAGGGCTCGGTCGCAGTGAGGTCGTTATAATTTACCCAGATCAATCATCATAAATCTCAGGCGAAAGCCCTCAGGCTTTCCACCTGCCAGCAGCTTGGAGATCTCAATGACTCTGATCCGACGCTCCAGTTGCGGATCCAGCGAGCAGAAACGCCGCAGCGCAGCGGTCTGGTCCACGCTGTTGGTCACCGCCAGCCACTGCAGCTTACAGTCCTGGCCCAATGTGGGAAGACCGTGGTGCCCCGTGCGCCACCCCCAGTTGAGATGGTTGATAAGACCCATTATATATATATATATATATGTATGTATGTATGTATATATATATGTATGTATATATATATGTATATATATATATATATGTTATATGATGTCATATGTATCATAGACCCTAGTCTAGCTATTGGACTTCAAAACCTAGTTAGCTAACTATGGCGCACCACCTTGTGCAATATATGATGTAAATATTTAATGGGGTATGTGTAATGATGTATTAATTTCAAATTTTACATCCAAGTAATTACTTGTTCTCACTAACATCATCAAGGAGGAGCATAACACACTCGGATGTATAATAGTATAGCATATGTTCCAGTTACTAAGTCAAATTGGCCCCCAGTTGTTATGCGTTTTTTGGTTCACCCATCCAAGCGTAGACGCCCTGCTTATACATCCGCCATCCATGCAGGTAGCCGTATACCGAAGAAGTGAGGTCCGAGGTCTTCAACTTACGCGGAGAAAACCATGACATGGGGATCTACGCGGATATCACTACTGTTGATGGTTGCGAAATCCTGCACCACCAAAAGGATGGTTAAAACCCTATAAATATCTATAAATAATGGAACAAACTACCTATCAAACTGTGCAGGATTTCGCAACCATCCACAGTAGTACATGGGTCTAGAGATGAATGCCAACATGCCAACAACATGGGTCGCTATCACCTCTTGATCCTCTTGGGGCCTGAGCCGCTTGGTTGGCCCAGCCCGGCCTCCACGAGTAACTTGATTTTCTCTCCAGCATCTCCAGAGAAGTAGCCTCAGTCAGTTGTTTCAGGATGGCCTCCATCCTTTGCCCCGGGGATGGCCTACCATCAGCCAAGACTAGTTGATATGTTAATATATGTTACATGCGCCAACCAGCTCTGAAAACAGGCATGTTCTTAGCTTCGATGTGATAGCCATGCCTACCTGGGTTACGGTGGTTTCAATCCATCACACAAATGCCAGTTGGGGCCATCACAGGAAAGAAGGGAAAAAACTGCTGGGTCTACTGCCACAGAATTCGCTGGCATCGTTGGGAACTTTACCCCAAAGAACCAGACACTGACCGAGCCAGACCGAGCCACCGTGTGGAGCCACTCCATACAAACGAGCCTCTGGCAAAAGCAAATGCAATGCGGAGCACACCTCGACCAAATTTCCTGAGGCCCATTTTGGGTGGGACTGAAAAAGCAAGCGGAACTTATGGTTGTGTCCGAATTCAGCTCGAATGTGGCTGAAACACAAGAATTGGCAACCCCCCCATCAGCCCCATATCTTAGTGAAATGCTTGGAAGCTTGGCACACGCCAACGGTGTCCCAAATTTTACCCGGTAAATTAACAGTTCGCCATGGACAATCACAATGTTTAAGAGGAAAATCATCATATATCATCTATAAAGTGGCAGTTTTCCATTGCTTTCAATAACTAGAAAACAAACATAGCTATGGAAAATTGCCATTTATAGTTGATTTACCCAGCTATAAAAAGGTGATTTTCCATAGTTTTTTGTATGTTTACCAAAGGGTAAATAACTAGAGGGTATCTTCTCCGTCTTATCCCAAATCGCAAGTTTCTCCGACACGGATGCCTAAGGTGTAACCCAAAATGGCTCTGGTTCACTCTGAATGATGATAACCATTGATAATACAGTAAGCCCTAGGCCCAATGGTTCTGTCAATCCCAAATCATGTGGGTAAAATCATGTCATAAACCATCCCCCAGTCATCACCATTCTTATAGGTGGTATAAACTATTCCCAAACTGCGTGGTTTATTATCTGGTTGGTGGTTTCACCCCCTCTGAAAAATATTAGTCAGTTGGGATGATTATTATTCCCAACATATGGAAAGTCATAACATTCTCATGTTCCAAACCACCAACCAGTAATGGTTTTACCCACATTCATGATATGTTTTCTTGTCCAGATCCCTACTACACGGCCTGGACTCGGAAAGCATGAAAATGCATGAAAGCTGAGTGGCCGCAGGTGTCGAACATGTCGTCAATGACGATCACGGTTGTGACAGCTTTTAGCTCTGAGTCTGAGATGATCTTCACATCACCTGCTTGGGAAAACATGCTCTCATGGGTCTATGATAGAGTGGAACAGAAATGAAAATGACGTTTGTATCTGTTTGTGATGTTATACTTCAAGTACGGTAAACAATTGTCATAATCATTATGACGACGATAATGATAACGATGACAATGACGATGAGGACAACGATGACAATGATGAGGAGGGTACTATTCAGTAAAAACATCAATAATAAATCATGATTCACACACTACCCTCTGGTAATTTAACATAGCTATATATTGAAAATGGCAATTTATAGTGGATTTACCCATTAAACATGGTGGATCTTTCCATAGTTACGTTCAATTACCAAAGGGTACCTGCCCACCATCCAAGCAATCTTGGATCACCTTAAGTCAATCTTCCCACCATTTCCCACCTCGTCCACCGCCCTTCTGTCGAAATCGATCCGCCATGATGAAACCAACGCGTAGGATATCAGCCATTCCTACAGACGTTGCCCCTGTGGCACTCATCATGGAATGATTTTTTCCACGGTTTTTCTATCTTAGACTCTTAGAATCTCTCAGATTCCAGACATCTCTAGACTGTCTTAGACACCTACTGTACTTTTTTAGGATCTTTTCTGGTGTTTATAACCCATGTATGATATAGAATAGATACAGTATATTCCTTAAAGGTTCTATGATGATTATGATTGGTATATCTATCTAGCCATACGGTATTTCGCTTATAATTATGGACCTATTACCCGAAAAATATAGACTATACTCTAGAGGTTTTATCATAGTTATAACCAATCTTAACATATATTAACCATTAATATGCTTAAAACAATAATAAACCATCCCCAACCAAAATCACCATAAATGGGTGGTATAAACCATCAAACATGGGGTGGTTTACGGCATTGTTTTACCCACATTATAACCAATTATCCATGAGTTACCCTCTGGTAAACTAACAGTTTGCTATTGAAAATGGTGATTTATAGCGGATTTTCCCATTAAAAATGGTGATTGTCCATAGTTTTTTGATGTTTTTTGTATGTTTACCAGAGGGTATCCAATCTCTCCCCATGTTTTTTTACGTTGCTCCAATGACGACCTCGCCAGGTCATGAGTCGGCACCGGCCCAGCATCGTCGTGTGAACTTCATGCCGCCGCCGTTGGTGGCACAGACCACGGTGTGATCCTCGTCGAAGTCCAAGACGTTGCGCTTGATGAAGTCCGCCAAATAGCCATCCTGACACCGGGGATAAAATGGATGAAATATGATGGTTATAGTGGATTTCCCATTAAAAATTGTGATTTTCCATAGTTATGTTAGTTTACCAGAGGGTAAAATGGATGAAATGTAGGGCAGGAAGACTCTCTCGCTATCTCTCGAATCTATCTGTCTATCCTATCCATGCTATCTATCCTATCTATCCTAATCTATCCTATCCTATCTGAACCGACCCGACCCGATCCTATCTGTCTATCTACCTACAGTATATAGCTAAGGTATGGTAAGGTAAGAGAAGTATTGTGGGCGGTTCTTAAACATTCATACCGGACAAATGAACATGCTTCCCAAACCTCATTGGTTGACTCATGTTAGGCACGTCTTTCTTATGTTAACGGATTGATGCCCAGTCTCTGAGCTCAACTCGTCCAAAACCATGCCCTGCGGACCTGGGTGCGAGATGTGTCGAAGCCTGTCAAATCATTACCAGTGGAACTCCTTCTGTTTGTATTTAGCGCATCTACCCTCTGGTAATTTATCATAGCTATTGAACATGGCCCAGTCGAAATAGTTGATTTACCCAGCTATAAAATGGTGATGTTCAACAGCTATGTGAGTTTACCAGAGGGTAAACCTCCATTTTCCTATGGTTTTCCTATGGTTTTCCCATTAAAACAAGGGGAATTCCGACAATTCTGTGGGGCAGATGGTCCAGAAACTGAATCAGTGAATCTGCCGCTTTTCCGTCCCAAGGTCCAGGTCACTGCAGTTGGCGAAAAAATGAAATTTTCAAGTGGCAGTGTGTCAAAACCTTGTACCCCTGGTGAACATCAAAATAGCTAGTAAATGGATGTTCATCCCACTAAAAATGGTATTAATAGGTATTGATCCATACCCATATTGGAATTTTCAAGTGAAATCCCCTGTCACGAAAAAGCACCCTGAAAGATAGATAGACAAGTAAAATCCTACTAAAATCATAAGGTAAGTACTGTACGGTGCACTCTTCCTGTTCTATCTTGTTGGGGTTACTATATTGTACGGCAATAAATGTCCCTCCTAAATCCTTTGCAAAGTCACCATTCATGACCATCATCAGCCACAAAAACACATCATCAGCCACAAAAACACATAAATACCATAAAACTTTGAAGAAGCAACCAGCAATCTCTACTCAACCATATACGTTTACCCATATAGCACCTAAACAGCCATCATAATGCCAACCCTGGATAAATAAACCCGGGTGGACTAATTACGCAGGTTCCTTTCAAAAAGTGATGATTTGCACACTTCAAATAAGACTTAACATATACCCCCCAACGAAACAGCCTCGGGTTTTAGCAAGATCCGAGGTTGACATTAACCATCCAGTTTGTCTACACCAAAAAAATCCCACTATGTAATGTCAATCTTTGTTGGTTAAATCCCTGTTATTGCTGGTCTATCACCCCATGAAATCGAACAAACAAATCAACACAGATTTATCCAGAGAATCAAAACATGAGTCTGTCTGAAAATAGGGTGCCCCATTCCATCTGATGAATCATCATTTTCCCTACAATGTGAGACCCCCAAGATAGCTAAGTTGGTTTATAACTCCAATAACTATGGTTTATGGTACTTATAGACTTATAACATCTTATAACGAACTAGTTACTGGGGCTTATAAATTATAAACCAACTTTCACATCACAACGGGGGGCCTCCCATACTGCCGATTAAATCCCAGAAATTGAGCCAACGACAAACTTCGACAACACTGGGGCCCAACGGTGATCTGGGAAAAATATCTCCATGAAAAACATCCGAAACATCAACAAACACTAGGAAACATGATTTGTTTCAGGAATTCCCTGAACCCCTGGGGGAATTCCTAACACACATTTGATTCGCTCGTTACGGTTATCCCCTTATCGCCATGAAAAAAAAAACCTTTCATGTCCCATTCAATCCTTTATTTCGATTGGAATATGTATATATATATATATCCAACTCTTGATTTAGTTGGTTATAACATATACTGTACGTATATATATATATACACAAACTGGTTGGTGGTTTCAACCCCTCTGAAAAATATGAGTTCGTCAGTTGGGATGATGACATTCCCAATATATGGAAAAATCAAACATGTTACAAACCACCAACCAGCATTTTTGTATAATATAATATATATACCCCATTTAATATTGCCATTAATAATCATCCCATGAAATCTTCGAGTCCAGGTCACTGAAGGCCGCCTCCGCCTGGTTGTGCAGGTCCAGCGTCACGAAGCGCGTGGCGCCGGCCGTTCGGATACAGCGCAGCAGCAGCTTGGGCGCGATGGCTTCCCCTGCCACGAGCTTCCGGTCCTGCCGGGCGTATTCCAAACCTGGAGCTGGTTTGACGCAAGCGGCTACGTTGAAGGGATGTCTGTTGGGCTTAAGGATGTGAAGGGCTTAAGGGATATAAATGTTTTTTAAAAGTTATATCATAAACCAGCTGTATTATAAGTCACGATCGGTGGAAAAGCCCAGTTCCCCTGGGGAAACTGGAAAAGAGATGTGGGTTTATGAAGGAAATGATCTTTAAATTGTGGAATTTCCACATCTATGTTAGTTTACCCTGGGGCATAATTTGTTTTATAAACCCCATTAACTGTAGTTGTACCCACCAAAAAGCCTAGTTAAGCAAGTTAGAAGTCAACTTAGCTATCAAGGGGGCACCCTCTTGCACTTAGTGGTGAGTTTGAATTAGTAACCATAAGTATAACTATAAGCCATCAAGAAAAGTGAGATAACCCATGAATCGGGACCGAACCCGATCACCAGCGATGCGGAGGGTTGGGAATGGTCCAATGGGCTTCGCGCGCACACACAGATATAACATATATATATGTGCACACACACATCTCAAAACTATATGCATCTATATGCAGTCTTCATGCAATATCTTGTATAATGTGTATATATATGTGTGTGTGTGTGTAACCAGCCTGAATGCTGGTGCTTGGTGGTGATTAGTGGCTTGGGTGGGAAAATGGGTGAACATGGGGGAGTTCAGGTTGGTTGGGATGAGATGTTTGAATTATTTGTTTCACCAACCAGACCTCATTTGGCCCAGGTTTAGTGCCACACAAGAAAGCCCTTTTTGTTTTCTGCATAGCCCTGCATTCACGCTACAGTTGGTCACCTACAACCAATTTTTTGTGGTCACGTTCCCATGTTTTAGGCGCAGCAGGTACGTTTTATCATTGTTAGTGACATCCTGCAAAGCATTGTGTTGGTGACCCCATGTCGTCATTGGAAGGGCCCATGATTAGTGCAAATTGAGTGGCTCAAACCCCCACCACAACCCTACTTGGTAAAATACGGGACCAAAACCTGACATCTCATAAATTGTGGCTTTGCATTTACTGACTATAATAATTCTTACCAATCACGTAATCAAATATATATATATATATACGTATATAAATAAATAAATATATATATATATATAGTATGTTAAAACTGTGTAGGTGTCAACTGAGACTGAGACCCCACATCTATCCGTCGATACGCCACAAGATGCCACAAGCCTATTGGGACATCACCAAGCAACATGGCATGACCACTGTGAGACGATGTGGAGATTCTCCTCTTAACGCATCCACTGTGAGCAGTAATCCTGGGTGTAGTGGAGCATCGTTTTTTGAGGGTACCCTCCGGTGTCATCAACATGAGTAGCTGGAAAATCCCCTATAAATGGTGTTTTAATGGGAAATCATCGAATGAAATGGTACTGCAGATCTTCCAGCAAGCCATGTTTGATTGCTGAATGTAGGGACTGGCCAAACGCAATGGATGGATGATGGTTAAATCTAGCACTTCGGCAGGTGTACATTTCTGCAATGGTGCATTTGTGCTGGTATGTGCATGTGCGCAATAGTTGCAACAAGATAAAACAAGCACATTTTTACATGCATATTTGCATCTTTGAATGCGCTGGTTGTACGAATTCAGAGTGTGCCAACCGCCAACCTTGCGCTATCAAAGTCCAACAAGTCAATACACCACCCAAATAGACCCGCTGTGATTGTGCATATTAAATCAACAGGAACCAGCATTTACCATCAACTAATCAATTTCACTTCTGAACCAGCATTAGTGATTGACAGTAACCAACTAATTGGAACAGTCTGATTACCATTCCCCAAACTAACATAGACGTTGAATTGAAGGCTCTAAATTCATACCTTCCTCTCAGATTTCTTGATTCTCAGAGTCCGGACTCGTGGCAGGGGGGAGTGGTTTATCATGCATAGCCTATTACTTATATAAATCACCCTCTGGTAAACGTTTACATAACTATGGAAAAATCCACCATTTTCAAGCTGGGCAAATCCACCATAAATGGTCATTTTTCAATAGCAAACCGTAACAAATTACCAGAGGGTAGCTATTTTCCATAGTTATGATAGTTTACCAGAGGCTAAACCTCCATTTTCCTATGGTTTTCCTATGGTTGACACAACTCGGCTATACCACATGCGGCTGCCGGACACAAATCGAGGGACTCATCAGGGAGAAATTCACCTCCGAGATCGCGTCGTTTCCTCGGCCGCGGGGGATGTCAGGGTTTCAAGGGCGCCAAGACGAGGCCCAAAAACATATTTTAAAAAAAACGTATTATCCGATAACTGTATGTCGTTTCTAAATGGACTTGAGTGGGTTTCTAATTCTCAGTACTATACGTTTTTTTTAATTATATAGTTGCCTCATTTGATGGTCTATAGTTGAAAGGGCAAAAGTATTTGAACGAATGGATTCCCATATTATGCATAGCCAGCCTGAAACCCTGTCTGTAAAGGCTACTCAGCTGTGTCAACTTGTTTGACCCCAAGATTAGCTTATACTTAGCTACTCAACATTGAATATGGGATTGACCATTGATTCATTACTCATGCTTGGGGTTGGTGGTCTAGGCTGCTGAGGGTGCAACATAGTGACTTTTCGCTTTTGTAGGGTGCAAACGCAAATGAAACCACCACGCCAAACGCCAACGAACCAACGGCGTCGACAAAAGCCAAAAGAAAAAAACACATCTAAAGATATACTCAAGATCAGAATTATCACCAACAGAAATGGGGAGTTTACCAACCCCGACATATTGGGTATAAACATCCATATATATATAACCACAAATAACAATGGGGTCCACCGGGGCTCGACTCTCTCAGAAAGCAAAATGAAGAAAGTCATTTGCTCCACGACTGTCATTAGCTCCATATGAAGAACTGTGGCATCACTGTGCCTTTCTCCTGTGAAAAACTAGTAACTAGACCACTTTTGTGCCAATTAAATGAAGGTGAAGTCAAAGCCAAATTGCCTGGAAAAAACTCGATTGGAATCCAATGACCTGCATAATCTGCATGAGTGCAATGCCCAACTAATCAATCCATATATCTTTGCATTTCAGCGCTGCATAATCGTTGGCACTAAGCCAAGATGCTCAGAATCACCACAAAGACATCGTGGTTCGCCACAGTTTGCAGGACTTTGGCGCCAATTTCACCATTGTCGAACATGTGAAAGGCGCACTCTCCAAAGCGCCATTTCCTGGTGTGTTGGAAGGGCAAATGCCTTCACCCTTCACGCTCAGTTGATGGCAGCACTTGATAAATCTATCCACATATCATGCATACGCATGCAAATATATATGTATACATATCTATATATATATATAGATATATAGATATTTATATATATATATATTATATACATATTATACTATATCAATATATCTATACATATCAATATATATATATACACATGTATATTACGCCACTTCTATGACTCCTACAATTCAGTTTTCATTTCCTGCTTGTATCCCTTCGATTTGGGGGTGATCTTCTTAACCGTCTTAACCACTGGATGTCCGGTTACCACCATTTCGGACCCACATCCACTATCCAGTGACTAGATCACTGAAATCCAAATCATAGGAAAACCATAGGAAAACCATAGGAAACCATAGGAAAACCATAGGAAAATGGAGGTTTACCGTCTGCTTATTCAACATAGCTATAGAAAAGGACCCATTTATAGATGATACACATGATGATTTACCCCTAAAAAAATGTGATTTGCCAAAGCTATGTTAAATAGCCAAAGGGTAAATCACCTTAAACTACCATTAAATCACCATTAAACCACCATTTTCCTATGGTTTTCCTATGGTTTTCCCATTAAAACCGCCAGTTTCCCAGTTTTCCCTGGCCAAAACTCGTTTTGCCCTTCACGCCAAGGCTCAAGTGCCTCAGAATTTCCTTCATCAAGTCCTGACCTGAGACAGGGACGAAGAGGGATAGATCTAGTTCTAGATTCTAGATGGATTATGCCATCAACAATAGCTGCTTGGTGGTTTCAACCCCTCTGCAAAATATTAGTCAATGGGAAGGATTATCCCATACATTATGAAAAATAAAACATGTTCCAAACCACCAACCAGATAGCTGCTTGGTGGTGCAATAACCATGGCTAATAGTGATTAATAGTGGTTCTAACCATGGTTATTAGTGATTTTTCCCCACCTGCCAGGTGAGGGTTGTTAGATTTTGTGTCAGTTGCCTCCTCCTGCCTCCTGCCTCGTCCTCCTCCTCCTCCTCCTCTCCTCCTCGTCCTCCTCGTCCTCCTTGTCATCCTTGTCGTCCTTGTCGTCCTCGTCGTCCTCGTCGTCCTCGTCGTCCTCGTCGTCCTCGTCCAACTGCGACCCTCGACGCACAGTGTTCCCTGCCGGACCTCAACCACGACCATCCCCGCCCAGTGTTCCCTGCCGGACCTCAACCACGACCATCCACGCCCAGTGTTCCCTGCCGGACCTCAACCGCGAGTATCCCCGCCCAGTGTTCCCTGCCGGACCTCAACCGCGAGTATCCACGCCAAGTGTTCCCTGCCGGACCTCATGTAGGAAGATATGGGACAAAGAATGTGCAGAAGAAAGTTAGAAAGAATGTCAGAAAGAATGTCAGAAGATATGCCAGAAGATATGCCAGATAGAATGCCAAATAGAATGCCAGATAGAATGCCAGATAGAATGCCAGAAGATATGTCAGAAAATATGCCAGAAGATATGCCAGATAGAATGCCAGATTGAATGCCAGAAGATATGTCAGATAGAATGCCAGAAGATATGCCAGATAGAATGCCAGAAGATTTGCCAGATAGAATGCCAGAAGATATGCCAGATAGATATGTCAGAAGATATGCCAGAAGATATGCCAGAAGATATGCCAGAAGATATGTCAGAATATATGCCAGAAGATATGTCAGATGGAATGCCAGAAGATATGTCAGAATATATGCCAGAAGATATGCCAGATAGAATGCCAGAAGATATGTCAGATAGAGTGCCAGAAGATATGCCAGATAGAATGCCAGATAGAATGCCAGAAAGAATGCCAGAAGATATGCCAGATCATATGCCAGAAGATATGCCAGATAGAATGTCAAATAGAATGTCAGAAGATATGTCAGATAGAATGCCAGAAGATTTGCCAGTAAGAAAATGTATAAATGTCATGGTGGGGATCACACGAAGTAAAGTAATTTATACCTGATCTAATCAATAATATAGCTGGTTGGTGGTGACTTAACCATCTTGAAAAATTTGAGTTCGTCAATTGGGAAGGATGACATCCCATATATGAAATGGATCGTAAAACATGTTTGAAACCACCAACCAGATAGTGGTTTAGATATGGTTTATGTAAGGGTTCAGAATAGTTTTTTTTTATATGTTTTCTGGCTCAGTTTTTTTTTTGCTTTCTGTCCTGGTACCATTTGCCTTGTATTTGCAACAGTTTGGAACTAGAATCTATGCTTTTGCATGGCATTGGCTACATTTTGGCATGGTTACTTTGCATTTTGCATAGTAATAGCTACATTTTGGCATGGTTACTCTGCATTGTGCATGGCATTTGCTACATTTGGCCTTTACGATTTCATTAGGATTTCATTAAGGGTTTCACGTAGGGTTTCTTTAGGGTTTCATTAACGGTTTCTTTAGGCTTTCATTTAAGGTTTCTTTAGGGTTTCATTAAGGGTTTCTTTAGGCTTTCATTTAAGGTTTCTTTAGGTTCAGGGTTTCTTTAGAGTTTCATTTAGGGTTTCATTAAGGGTTTGATTTAAGGGTTTCTTATCAGGATTCTTATCAAGATTTCCAAACATTCATGTGGGTTTCTTTGGGGCTTCTTTAGGGTTTCATTTAGGGTTTCGTTAGGGTTTCATGTAGGGTTTCTTTAGGGTTTCATTTAGGGTTTCATTTAAGGGTTTCTTATCAGGATTTCTTATCAGGATTTCCAAACGTTCATGTGGGTTTCTTTGGGGCTTATTTAGGGTTTCCGTAGGGTTTCATTTAGGGTTTCTTCAGCGTTTCATCTAGCTTTTGATTTAGGGATTCTTGAGGGTTTCATTTAGGGTTTCATGTAGGGGTTTCTTGTCAGGAGTTTTTATCAGGATTTCTTCAGGGTTTCTTTGGATTTCACCTAGGGTCTTTAGGGCTTCATTTTGGATACAAACAGGAGAGAATAAAGCAAAAGAAAAGAACAACCAACAAAAAGGCAGCAAAGACAGGAAGCAAAGAAGCACAGGAGCAGGAAGTAGAGCAGCAAACATGACTGAAGAAAAGAAAAAGTAGAATAATAGTCTTAGTAGAAGTAGAAAGGCACAGAATCACAAAAGCAGAAAAGCAAAGAAGCAGGGAAAGCAGAGAAGCAGAAAAGAAAAGAAGCAGGTAAAGCAGAGAAGCATGAAAAGCAGAGAAGCAGGAAAAGGAAAAAGCAGCTAAACAAAAAGCAGAAAAGCAGAGAAGCAGAAAAACAGAGAAGCAGAAAAGCAGAGAAGTAGACAAGCAGAGAAGCGAAGAAGCAGAAAAGCAGAAGCAAAGCAGCAGAAAAGCAGACAAGCAAGCAGGAAAGCATAGAACCAGGAACCCCCAAAAAAATCCAAAACCTGCCGCGAAAAAAAAACCGAACATAAATAGCCCTCCTTTATATTTATGGGAATTTCAGGATCCTAAAATGGAGGTGGTGTACCATATTTTGGGCCATATTTTGTGGGGAGGAGGCCATGGATATTGGAAGAAAAATGCGGCCGGATCCAGGTCCGAATCCCTCTGGAGCCGGGTCACTGCCCGGCAATCCGAAGAGCACTGGAGGATGCCCCAGCGGAATTCGGATGGACTGAAAGGCATCTTCAGGGCCATCGTCCTCGTCCTGGGTGGCATCTGTAACTGCTCCATTGGTGCTGGTACATCTACCAGTATGTGTATGTGTGATTTCAGCGATAATTGTGGGTGAATATGACTAAATATTCCATACAGCATATTGGGGCAGTTGCAATTGCATTGCATAGAAGTAGCTCTGTATATACCATCTGGTTATTTAACATAGCCATGGAAAATCACCATTTTTAATAGGTGATCCATCTATTTCTATGGGCCATCTATACCATGGCTATGTTAAATAACCAGAGGGTAAGTACAAACCAATTCAACGATGGCGAAAATTATTGGAAGTGATCTGACCCAAACATGGTCCCAAGGTGTTCTGGTCATGATCGACTGGGCACAGTCAAGTCGAGAAAAAACATGGCCAAACTGATGCAGGACCAAATAATCTAACAAACATAGCATCATAGCAATGTATAGTCGTAATAAAAATCTGAAATATCTGCACATACCCACTTGAATTGCATTCAAAACCATATCAACCATCGTTTTCATCTGTATTGTTCACCTTTTCTGACAATCATCAGCCAAAGGGTAGCCACGGCTCACCTATCTTCAGCAAGTTTCGTAGTCTTCATCATCTGATGACGCCATGCATCTCGAAGTCTGGCCCCATGGGGCCAGCGCTTGCAGTTAGAGGCGGGGTTCCAAGCTGAGCCAAAAAGCGGGGTTGCAGAGTATGATGGATGTGTCGTTCCCCAAAAATGTTACACACCTATGGGGGTTTTCTGCAACGCGGGCATATCATTAATCCATTCTACAATTTACCAACCATTAACCAAATATTAACCCAAGATTAACTATTAGTAACTTGATTAACAAATGCCAATCCCTTCCCCTTAATATTAAACACGCCCTTAGAAACCATGGTTTAGTAGGGAATTGCCACATAATTGGGACCAATTCTGGGGGGTTTCATACTAGGGTGATGGGATTATAACTATGATCAATTAACAAGTATCTATGATTTTCCCATTGAGTTGCAGGCATCCCCAACCACCCAACATATCCCATCATCCTTGGGAGAGTCCATTAACAGTCATTAACCATTCACATCCACCCAATATTAACTTCAACAGGTCATGATTATACCATTCATGTTGAATCTTAGATATCTGCATTTTGTTTGCTGTTTAGTACATTTTGCCATTGATAAATATTGATAGCACACAATTATTGAGATATCTGCAATATTCAAACCATTGAGATACTCATTGAAATATTGTTTCAGTTTAAATATCTGGTTGGTGGTATACCTACCCCTCTGAAAAATATGAAAGTCCGTTGGGATGATGACATTCCCAACATATGGAAAGTCATAAAATTCATGTTCCAAACCACCAACCAGATATCCACTGTTGCCCATTGGTTGGATATTGAGTATAAAAACTACTACAGTCATCTCTATCCAACCAAGGTTGACCCAAATACCACGTTGTTCCCAGGATTTCCATTCACATATTGATGGTTAAAATCTATTAACCCAAACCATTGGGATATACATTATCAACCAGTAATGGTTAGTAATGGTTATATAGTAGTAATTGATAATGGTAGTATACCAGGTTTATACCATTACCATTACCATTCACATTACATGTTTAACCCAAAATTGTCCAGTACAATGATATACCATATATATATAATTATGTATATATATATATGTATAGCACTTGGTTAACCATTATTAACCCAGTTAGTTCAACCAAGAAAAATGAACATTACTATCCATTAAATACCAACTTACCATATATCTATTAATCATTATTAGTCCAATTCCCAGAGGGTATCTTAATTGGGATATCTAACAATTATTAACTGTTACTAACCATTACCATCAATTATTAACAATTATTAACCATTAACAATTATTAACCATTAACAATTATTAACCATTATTAACAGGGAATTATTAACTATTAACTATGATTGTATCATCGTCATTATTGTAAATTAACCGTTCCAACCTAGTTCATTACCATTATAACCCAACATACTAACCTATAACCCAACATACTAACCATTATTGACCATTATACCCTCTAGTATGTACCCTCCGGGAATAATGATACCCATTACTAAACATTATTAACCATTACTAACCATTACCATACCCAATATACAGTTATTAACCATTATTAACTATGGTTAACTATGATGAAATATAAACCATTCTTAACCATTATTAACCAATTATTAACCATTCTTACATATCAGGAACCCAATTGCCAAAGGGTATTCCGTAATTATCCATTATTAACCATACTGGTGCTAAACGTAGGGAATGGATGGGAATGTGGGTTGCTGGGATGATTATTAATAGTTATTATGAATCATTCCCGAAAATTCCCTGCGTTTAGCACCAGTAAGTAACCATTATTAACCATACTAACCATTAAATGATCCGTTATTATGATTAATCCATTATTAACCTGGTTGGTGGTTTCAACCCCTCTGAAAAAATGAAAGTCAATCGGAAGGGTTATCCCATATATTATGGAAAATAAAAAATGTTCCAATTCCAAACCACCAACCAGATACCAAATATAGTATTGTCATCCAAATAAAGTGCCAAAATTATTAACCAGTCAGTAGAGTATCCATTATTATTATTAATCCACTATTAACCATTACAGTTATTAACCATTGAAGTATCACCCATCCCGCCTTGTGCTGCTTGATTTGCTCGGCCTCTTGCTCGGCCGCGTGCCACACCGCCGTGGCGGCCGCCGAGATGGCAGCGGCCACCTGGCGACAAAGGGACGCGGCGAACAACGGAGAGGACGGCAGGGACGTGACGGGGACGTGGGGGAAAAACCTGCGGAAAATATGGGAATAAATATGGGGAAAACACATGGAAATGATCAAAACCGTGGGATTTCAACTGATTTATATGTGATTTACGCATCAGAAATGATGAAACCTTGGGATTGGACTGGTTTAACTTAACCATCAAAGATGGGGAAAGGAGTTGGCTGCAATGAACAAACATGTACTGTAATATAATCAAGGCAAATAGGGATTTGAGATTATTTAGCCAAGCAACATGGGGCTTTAAAATGGACTTATCATATGATATGTTTATTTATTGGCCTGTTTCAACACAATAAGCTGTTGGATTTATGGTGTAGAACTTCAACAAGAAGATTGGCAAAGTTAACTTGTCATAGAATTGGGACATTTACCTACATTCTCAACTGAATTCCAGAATAAATGTAGGATTTCAAAAGAATTGGCAAAACCTTTAAACGCATATTTTTGAAGGGATAGAACGAACGAAGTATTATGATTGTTCCTTTAGGATCTTTAGGAACGGAAACAATCAAGCGGGTGGAACAACAACTTCACACCCAGCTGCGAAATCAGCACGCAGCATGCTGACACAACAGCCCCAGCCGATCAACCATCAGGTGGTGTCAATCCGAAACCTGATTGGCTGGGCCACTACGTGTCTGCCATCACTTTCCCAAATAGATGGCAGGCAAAGCCTTCAGATTCTATAGTCCTGCACGACCACTCCTTCAATAATCTGTATATTTCTATAGAATTCTGTGTGATATTTCTCTGTTTGTTAATAAATTATCCTGTTGATCCTTTTTCGCCATCTCTCTGAGTGCTTGCACGGCTGCACTGTTGGCTGCTGGCAGGGAGCTGCCGCTGCCTGCAGACCAAGCTATTGGGATGCTGGTGCAAATGGTTGCAACATACATCATGAGTAAATGCCGTGATGGTGATGGTGATGGTGATGGTGATGATGATGATGATGATGATGGTGATGATGATGATGATGATGAGGAGGAGGAGGATGGAAGGATGATACGGAGCTTTCTGGAGGGCTCACAACCTGCGTCTCTGCTTCTTGAAGCAGATCTGTTGGTGCCAAAGTTTTGGACCCCACTTGCAACGCCTACGGACGATCCAACTGTTTGTTCATCTTCCCCCCACCGTTGCAGGTTAGGAAGCTCGGCTAGAACATCTGTAAAAAAACACATGTTTTGCCACAGGAAATCCCGCCACAAATCGCCAAACATAGATATTTTTCACCCAACCAGCTGGAGCTCGCCTGGGGTGCTGTCCTCCTGCGAGGCTTGAACATCGCTCTAGTTCCATGAAGCCACCAGTAAAACCTCAAAACCTTTGTTGACAGGTTCTACTTTGGCCTGCTGGAAGCTACCATCTGGTTATTTAACAGTTTGCCATGGAAAATCACCATTTTTAAGTTCGGTAAACCATCTATAAATTTAATAAATGGGCCATCTATACCATGGCTATGTTAAATAACCAAAGGGTATTTGGATTGGTTCATGCCAAACTCATCCTTGGGGTGTGGTATCACTGAAGTCAGTCTCTTCAGGATCGACGGGGGTCACCAAATTTCACCCAAAGTCATCAAAGTCGAGAATTTTTTTTCGGGGTCCCATCAAACACAGGCACACGTCAATCGTGCAGTTGGTTATCTATCCCACTCTAAATATCTATGTATATAATATTATATATATATATATATGTGTGTGTGATAGTATGTAAATATATATATGTGTGTGTGTGATAATTGATAATATATATAGATATATATATATCTATATCCCATTGAAATCCATATCATTATATAAATAGCCAGCTTCGTGTTGGTAAAACCAACCATTCTCAAACAAAGCCACTGGAAGGCAAAAACCAGTTCCCTCACGCTGGGAGGATTGTAGCCCTCCTTCAAAGCCAGTTACCCTCCAGCAATCACACATGGCAACTGAAAAATCTCCAAAAACTATCACATACTATGTGTGTGATTTTTAGTGAGAAAATACGTAGGTGTTTCTTATAGTATTTAGTATCTCTTAGTGATTTATATCTATATTATTTTCTCTAAGTAGGTTTTAGTGAACAAATACCCTCTGGTAAACTAACATAGCTATGGAAAATCACCATTTTTAATTGGAAAACTTACTATAAATTGCCATTTTCAATAGCCATGTTAGTTTACCAGAGAGTATGAGAAAATCATCTATAAATGGGTGATTTTTCCAAGCAGCCCATGTTTCCCGGAGAAAAAAACCAGACGGCTGCACCGTTCCCGGGCTGATCTCCCAGCCTCCCGCGGATCCCACGGAGAAGTGGATGGCAGCTCCAAAGGCCTGGAGTTTTTCCCATGGGTTTTTCCGATGCCGTTGGGGGTTCCTGTCTCTATCACTTTGTCCTTACAAACTATTGAAATTCATGGACAGTTATAATTATATATGTATATATATTATATCCCATAGGATCCATGTATGGTATATATGCTAACATTTGGGGTATGTTGATGGTAAATGTATGTAAATGTTACCATATATGGCATACATGGATCCTATGGGATATATATATATATGGAGATTGATTAATGGGTTATACAGACGTATAAACTCTAATATGACATGTGTTCTCAATATGTTGCTGATGATCTTCAGATCAATGTCACGCGGGTTTGAGAGAGGGAAATATATATATAACATAAATATATATAATAATATTTGCATCCGTCTATTAAATATCCTGGCCACACTAAGGTCAGCCAACCCTCTGGACACATTTGAAGGCTACCCCCAAAATAAAATCAGCCAACATGTTCGGGACATGTATGTTCCTTCAAAAATTGGGATTGGATTATTTTTATTTTGCATTTTGACATCTATTCTTACACTAATCTAAACTAATCCCCCAATTCTTAACCCAAATCCCCAAAGATGTGAACGCATCGATTTCTTTGTTAGTCTATTGAGCATGAAAAAAACAACTCGCAAAGGGGGGTAGCCTTGAAAAATCTTGCAACCACAATGAAACACTGTTTTACTCAATAAAGTTAAAGTCATGTTTTGTTTTTCCGTGGAATTTGGGGCAAATATAGTTGGCCTTCCAAATTCCTTTTAAAGTAAAATACTTTGCTACCTCAACCCTCTTCATAACCCTTTCCAGGCTCTAAAGACGTTTCCACAAACCTCAGATCTTCTCAAATTTGAACCTCAGAAAGCTTTCCATGAAGAGATTTCTCACGTATGTATTCGTTTTCAATTATATAAGGCAAATTGTTTGGCAATACTGAAATGCACAAGCAATCCATGAATACATGTCTCGCATATGTATTCGTTTTCAAGGCAATTCGTTGGGCAGCACTCAAATGCTAAACAAATCCGGGGTCCCCCGAAGTATTTTTGGAACTTTATTTGGATGACAATACTTACTTGTGCTTAGTAGGGAATGAGGGAATGATCCACAATAACTATCAATAATAATCCCAGCAACCCCCATTCCTATCCATTCCCTACGTTTAGCACCAGTAAGAATAATTCATAGTGTTGGGCAGGTTCATCATCAAAGCCAAGCAACGGCCACCGAGGCAGAGGCCTCAAAAAATGGTGACCCTCCTGGGTAACCTGTGGGAACATTCCATGCATGGCGCATATGTTTTTTTCCCTGAAAGGTCGAACCTCATAAGGTGGGTCTTCAAGAAATCGATGTCAATCTACTGGAAAGGAAGCACTGAGTATCTCCAAAATTGGGGCAACAGGCTCTTTTGGATAGGGCTTCTCCAGGTTTAGGAAACAACACATGTTCGGAACAGCGTATTTGCAGTCCGTTGGGCCACTGGGGCCTTTTTTTGCCATTTAAGAAACCTTGGCGTTATACTTGGATATAAATGGATGCATCTATGCTACTGTCATGGAGTGCATACATTCTACACTGCCAATTGTTTTACACCAGGTTTGTGTGACATGATCTGGTCAAGTTACAGGCTTGCTGAGAATGCTCATCTGTGTGCTGGTGGGAAGGTGTACGGAGGTTTCTGTCGGTGGTTGGCCCTCATCTGGGTTGAGTAAATCCAACCCATCATCAAACTTACAAGGCATTCAGCATGTGCCAAAATGTCTCTTGAGCATTCAGAAACCATAAGAACGCGCTTTCAACAAACATCCCCTACTCCAATGAGCCCTCTTACTCCTGACCCTGGATAAACACCCACCGCCAAATTCGGCAAGGTCCAATCCTTTTGGTCTACTTCGTAGAGAGCATAGCCATTCCGAGGGCCAGCCGCACACGCTTCGCTTTGCGGAGCGTGGCTGTCATCTTCTGCGACTTCAAACATGGAAACCATTCACCCACGCGCAGTTAAGCCGTTGCTAAGAAGTGCTAAGAGACATTGAACCATAAAATCCCATCAGCCCTGGATTTCCTGTGCACAAGTCCCGTTTGCCGAAACATTAACATGCCATGTCTTCTGCTTTTGCCTTGCCTGCAAATTTTGGCAAACATATGTCACCCAACAGCCCCTGGACTGAGCATGTCCATGCCATACTTTCACCACCGAAGGTCATCAAAAGGGTGGGCCCTTCGAACTTGATCAAATCCCACATACAATTAGCGACAGGGCTGATCTCCACATGTCGACTGTTCAGGCTATTGACACACAGCTCTGTCCCAACTTTGTTGCCTCAGCGCCCATTGTCGCATCATTTGACAATCTAAATGTGGCCTTTCACCCCCTTTCCCAACCCTTGGGGCCGCTTCTGCAGCTATCAACTCGCGCTGTTTGAAGGATTCCATGATCAAAGCAAGAGCAGTTGGTGGTTTCAACTCTTTCCAAATATTTCATTAATTGGACCGTTTGGCTTGGCTGCTGCAACCTCCTGTATCCCAAATCAAGATGTACAGTAATCTATCAAATAATATTGGCCCTTTGGATTCCTTTTGCTGCTGCAATTTTCAACATCTTAAATTTCCGCAGCAAAGGGCATTTCAGTGGATTTAAGGGACAGTTTACAGGAACCTCGGAAAACGCCATTTTTTATCCATATTTCATGGTCAAAACCATGGTTTCCGGTGAAGATTTTCCCTTAAAGACCAATCCAATTTTTGCATTTGTCGAAAAACATTGGCAGAAAAAACAAAACCATCGGTTTCCTCATGGTTTCCTCTAGGTTTTTCATTTCCCCCCAACAAAATGAGCATTTTTCTCCGCCACCAACCAGAACACCTTGCACCACGAATTCGGATCGTCCTCGCCGGCCTATAACTTTGTTCAGCGCATCTCACCGCCTGCATTGAAAAAAAACATTATTTTAAGCCACATAATATACCATATAGTGGTTAAAATAGTTACTAATATAGTTACTTTTAATAGTCACCATATCCCATAGGATCCATGTATGCCATATATGGTAACATTTACCATCCATATACCCCACATGTTAGCATATATACCATACATGGATCCTATGGGTATAGTGGTTAAAATAGTTACTATAATTTAGTTACTTTTAATAGTCACCATATAGATTATTAATAGTTAAGTATGTTTCATCTCTACTACCATAATCTATTGACGTTGAAAAACTATATATATATATATAGCCATGTATAACCACACACAATATAGTAAAATATAGTTAAGTATGTATCTATCAAACAGCCACCACAAAAAATGGTGGACGCGGGGCATCCAGAAGGAACTTGCCAAGAAGTGAGTTTGCCTGGGTCACTAAAAGTACCCTCTGGTAAACATACAAAAAACTATGGAAAGATCCACCATTTTTCATGGGAAAATCCACTATTTCTATGGCAATTTTCAATAGCTTTTTGTATGTTTACCAGAGGGTAAGGCAACTCCATGTATGGTTGCTGCCAATTAAGTTCCCCTTTTCCATCCCTCCCAAAGGGTGACGGTCACCAGTTGCCTGCGTTTGCGTTTCCCATGCATAGAAACATGACCCCAAAAGCCTTCACCACAGCTTTCTTGTAACTGGTTTCCTACAGCTACTCAGCACTTCCAGACCACTTTGAGGATGCTTCATGCCACCGTTTGCAAATATGACAGTGTGCTGGGTATCGAGCTTCTGGATTGGCTGACTGCCTGGTGAAGAATCATATTTGCTACACTGCCGGGCTTGATTGCCAGAAGATGTTCCGTACTAGGAATCCATATGCACATAAACATACATAAACTATGGATATGTGATTCTCATTGATTCTTCCCCTTTCTCAGTCCTCACCCGATACCAAGTTCTCCGGTCCCCGGTTTCGTCCCGGGAGTGCCAGCCTGAGAGCAGGATGGGTCTCAGGCACCAGTTTCCGGGCTTGCCACCTGCGACCTGAAGGTGCCATTGATTTTCCATGCCATGTGAGGAACAAACCGGAGGGTAGTCAGTTTAATTCCATTTATAGATGGGTCTGGTCATCCTGGGATTACATCGAAATACTTTAGATAAATACTCAGGTGGTATGGCAACACTTCTGCAATCTGCTGAAGGAATATCATATTTGGTGGCTCATCCCACGAATCGTAAGTGGGTTAGTTCACCCCAGTGATTGAAGTGGGTGAACTAACCCACTTACGATTCGTGGGATGAGCCACCCACTTACTAAGGAATATCATACCCATAGGATCCATATATGGTATATATGCTAACATTGGGGGTATATGGATGGGATCCATGTTACCATATATGGCAGCACCATGGATCCGTCATGGGATAGAAAATGACAGTGGTACGGACCTTTTTTCGACTGGATTTTTGGTGCCCTGAGTTTGGGGCCTGATTTCACCATGTCAAACTCCACGAGTACGCGGCCTTAATAAGGGCGGTGTCAAGGTGGCTACAAGAAGGGCGTCACCTTGAAGAACTAAGTTGGTTTATAACTAAGTTGTACTAAGTTCACTATGGCTTCTCCTAAGCAAACTATACTTAATGATTATAATTACATATAATATATAATTACATATATATAGATAGATAGATAGATATTAGTTGATGGTGGATTTTAAACCTAAACTTTTTTCACTGGGGGCACCACCTTGTAATTTCCACAGATCATGCAACATTGAGGACCCATTTCCGATCCACCAACATCATCCCATTCAGCCCACACCGGCGCTGTCACCTAAATCCACGGTATGCAGCTCGACAACTGGTTCTGTTCGGCCAGTGGTACGGCAGAAAACTTCCTTGCTGGAGAGATGTGAGTCATGATCCAAATCGGATGACTATGTGCATAAGGGATCATAAGGGTGGGGAACCCAATAGGAGATTGTTTTCGTTGCTTGCAGTAATTATAGACCAAATCCAGCAATGGCCAGCATCCGTGGATCAAAACAATAGATTGTTTGGAAACATAGGTCAACAAAAAAGGGCTGTGGCTCAGGTTCATCACCAAAGTTGGTGTTTCACTTTCACGAACCCGGCAATTCCTCCCGGAGATCATCAAACAAATCCCAGGAGAAATCCACAGAAATCTTGCTGAAGTTGACTGCCGAGGCCGGATGCCGACGCTACTACTACCCGCTACAGCTGATGACCATGGGGAACAAGCCAACCAGAAGTTTGGAAAATTATTCTCAGCCAACTATATATGTACTCAGGTATGTGCATATAAGTGTGTATTATACATATATATATATGTATATTATGATTTTGTATGCAACATGATCCACATCCCCGCAATGTCAGACAACCAGGATGAGCTTCGGACTCCAAACCACCGCTTTTTTCGTGGAGCCAAGCTTCACTGACCTCGTCCTGTTCCAAGAAGCAGTTTGGGTCCAACTGATCCTGCCAGGAATCAGAACACCAGATGCTACGAGTGCTACTGGTTGTGGCCCCAATCGAAGCCTATAGGCTGGTGAACATTAAGCATACTTCGTTGAGGATGTCTCAGCCCAATTGACCAGGTCCGTGTATGGCAGTACTTGGCTGAATCACATAAATACTCCCCGACTCAAAGCATATTGTAAACCATGTTTCGTACTAGTCATCAACTTCTGAGTGGTGTTGCAAGCTGCAAGGACATATATGTTCCAGGTTTTTCCATGTGTTTTTCCCACGTTGTTCCATGATTTTTGTTCCCACTCCATCTCCGGTTCCCAACCCCAACTGCCAGGCCAGTGCCCTTCCCTGCCTCTGAGCAATCCGTCTCCAAGTCTTCACTCGAGCCGCTGGGCTCAAACGCATCGCCGGTGGCATCTGGCGAATCCGGGAACCAAACAAGGCTGGAAGACATATCCTCCGGTAAACGAACAAAAAGCTATTGAAAATGGCCATTTATAATTGATTTGGCCGATACAAATGGTGATTTTCCATAGTTATCTTAGTTTGCCGGAGGGTATCCTCCGGTACACAATGGACAATCCATCATGCATAGATGATTTTCCTATTAAAACCTTCATTTATAGTAGATGTTTCCAGCTAGAAACATCCATTTAGAAGGGATTTTCTAGCCAGCCACGTTTGATAACACCGGAGGGTATCCCAATCATACTGTTCTTCTTACAGAGCCTGAATTTAATATCAAATCCTACTTTGAGGATATATAACATATTCACCAAATAAATGATATATTATGATATATTCAATATATTCAGTCTAATACACGATCAAATAACAGTTATAAGTTATATATACATATATATATATATATGAGCCGCGGAAGTTATTTGGTACACAACGCAATTGACGGGGTGTTCCTACCTCGTTCTCCAGTCCCGTGATGTTTTTTGGGGTCTGACCTCGTTCTCCAATGCCGCACTTGTTTTTAATAGCTAAATGCTTTGTGTGCGATGCCTACCTCGTTCTCGGGGTGTTCCTACCTCGTTCTGCAACCTAACTATGATGTTTTCGACAAACCGGGGTACGCCGCAATACTATTCTCCATTTAACCAAATAAAAGACGCTGCTCATATATGATACATGTTTAGATCAATGATAACAAACGACCTCTTCATGTCATGTCACGGCTTGCATTGCTGTCGCATCCGTGTCAAGTATCACTAAGGAGGTGCAATGGTCTGGCCAGGAGAAAAAAAAACCGTACTTCTTGGAAGGACGTACAAATACATATAACATCATATACCCTCTGGTATGTTAATATAGCTATTGAACATGGCAAATAAAAATAGTTGATTTACCTTATTTATCTATTAAAGATGGTGATGCTCCAGTTCGCAAACTGTAAACGTTGACCAGAGGGTAAACCTCCATGTTCCCATGGTTTTCCTATGGTTTCCAATTCAAACCTTCATTTTCCTATGGTTTTCCTATGGTTTTCCCATTTTCCCATGGTTTTCCTATGGGTTTTCCTCTCCAACTGAGACGT